CCGTCCCACGTCTCTGCTCCACATATTGCCAAACGTGCATTAGCTGCGAAGTTTGTCAGCGCCGCGCACAGCGTAAACGACCCCCGTACGTACACAAAACGCGCGGCAGAGATGACAGCTGGCGTACCTCAGAGCAAATAATTACTGACGAATTTTGAAGGCATTAAAGTACAATTTGGGCACGGCCGGGCCGGCTCGTATGCCGCGGACCGGCTTTCAAGCCGTCGTTTTTTTGTTTTTTGCCCTCGGGGGCTTGTCTGTAGCCAAGTCCCCATATTTCCCTCCGTGTGCTTTGCGACCGTGGTCTCTACAGCAGCGTAAAAGCTGTCTACATGTGAGTACATATGCCCCACTCTTAGAAAAGTGAAATCGAATGACAAACAAAGATCTATAGTGTTTGTTTACACACTACAGGCCATTTTTCGGGTGGCTTTTTTGTGATCTTTTGCTGGGATTTTTCAAAGGCAATTATAGATCTGGGCTGTCCTACACGTTGGGCCCATACTTTTGATGATTCGATGTCTGGTTTTTTTTCATTTCTAGTTGTGAGAATCCCCCCTCCTCCCCCAGCAAAACAAAAAGAAATATCATACAAACTTCACAACTATTGGGTAATGTTATTTATGCCATTGGAGGTTGTTGGCTCAGAACTGTTTGTGAAGATCTTTGAAAAAAGGTATTAAAAAAAAAGAAGTACTAAAACCTTATTGATTATCATAAAGCTTACTTGGATTAAAGATCGTACTAGTACTAAATACCCCGTGTACTTATTCCATCTGGCTTGCTGTCATTTAGAAGAAATCAAGAAATGTAGATGATTTCCAATGGTCAGTCAATTGACTGGTTTTTTTTGTAAAATAGAGAGTGCTGTAGACGAAATCGTGTTTCATGTTGAAAAGGTGGTGCATGGTTTTTCACTGTTTTCGCGAAAAAGTGTATCCCTCAAGCCAAAACTTCAACAGGTTAGGTTTAGAACATTCTTCTTTGGATTTTGAGTGGTGGTGTTATTGACAACGAACAAAATGTATGAACAGCATATGATCCTTTATGCCTCTAACCACACACTACCCCCTCCCTTGTTCTGTCAAAGATTTACAGTACTCACTTGTAAACCCAAAACCCCAAATCTCGCCAGGCTACAAAACTTAATGGGCAACGTGTGGCCCATAATACAATCACAGCGCACGTCGCCATCTGTTCCGCAAATGGCCATCGCAAGGGACCAAACTTCAACCCAACACCCCCCAAGTTGTACAAGGGATCCTTGTGCGCACCAATGCAGAAGCAGAAAAAGGCAGGCCTAATAAAGCTGGCCCCAGAGTGCACACAATTCGGGGCGATTCACAATGCAGTGCGCCACCAAGAGTTTGCCATGGAGAGCCAACATTTTAAGTTTACGGTCGACAAAACACGACCCATTTGAATGAGTGTCAGTAGGCAACCTGAGCTAATTTGTTATAAATTGGGGCAAAGCGTTTTGCCGCCTTACAAAAAAAAACACCATATGGATACAAAGAAAAAAAAAGGTCAATTATACTCGAATCATATACGCTTATGAAAATACTGACGGGAAAAACTAACAATTTCAAATGTCCCGCGCTACGAATTTGTCGACCATCTCCCACCATGCACTGGTAAAAATAGACTCTCCTTAGCAAACTCTTGGTGGCGCACTGCATTGTGAATCGCCCGAATTTCTTTCCAAACCTTGAAAGGTGCACCTTTGTGTTCCATTTAACCTTATTTTCAATTTTCGTTTTGCAATTTTCAAGCTGGGCCACCAGTTTCCTGCTTTTGTCTGTTGACAGTATTTGACTACATGTAGTCAGAGTGAAATGTGATCTCGCAAAGTGTGACAAGCCTGTGTAAAAGGCATGGCAGGAGAAGTGGATGAGACTTTTGACTGTCTGTGACTGTTTAAACAGGAGGAGGGTTAAGCATGTCTAATTCAGTCAGTCAATCGGGGAGTCAGTCGGTCAGTCAGGTTCAAAGAGCGATACAGGCTGGCCCTCTGGGACCAGCACTGATAGGAAAAAAATGGACTTGATGATTTACATATGTGTACAAGTCTAGAAGTTGAAAGGGAAATATCAGCCACAGAACGCCACGAGCCCCTGTCGCACGCTCACTTGACGGACAAGTTGCCCGTAGTCACAAAGCATCTGGACTAGATAGACCATTAAGCATTCTACCCAGAGCTCTGTGACGGGAGACCAGTGTTTATTCTAGGCGGTGGACAGGGAGCAGTTGTAGTAATGGTAGTTGTTTGTTGGGAGAGGGGTGGGGGGGGGGGGGGGTGGGTGTAGACTGTAATGACATAGAATGAATCACCTTGCTCAAGAGAAAACATGTAGTTTTAATATTGAGGGCCATGGAGGCCAGTCTTTGTCCTCTGTCTGACTGAGTCTCTGACCTACTGAGTCACTGAATGATTGAGTCACTACCTGACTGAATGAATGACCTACCGAGTCACTGGCTGATTGACTCACTGAGTCACTGACTGACTGAGCTATTGAGTCACTGGCTAACTGACCTACTCCCCCACTGGCTGGCTGACCTACTCCCCTACTGAGTCACAGACTGACTGACTTACTGAGTCACAGACTGACTGAGTTTCTGACTGATCACTGAGTTTCTGACTGACTGAAAATAGTCACCAACTGACTGACTAAGTCCTGACTCGGGGACTGACTGACCGAGTCTGACTGACTAAATGAGTCGTTGACTGACTCGACCGAGTCACTGATTTACTGAATGACTGATTCACTGAGTAAAGCACTGTCTTAGGCTGATACTAGTTTTCAAAGCAATTCAATTTTCATTTACTTCTAGTTCAAAACTTGACAACCGATAACCGACAACAATGAAGATGTATTTGGAACAAGAGGCTTTAATGAAAAGGCCTTTAAAGCTTACCGTACTTTACAATTAATAAAATGCAATATTCAACAAGTGGTACAATATAAAGGGGGCATTACATGTTTATCTATAAAAGAAATATGATCTGGACATAAAACTCATTTGAAACTAGGCATTTGATTTGTCTCAGTACATCTTTTTCATTATTTTTTTTTGTGGCGGGATCTTTGTCATGTATTGCTTGTTTTAGGCATTAAATTTTTGTCTACTTGACATGCTCAGCACTAATTTATATGCCAGCTTTGTTTTGTCGTGTGGCTCAGTTACTTGCAAAAATAAAAATTCTGCGTAATTTCTCTCAAAATTGTAACAGTGCAAAAACTTTGCAGAATAGGTAGGAGCCTCCAGTGCATGCACAGTGTGCGAAATAGTGAAATTGAGTGTCCGCCAAACATGCAGTATTACATAGGCCCGTGTTCATATACATGTACTGCCTTTTGAGCTGTTCAATCCACAGCCCCAGGCGAAAAAAACCAAGAAGCGCTAACGACAACTGAATAGGCCCGCCGGACAACAATACTCAAGACGAGCTTAAAAGCTCATTCGTAACTCCTCAGCCCCTGCGCTGGCCCGGCACCAACTGTCACACATTGCCTGCCCAAACAAACGGGGCCCAGGGTACAAAAAGCTAACAGAGTTTCGACTCGGCTTGGACTGAAAGTCTCCCCCCCCCCCCCCAAGATCAAATTACCTAATTAGACATCGTTTTTTGACAGAGCTAACTTGGGACGGGATGTGATATTGACACAGGAGATGTGGGCACGATCGCTTAATGGAACTAGCAGTGGTAGCATCAAACATCCATTTGGGGGGGGGGGGAATGGGAGGCAACGGCATACTGTGCGTCTCCTATCCTAATTCAGAAGCGTTTTGCGCCACCTGCAAAGCTGAAAATATTCAGGAAAGAAGTGGTAATATACATGTAGCTATTTTAAATTCTGTGCAAAATTTACCCACAAATTTTGGCAAAAGTTTTTGGACACAATTGTTTTTAGGAGTGGTTCATCATAACATGTATGCCAACAAGCAAAGTTGTCATATTTTCACACATGAAAGCAACAATTTAAAAAATGTCTTTAATTGGTTGCTAGTTTTTAAAACGTTTTTATGTTGTAAGCAGATATGAAACTTGACGTTTTTCAAATTTCAATTTTATGATCTCAGAAAAGGGATGACCCATGTTTTTTAAAAATAAGTTAAGATATTCGCGCTTTGTGAAAATTCAAAGTTTAAACTTAGTCTCACAAACTTACAAACTTACTCTTGCATACTAAATAGCATAAAACTTTATTACTCTGAATCCAAACATTTAAAGTTGCATTCCTGTTTTATTTTCGAGTTTCATCCGAAAAATAGATTCCTTTTCTAAAATTGCTATTTTTCTAGCAATACAAAAGTTCTTTAATTTTGGAATGAGACATTGACTGAAAAATTTTTTTTCCCGTGTTTACAGTTTCAAATTATTGGCTGGCAGATAATAATTTTGTTCTTGCGGGGTAGGCTGGTTCCCGCCCCTCAATTAGTATCGATAATGTAGGGACAGGGAGCCAGCCGACTCGTAAAGTGGATCTGTTTGTGCCTAAATAAAAACCTTTTTTCAGAGGGTTGCAGCAATCTATTAACCCTAAATCCCTTGGCATTTTTGCTAGGATGCAACCTTAATCCTGCAAAATTCTCCACCTGCCTCCATGTAAAAACTGCATACAGCCTCAATCCTCCAAAATTCTCTGCTATTTCTTGAATGTGGTCCTTGGAGGGGTGACCACTGCCTCAATCCTTCAAAATCCTACAGCAATCACTGTCAATATGTTGAGGCAGAGCCAGTGACATCCTGGAGCAGTGCAGAGCATTTCAAGTATAATCTAGGCTATTTATGCAAGGCTGAGCATAAACAACACAAGGTCCAGCCTAAGACCTTGACACAGTGCACCCTCCGAAACCAGCCTCACACTTTGCAAAATCCTCCAGTTTGCAAACATTTTGAAAGATTGGGGAAGGCTAGGGTTAATTAAGTTAATAAATTTAACAACCACATGAAGCTCGACTCAGTAATTTCCTTTTTTCCATAAATTTTATTTTAGGGTGATGCTTTGTGTAAGGACTGTTTCTTCAGTGCCTTTGAGGCAGAGATACATCAGACCATATTGGACGCAGAGTTATTCAAGAAAGGCGAGAGGGTGGCAGTCGGCGCATCGGGTGGAAAAGGTACGTTCCTATTATTTTCACAGTGTAACAGTTAAATAAAGAAATGGAAAAATGTCAAAAATATGCTTTGCAGCTTCGTGGCCGAAATACACACAATATGTCAGAAAACGCAAACAGAAATTTGTCTAATTGTATCTTGGTCAGTTTTCCGCGCTGCGAGTTGAACACATATTTCCGCAGCGAATGTTTTGTGACATCAAATACTCTTCTCATTCGCGTGAAGCACAAACCAGCTTTTGCTGTATGGGTTTTAGCAAAAATCAGCCACAAACCAAACTCAGATCAGTCAATCAAACCTAGGAATTTTTTGGCATAATGTTATGTCCGTGACAAAGCTTTTAAGAGCTCACTGAATAAACCTGATTATATCTTTTTCAAATCTTATACATCCATCATCTAGCAATGGTCAAGGAGATTACAGACTAGGAGTTTTGGATCATTCCTGCAAATCTTTATGTAATTGGCAAAGATGGCCCAACAAAGACGGCACAACATGATACAGTTCTTAATTCATATCACTGTCAGTCTGTCACTATCTTGAATCAATTGTTGCTTCTTTGTTCTTGTTCAATCCTTAGACTCGACAGTCTTAGCCTACATCATGAAGTTACTGAATGAGAGACATGACTACGGTTTGGACATCGTGTTGCTGTCAGTGGATGAGGGAATAACAGGCTACAGGGACGATTCGCTGGAGGTAAAGTTTGGGGTATTGTGGTCTACAAACAACCCTCTGAGTGAGAAGTCAATATTCAGAGCAATATGTAAAATCTTTTAAAACCCTGCAGGTCAGTTTCAGGTGAAGGGATATGAAGTGTTAATGTAACTGTGTCACACAGAGAGTCATTGCACAAGATGTGGAGAGCAGTGATGACATGTGACTGAATCTGCCTGCTTGCCCTGAGCTTTAAGATATAGTCCATCATTTGTAATTTGTGCATTTTGTTCGTTTGAAGCAACAAAAGTGCTCAAAATCTAAAGAAGGGTACTGAGCAACTAACCTGATGAAGTTTCAGCTCAGCTTCAGCTGTGTATTCCGAGAAAAACAGCATTCTAGTTTCTCAATTTCAAATCAAAAGTTGCTGAATCATGTTTTGAATTGGGCCTGAATTCAGCGTCAGAGACACGTTCTCACTGAGCCGATTGCAGCTACGCGATGTCGCGCACTGATCCGACGAATTATAGCAACTGAGTGTGCGTCGTGCCAATGCTTGCGCGCGTTTCGCTGAATAACAAATCGAAGTACTGATTTAAATTTCCTACGGTGCGTCTTAAGAAGCACCGTTGGAAAGGCCTTCTTTTGTTGATTTCTTCAAAATGACAGCTGTCCAGAAAGAATAATTTCACAGGGAGTTTAGTCCCCTTACTATCTTTCAACCAAGTATGTTTTTCAACAAGAATTACGCCAGTTACTTTTTGGATAGCTGCAAATGATGGACTCCAGCTTTAATGTGTACTACATGTAGCACTTAAAACAGGTCAAGTTATCTGAAACTACTGGTCATGAAAAACAGGCTTGTTGTAGCAATTTTTTTTCTATAGTAATGCAAATCTCCATTTTCAGAACACATACATGTACATGTAATTTGTTCGAATGTCGACTGTTTGAACAGTTAGCCATCATTTTACTTAAGTAAATTTCTCAACAACAAAAAATAGTTTACTTTTTTTGTAATTCCTCCGTAGACTGTGAAGAGAAATCAGATGCAGTATGACTTGCCACTGAAAATCGTTTCTTACGAGGTGAGAGTTTTAAATATCCGATTTAAGTAAAGTTGAACCCAATATTTAGACCCTCCCAAACTTGGCATTTTTGAAATCAAATCTTATAATCATGACATACGTGGACTGTTTTCTGTTAAAAGGGACCATGACATGGATTTTACTTGGAACATATTTAGTGCAACTTTCTACTCCTCTTAAATGTACGAAAACTGTTAGACATCCCTTTTTCACGCTTCACAGCAATTGAAAAAAACTTTGAAATCCTAGGAATGTTTTAATGATTGTTGCATTGTCTTTTGCCAGGAGTTGTATGGTTGGACCATGGACGCTATCGTCAAGCAGATTGGGCTCAAGAGCAACTGTACATTTTGCGGCGTCTTCAGACGACAGGCGCTGGATCGTGGCGCCTTACTCGTCAAGGCAGACAAGATAGTTACGGGTACGACAGAAAACCTGCTAAGCACAAAAAATATTTGCTTAATGAAAAAAGATTACCAGCCAATATGTTATGCAGTGTATACTGCAGGTTACCAGGGCCCAATTACATAGCTCTGCGTACTGTTATGGAAAAAAATTGCTGCTTATTAGCAGAAAATTCCTTGCTTACGGTAAGCGTATTTCACGGGTTAGCGAGAATTTTTGCTGATGCTCATGTGTACATACCGTGGTGAAGGATTCTATGCTTATAGGGTAAGCACAGAAATTTATGCTAGCGCAGTAAGCACAGAATATATGGACAGGCAAAAACGCTGAAAATGTTTTGGTTGCTGTACATCATGATGATGATAATTAATTTCTCATTTATGATATGTCAGATTTGATATGTAGCATTTTTTTTAAATTTTTAAATTTTTTATTTCAGGGCACAATGCTGACGATATAGCAGAAACTGTTATTATGAATGGTGAGTTGAAAATAGGGGGAGAAAATTAAAAATTTATCGTCATCAGACGTAAAGTATATTTTTATACTGAGATTATAACTTCAAAAAAATAGTTTTGTTAATTTCTCTTTGTTTTTTTTTGTCTTTAGTTCTCAGAGGCGACGTGGCAAGATTACGTAGATGTACAGCAATAACAACTGTAAGTTTTGTATTATACACTGTTTAAGCAAATCCCTGTCATCTGATTGGTTGGTCGTTGATCACATGTCATTTAATTATTCGTCCCAACCCACGGTCCCAAAATCCATTCCAGGGTAAACAGAAGTTCCATTACACAGTTAAACTATTCAGGCGTTGCATAAAACAAAACATGAATATTTCAAATTCATGAAACGGAAAGAGTAATTCCTTATCGGTGACGTTATTTTTACCATTACACTCATAAGCAGTCATTATTGGTATAATATGAACTTCAAAAATTAGCCTTTTACTTCACTTTATTACAGAATAAACCTCGTTGTTTGGTGATAATGCAAGCATTTGCCCTCTTACTTCAGTTCGAGAAGCCTCATTTTTATAGAAGATACAATAAGTTGTCTCATGATCATGATATTTGTAAGTGAATGTTGTTGTTGTTTTTACTAGCGCCCCTTGAATAAAGCCCTGGGGGCAATTCCACGGTTACTCACGTTACATTTTTGATGTACTTTTGAGTTTCCTTGGGCTGTAATTACCTTACTGAAAAGGTTTAATAACTGTTATCCCCATGGTAGATAGAGTAGACCTAGACCTAAGCACCAAAGAAGACGCACAAACTCAGTTACTCACGTTACATTTTCGTAACGTGAGTAACCGATTTTGTGCGTCTTGTTTATCATACATAACACATTTTCCTGGATGTCATCTTTGGTGCTTAGGTAGGTCTAGGTCTACTCTATCTACCATGGGGATAACAGTTATTAAACCTTTTCAGTAAGGTAATTACAGCCCAAGGAAACTCAAAAGTACATCAAAAATGTAACGTGAGTAACCGTGGAATTGCCCCTTGACAGATTGGGGAACCATCATCAGTTCGTAGAGCACCGTAACGGCAATCCAGAGTTCACAGGTTCAAACCCGCTCGTCAATTTCTTCATTCAACTTTGAAAAAAAATATTATAATCCACCTACTCAGTTTCTCTTTGAAGTTTTTTTGAAGATTTCTTATATTTTCTGTTCATTTTCAGGGAGCAGACGGGGCGCTACCAAGATGTAAGCCCTTCAAGTACACGTATGAAAAAGAAATAGTCATGTAAGTACAAAGACTTTGCTGGGAAAAAGTACGACGCAGGTCTTCCCATTTAATTTTACGGATAAAAACCAGGTCTTTTCTCATTAAAGTGGAGAAAAGAGTGTCTCAAATTAAAACTTGTATTTTAGGAAACTCTACTGCAATTAACACTTCTCTCTGAAATAATCGACAGAAATCCAAAACAAATTTATCATCACTGAATAATAAGAATTTGCATATAGACGGAAGTTTTTTTGAAAGGGTTCTGAGATGCAGCAATTCCTTTGAATTTGTTGGTCACATAATTTTTTGCTGGGAAATTTCTTGTTTGGAAATTCAAACGAAGATTTTATTTCCAAAACGCGACATATCCATTTGAAAAAGGTGAACATTTTGCAAGATTATGAAATTGTAAAGAATATAAACAATATAACAGCTGTTTCTAAACCTCATTTTTCGCTTCATTGTATTCTTGAGTTCTGTTTAAAGGGAATGTACATCTTTGGCTTTTGCTTTTATTTTTAGAGATGAACTAGTTGAGGGGTTAGTATAACAGATCAAATTATTGTTACACTGACATGTTTGAAGTTTTGTGTTCAAAAATGCTGGAAAAACCAAGAAAAACAAAAATGTTCAAGTAGTCTGGATCCCTGACTCCACTGAAGATGAAATGGATCAATTTATAGATGCCGGAAAATTGTACGGTAAGGGAACCAGTCTAGATGGCCTGCACCCATTCATGAACATGCAACCAATAGCAAACAAAATTTCAACTGAAAAAAAATGGTAAATTTGGAGCAGTAGTTGAAAAATAGTTAGGTTTTTCCGTTGGAAATGTATACAAAAATTACCATTTTGTTGATAATGACTTCACACCAGGTGCCATAATTTTACAGGATGCTTTAGACTGTCATTTACCAACATCCTATTAAGGTATTTCGTAAAAACTTGGTAGTTTTATTTTTTGATGTTTGCAAACGTTGTATATTCCCTTTAAGTATATAACAGCCGTCGAAATTGCTTTTGGGCAGCCAGGAGAGAGAAGGATTCTTAAGGGAACAACACGGTGTATTGCACGTATTTTTAAATAAACTCTTCAAATGTTGATAATTATCACTTTTCGGTGGCAACTATTGTGATTCTTCATACATTTCCAAGTTCTGTATTGTAAATGATGTCAGTTTTGTTTGAATTGTTGTTTTACATTGTGTCAAAGTTATTTAGCTGCATTTCACCTTACTAAATTACCCACTCATTTCTCTAAATCCCCCTTTTGTTCTGATACAGGTATGCATATTTTAAGAAGTTAGACTACTTCTCGACTGAGTGTATATATTCACCCAACGCGTACAGAGGCCACGCCAGAACGTATCTCAAAGACCTAGAAAAGATCAGACCTAGCTCAATCATAGGTGAGTTCAATTTTTGTAATCACAGATAACGGGAATGTCAGTCCCGCAATGACACAAGTTCCACTGATAATGAATTGTAGGTAACATGTGAAAGCTATTCACGTGTGGATACTTTTCTTGTATATCTAAAAAATTTGACACAAATATTAGCACCCAAAACAAAATCTAATTAACGACTTGTAATGAAGTCTACACATTTTTGGAGTGAACCCACAACTTGCCCTAGCAGGTGTTACAAAGCAAATTGTGATAATGTGTCTTGCCCAGGGACACAAGCACCAGAGCCTGCACACAACATACAGTCAGCAGGACTCTCGAGTTCGGGGTGCCAGACTGTGAAGCCACACTCTCCGTACAGCATGACTCTGTTGCACCATAGTAGAAGCATTGCGATAAAATGCCTTGCCCAAGAACACACACGCCCTACAACTAATATTGAACCAAACCCACTATCTGCAGATTTACAATATATTGGGTTCAATTTACCACACCATGAGGCGACACTCTCTATGCAGCATGACTTTGTTGTAACATAGTAGAAGTATTGCGATAAAATGCCTTGCCCAAGAACACACACGCACCCTACAACTAATATAGAACCAAACCCACTATCCGAATTACAATATCTTGTGCTCAAGGTACCAGACCATGAGGCCACACTCTCTGTGCAGCATGACTCTGTTGCAACATAGTAGAAGCATTGCGATAAAATGCCTTGCCCAAGAACACACACACCCTACAACTAATATAGAACCAAACCCACTATTGGAATTACAAAATCTTGGGTTCGAGGTACCAGACCATGAGGCCACACTCTCTGTGCAGCATGACTTTGTTGCACCATCAAAGAAGCATTGCGATAAAGTGTCTTGCCCAAGAACACAAACACTGCTAGGTACCAGACTACAGGGCGTACATTGCACCGTGCACACTTCTTATTCTGACCTACCTTTCTCTTGTTTCCGCGTCTCTTCTCTTCAGACATCATCCATTCCGGTGAGAGTCTCTCCATCAAGAAGGACGTCAAGATGCCGACGCAAGGAACTTGCACTCGCTGTGGTTACATCTCCAGTCGTCCGCTCTGTAAAGCCTGCGTGCTGCTTGAGGGCTTGAACAAAGGCCTGCCAAAGTGAGTAGACGAAGCAAGCTTAGTAAAGCTATCCCAGAGTGCACAAAATTCTATCCAATTCAGAATGTATGGCTATTCACTGGAAGTCTTTTCATCCATCTGGTCTATACAATACTGGACTACCTCCGTATTAATCGTCACACATCCCACATGGGGTATTTGGACGGAAAGTCCGTTGCTAGGGGAGCCGAACAGCAATATGAAATCGCAATTATTTTGTCACTTTATACTCACACAATGCCGTCTACAACTGCTTAATGTCAACAAAACGTGAAATTCGGCCCCTTCAGAGGTCTAGTTATCTTGTAATTTCGAGTTGAATACGGACGACTTTTCCTGCCATTGTTCACGAAAGCGTCGCGTTGCATGACGTCATGGGTTGTGATAAATGGCGCCCTCACTAGCTTGCATCAGATTTTCACAATGTGCATTGCTACGGCTGTTGCCTGTCATTCAGTTTTGGTCAAAAGTGTGCCCGCATACATGCACTTTTGACCAAAACTAAATGACAGGCAACAGCCGTACCAGTGCACATTGTGAAAATTTGATGCAAGCTAATATTACCGTCACATTTATGGGACTGGATTCAGCCCATTCATTGGCTTTTGGGGTAATCCTATACAATAGCACTGCCCGACAGTCAGTCAATGAATCAGTCAGTCACTCAGTTAAAAAAAGGACTTAAGTCGGGCCCTCTGCGACTAGCAAAACTACATAGTTTTCTACTAGTCCTTTTATTTCGGCAGACTGGGACCCCACGTGCAAGAAAACTATGCAAAGCATATTCAGGTTAAAGGGAATGTACAACATTTGCTCTTGCTGCAATTTACAGTAGTAAGTGGATTTGGGGGATGAGAATGTTATAGCAAATATTGTTAAACTGACTTGTTTCACGTTTTGGGCTTGAAGATGATGGAAAAGCCAAGAAAAAACATGTTCTTGTAGTCTGGTTCCCTGACCACTTAAGATGAAACGGAGCAATTTGTCGACTTTGGGGAAATTTAAGGTCAAAGAATCAGTGGTGTGTAATCAATTGGAAAGAAATGCTGAATAACTAATTATGAAAATTTAAGAGCAGTTTTTGAAAAAAATACAGTTTTCTCCAACGCTGGTCGGCCGACCAGCGTTGGAAAAATACCAGTTTTCTTGAAAATATCAGCACACCACGATTTTACAGGGTGCTTTAGAATGTCGTTCCCTAACAATCCAGTAAAATATTTCGTGACAATTTGATTATTTCGTTTTTTGATGTTTGCAAATGTTGTATCTTCCCTTTAACTTTATACTCACAACTGGAGAAAGAAAATCCTCCAAAATATCCACAAAGCAAAGATAAAGTCTTCAAAAATTTCCAGTCAAGTTTGATATCTTGATTCAAAATTTAACCAAAGTTTTTCTTCTGCACTTGATTTGAATTTGAAGCCCAAGGCTAGACTTGTACATGTCCAACTCTTCAAAATTTTGAACATTTACATGTAGTCTGGTGGCAGGACTGTAGACGAAATGTATGGAAATAGAGTCTGGGTACCAGATGTTTCTTTTGCCATTTTTCAGTTATGCAGGACTGAAGAAGTGTTGGACTGGTAGTTTCATGCGCCAGTCTATTTTCTTGCACAGTTTGAAAAACTTGAATGATGCACAAAAAAGTGTATTACATTTTAACTAATGTTTGTCTCTCTCAGACTCGGTATCGGAAAGGAACACAAGGAACGAAAGAAGGTAAGAAGTTAATTAAATAGTTTAAATCAACAAGTCCAAACAATTTTTCAATCTGTACACTTTGTTTTAACTAAAAAATATTTTATTCCAATTTATATGTGTCTGCAACACTCTTAAAAAAGGCTTTCCTTTTGTGCAGAAATGAACCAGCCCTGTAAGAGCCGAGTTATTGTCTGGCAGCGAATAATTCAAATTTTGTGAAGAAATAATTCAATGTCTAAACGTCGGTGGCTGTTTTCGTTCGACATCCGATTCAAAAGTGAACAACTTTTATACTGCAGAAAAATAGTAATTGAAAAACAAGTGGGGAACGCATCTTTAAGCTCTAGGTTGAAGTAAAATTGCTAAAATTGCTTGTGATAATTCTGCAGAAAATGGCATTAGAATGCTCTCGTTTGCAAAACAAATGTGGATTTTTGTCAATTCGGAAAAAAATGTTGCAACCTGACGCCACTTCCGCGATTGCGTACAAAGTCTAACAGATTTCAGTATTTCCTAACAAAATTGGAAATGTTTCTCAGTCCCAGATTCATGTCTTGGAAAAATTCCCATATCTGGCCATCACTTTTTACCCTGTGCACAAACCCTATGGGACTGGTCTGAAATTTTTAAAGTGTTTTCTCAGTAAAAACTCAAAATTTGTCACTGCTAATTTGGACTTTTTAGGACATATTATCACTTTTTGATGGCTGATAGGTCATTTCAGAGAAAAATAAGTGATGGCCAGATACGGGAATCCTTCCCATGTTTTATCATCATTTTTGCAATGAATGACCTTCATTGAGATGATATATGAAGAAAAAAGTGGCGTCAGGTTGCAACATTCTTTTGGTCAGTTCTTCTGTTTCATATTTTGGTCTTCTTTTCTTTCAATTTAAAGTTGGCATTGCTTCAGGCCCAAAGTTTTAACCAGACAATTGAGCCAGCGACAAGTGCTAATGTAACGACGGAGAGTTCAACACCATCTTCTTCAAGTATAGCTGGAGCTAACACAGTGCCCCAGAGAATAGATTTTTAATTCAAACTACATGTACATTGTGTATTTATTTTTGTAATATTTAAGCCTTTAAAGCTAAAATGTGAGGCGTCAGTTTACAAAATTTTATGCAAGTTGTCAACCAAATGGTTCTCGGACTTTACTTTTCATTAAAAATTCTGGTGGAGTCATGTATTAAATATAGAAATGAAAACTTGACTTCACCAGCTGTTTTATAGGCGAGTTTAAAACAGAGGAGATTGTGTAGTAATGGCCCTGTCCCAATGAGAACAAAAATCCTGCTTTATTATTGGACTCGGCCAAGTTGTTAGCAGTGGCCAAGTTCGGGCAAGGACCATTAGTCGACTAGTGGTTGATTTGTGACGTACCTTACGCCTGCGCACTGATAGCAACGTGCGAACGTCTCTAGTCAAATGCTGGTCAAAATGTCATCACAAAACTTCTGGATCCTGGCTCTCTGCTAGCGATATGAATGCACACGGCTATTGGTTACCAGCGAAGCAACCAACCCCAGTAGGCTGGTTCCAAATAGTCGACTAGCGTAGTCAACCACCGTCGACTAGACAGAGTTCGGGCAAACGTTAGTTAACCATTGGTCAACTATAGTCCTTGCGCGAACTTGGCCAGTGTTTAAACCTTCAGGAATGTAGCAGATGGAGGGCAGGGTTTTGATTTTTTTTTAAGGAAATTTTGGGGTAATTGACGATGCAGATGACAAAACCCAATTTGATAATATAAATGGTTGCTTCAGGTTGCTGAAGTAAGTTTGGAATGAAAAAAAAAAAAACCAAGTCAAAGGACCAAAAAGGTCCTGTGTACAAACTACAAAATGGCCAACATAGAGGGGCCCTACAAGTAACTACTTCCCAAAAACTCACCTTAATTTCTGAAGAACAAAATATCTCTGTCGAAGTCTTGTCCTCTGATCTGCTCTGCTGTCAAAACCACGCCGCCATTAAGTAAATGGCCACACCCAACAACAGGCACACACTTTTATACCTATCCCAGCTTGGCTGGTTCCCAAACCTACACTATGATGTTACAATGTGATTTTAAAAAGCAGTACCGGTATGCAAATGAGGGGTGTTGGCCATTTTTAGGAAAACTCAAGAAATTTGGGGATAAAGCTGTGTTTATGCAATGTAGGAAAAGTTAAAATAATTATCACTGAATTTTAAACGGAGAACGTGGGAACAGAAATAAACCACCTTGGTAAAATCAAATTTTTTTCACAATGTGTTTGTTTTATTTATTGAAAAACAGTAAACATTTTTTTTTCAAAGGTAGCTTGTCCATATATACAAATTTATACATGCATGCTTTCTCAGCTGGATGTCGGTATAGTGTTTTCTGCATAGATTTATACTCCCAAAAATACTGTATTTTTAAGGCTAAATATTTCATTTTGGAAAGAAAATGAAATATTTCAATACTAAAACATGACCATATAAAGAAATTGAGTTATATTCAATATTTCAAGACGAAAGAAGTGGCAAATTGTTGGGAAGATTAACGACAAATTTTTGTTTTTTGGAACTGTTGGGTGCAATCGGTCAATCTGTGCGATAGGTCAATCATGATCGAGTTGTGAATTAGGTAGCCCCATAAATGTGGCCAATTATTTACTGGACTACCTCCGTAAATAAAGGCCACACTTCCACCATGTACAAAAACACGTCGAACTTTGTCAAATTTTGATTTTCACATTTAGGCTTAGTTTGTAGTTTATTTTTGCTTTAGAAGCATACTCGCCCTCTTTATAGGCTAATAAGAAAGTGCTGCCTTTTTCAGATGTCTGTTTTTCGTGAAATTTCCAGATTCGTTTGCACACGTTTGCGTATCAAAATTTCAACATGAATTTTCACGAAAAATAGACGTCTGAAAAAGGCAGCACTTTCTGATTAGCCTATAAAGAGGGGGAGTATGCTTCTAAAGCAAAAATAAACTACATGTACAACCTAAGCCTAAATGTGAAAATCAAAATTTGACAAAGTTTGACATGTTTTTGTACATGGTGGAAGTGTGGCCTTTATTTACGGAGGTAGTCCAGTAAATTGGCCACATCGACCGATAACGCAACGCGATTGACCGATTGGCGCACACCGACCGAACGCATCCAACATAACCACAAGCAATGTGCTTGCTAGATGTTTACAGAGCACACTGCCTTTCCGAGTTATTTAATAAAATGTTAAATACACTATTTACAGTCTGCATAAGGAACGTTTGGTTTAACGAACGGATCGATCATTATAAAATGTTTAAAAATATCATCTTTATGATTTTTGGACAGGTTTTAAGAAAGTTGCTCTAATCGAGCAGTACTTTGGAAGAACAAAAGAATACATTTGTAGAGTTATATTTTAGTCTGGCACAAGTCAGGTCAAACGAAAATGAATACTAACAACGGAAATGAAAAACAACGGAAATCATTGCAACAGGTTGTGCCTTGCCTTGTGATGGACTTTTAGATCAACTTGTGACAAAGTTGATTTTCTACCCGTCTTTTTTGAACAGCGCCACCTAGTGTCAGATGATATCCAACCCTACATTGAAACAAATTCAAAACCTTTCAAACTTCAGTTTGCCAAATCTGCTCCTTTTAGGACAATAGGGGGCCTATAGAATCTGTTTCCTCACAAAATCTTGGCCATGTACATGTATGAAGCCCCAAAAGTGGACAATCCAATTTTTCTTATTTAATACTGCTAGCAGAATCTCACATTTTTTAAATTTTGCGTCAGCCATCTGCCAACTCTCTGCCAGCAGTAATTCGAAATCTACTTTGACGACTTTCTCGGTACCGCAAAAGTGGACAAGTAAAACTTGAATTCCAACAAGCAGAAATATAGGTTGGTGAATCCAAAATCTCCTATTCTGTGCTGATGGAAATTTGTTAGTGTACCAAAAGTGGACAAACTAAAAAAAACACCAAATGTTCTCTACTAGAATTTATATATTGTGGAGTGCCGTGGCCTCGTGGTCTGGAGCATTGACTTTGTGGTCTGCAGGTAATTCTACAGGTTGTGGGTTCGAGTCCAGCCTGGGGTTATGGTGCGTGTGCCCTTGGGCAAGGCACTTTGTCACTCACTGCTTCTCCCCACCCAGGAGTAAATGGGTACCTGTGAGGGCAGTGATGGTTATTATGGTTGATTTTAGCTGCTTTGCCCCGAAATGGCAGCATCGAGCATATACTCCCCAGGGAGCTGAGATGGTATTTGGAGTGTTTCATTGGCCCAATGAGCAGGGTAATAATGATGTAGCGCCTTGAGCACCAATAATGGTGGATACGCACGCTATACATACACCTTATTATTACTATCATCACTCAGAGACTTGGTTAGAAATATCTGAAGTTGAGACAACGTACTTCCAATCGATAGCAGGCATCTTCTGTTGTTGTAGTATTTACGACAGTAGTTCTCAGCCTCGAGCTGTATACTCCCCAGGGAGCTGAGATGGTATTTGGAATGTTTCATTGATAAAGCGCTATATAAGCACCACATATTATTATTGCTGAATGGCAAAATTGGGTAGCCCACTGTTCCGGTTTCATAGGCCATGGGTTTCTTTTGGACTGAGTTTTGAAGGTCCTTTGGTTTCAACTGCAAAGCAGGTTTTTTTTGGGCTGGAACAAGAAAGCAGGAAAATTCCGTTTTTTTGGCATTTGGATTTCTACCTCACAGTGGACGGAACAGTCAACACGACATCAGGATGATTGCTACAAGCCTCATCTAAAGCCGAGCTCGTGAAATGTAGAATCACGGAGTCAGTTTTGGCTTCAAGTCTGGAGCGTGGATGGGCTGCCTTTGGAACCCCTGAAATTGAAAAAAAAAAAAGGATACAACTGGCTTTTTTTATCGTCAAACCTTTGAATTAATATTAGTACAGATAATAGTGTTTTAGTCAAGTACTCACAAGATCTCGCAGCCTGGCCCTCATGAGCTCTTGAAAATCCTCACAAACCCCAAATCACAAATCCTCAAAAGTCCTCGCTAGTCCATTACAAGTCTTCACATTTAAGTCCTCACAAATCCTCATCAGTCCTAACAAGTACCAATGAGTCTTCACAAGTTCATTAGAAGTCCTCACATGTCCTAACAAATCCTTAACAGGTCCTCAAAAGTCCTCGCTAGTCCATTACAAGTCTTCACAATTAAGTCCTCACAAATCCTCATCAGTCCTAACAAGTACCAACGAATCTTCACAAGTTCATTAGAAGGCCTCACGTCCTCACATGTCCTAACAAATCCTTTACAGGTCCTCAAAAGTCATTGCAAGTCCTCACAAGTTCTCACATGTTCTTACAAATCCATCACAAATCCATCACAGGTCCTCATAACTTCATCAAAAGGCCTAACAAGTCCAAACAAGTCCTCACAAGCTCTTACAAGACCATAACAAGAAATCTGGTCCCCAGTCGAGTCATTCCTGTTACTTGTGACTGGAGTTGTGAAATGACTTGTGATTTATATTTTAATTGCACTTGTGAGAAACTCAATTACAGCACTGCAGTAAATGTTCCTTTGTGTTCCTAGACAGTAGATTTTGGAGGACATAAAATATGTTCAAACTCACATAGAACCTCTCCGACTGTGCACACCCATTCTTCATTGCTGTTTAACATCACAGCGCCTTTGAGTACCAAGAGAAATTTGTCGTCAGCTGCAAGACAAAATTATACAAATAACTTAGGTTTCATAATTAAAGCTAAAGTCCATCATTTGCAGCTATCCAAAAAGTAACTGACGTAATTATTGTTGAAAAACATACTTGGTTGAAAGATAGCAAGGGGACTAAACTCCCTGTGAAATTATTCTTCCTGGCAAGCTTTCATTTTGAAGAAATCAACGAAAGAAGGCCTTTCGAAAGAAGGCCGTTAGTAGTTCGTTTTTTTTTATTCAGCGAAGCGCGTGCAAGCGATGGTGCTACACAAACGCGCGTGCGGTTGCTATAATTCGTTGGATCGGTGTGCGACATCGGGTAGCTGCATTCGGCTCAGTGAGAACATGTCTCCGACACTGAATTCAGGCCCAATTCAAAACATGATTCAGCAACTTTTGATAAGAAATTGGATCCTAGAATGCTGTTTTTCTCGGAATATACAGCTGAAGCTGAGCTGAAACTTCATCAGGTTAGTTGTTCAGCACCCTTCTTCAGATTTTTAGTATGTTTGTTGCTTCAAACGAACAAAATGCACAAGTTACAAATGCTGGACTATGGCTTTAATCAGCAAAGCATGGATGAACTCTGGCTAACAATGTGGAAGTCCAGGAAGTACCACTGTACCAACCCGACTCTTTAACTTTTTTTATCCTGGTGAAATGACTTACCCCAGAAAACTTGTGAAGAAGCTTCTGCTTTGATTTCAGTACCAGGAGGTAGGGTAGCATCAATCTTGGTAGGTGTTTCAGGTTTAGAGGCGTCCGTGCCGCCCGCAGATTTGATCATCTTACTCTGTTTCTGGTCTGCTGTACTGCTTTCACCTGTGAGTATAACACAAATTTGAATACAGGGTGAGGAAAAAAAAAACGACACCCAAATGTCAGGACTATTGTTTTAGTGAAGTTTTGCATGTAGCACTTCCAAAATCTAGGATATGAAAGCCCGATTCATAAGCTTTCTGTTGGTACCAGAATCATTCAAATCACTCATATGCTTTTCAAGTTACGGAGTTTTAAACACAACCACTGTTTTAAAGTTCTGTCCACTGATCACAAAAAAATGTGTGCATCCTGTCAGCAAAATGAAAACAATTCACACACATCCCTAAGTGATTTGTTTTCATTTTGCTGAAAGAACACAAATACCTTTTTGTGATCCGTGGACAGAACTTTTAAACAGTGGTTGTATTTAAAATTCTGTGACTTAAAAATTACATAAGTGATTGGAATGATACTTGTACTAAAAGAAAGCTTATGAATTGGGCTTTCATATCCTAGATTTTGAAAGTGCTACATGCATAACTTCACTAAAACAATGGTCCGGACATTGAGTTTCATTTGTTATTTTACTCCCCCTGTAGTGGCTTTTACCCTTCAATATAGACTCATCTAGTGATCACCAACACTGAAGAAGCGCAATGCTGAAGCTCATGAACACGTTCTTAATTTAAGACGAACATGAAATTTGAAACCCTACTGGTTGAAGCTGGGCGCAAGCATTGCGCCACCTCAATAGTGGTTTTTAATATTAGATGCTGAGTCTTTAGTCAGTGCTGCCTAAAAACTTAAGAGGAAAAATCCACACGCTTGCTCAAGTTGGATTTGAACCCACGACCTCCTGCTTACTAGTGCAGATGTCTTAACTACTCAGTCACCAAGCTTGACATGGTTGGTGTAAATCTGTTTTATGATTTTTATATAAATAATAGTAAATCTCACCAATTATGCAGTCGCCAGTTTTGTGTGCCAATGTCTTGGAGTTGAGAGCAATCTTGTACAGTGCATTAAGAGGAGCTTTTGACAGAACATTGGTCTCGGAGAGTCTATGTATCAAAACCTGTGATGACAAGCAGGAGTTTACACAAATGTATTAACAGAGATTTGCTGTCACATGGGATCACCACAAATTCACTTATTATTCAGGGTGTGCTGTTGCCTCGTGGTCTGCAGGTAAAGCTGCAGGTTGTGGGTACGAGTCCAGCCTGTGGCTGTGGTGTGTACCCTTGGGCAAGGCACTTTGTCACTCATTGCTTCTCCCCACCCAGGAGTAAATGGGTACCTGTGAGGGCAGAGTTCAATTTATTGTGATTGATTTTAGTTGCTTTGTGCTGATATGACAGCATCTAGCTGTATATACTCCCCAGGGAGCTGAGATGTCTTTGGAATGTTTCATTGGCCCAATGAGCAGGGTAATAATGATGTAGTGCTTTGATCACCAATAATGGTGGATACGCGTGCTTTATAAATACACCTTATTATTACTATTATCAATCAGAGATTCGGTTAGAAATATCTGAAGTTGAGACAACGTACTTCCAGTCGATAACAGGCATCTTCTGTTGTTGCAGTATTGGCAGCAGTAGTTCTCAGCCTCCATTTGTCTTGCCTCTTGTTAAAATCGCCAGCTGCTTCAAGCTGGTGCTTCAGAGATTGAAGACAAACATTTGTATTTCTTGTATTTGTATTCTCCGCAACTTTTAAACATGAATGAAAAAGTTTTGAAAAATGAGTGTATGATTTTTTCCTTTCAAGAGTAGGTTGAGCTCAATTTTATGGATCTTAATTCTAATCAAGAGAAAAGAATTCCTGCTGTAGCAGCAAATTGTGCACACTGTCAACCAATTATCATGGGCTATATTAGAACATTATTTTGGTTTCTGTCATGTCTATACTTGTACAAATAGTACAACATTTCTACGCACTGTAAGCCAGGGTTCAACCTTAACTTTTTTTTTTACTAGCCAGTCGGGCTACTGAAACAGACTCTTAACTAGCCTGCGGGCATTTTCTTTAGCCCACGTTTTCCTTTTATAGAGTGTCTCATAAACAACAATGTGCACACATGTAAAACGTGTATCCTGAGGCAATCTTGTCAGTGATTTTAATAAACAGTGCAAATAATTCAACCCTAAAACAGTTAATAAAATTGAACACAGTTTGATACACTTGCTTGCTGAATTTAATGATTTACCTCTTCCTGTTGTTTCGTCTTTGCCATAGCCCAATATTTTTTGACTCGCCAGCTGGGCTACTTAAGGGATAGTTTGACTAGCCCGCCGCTGTTTTGACTAGCAGTTGGCTAGCGGGCTACCGCTAAAGTCGAACCCTGCTGTAAGCACTTGTGGAAAAAGCATAACGTCCAATACTTTCCTTACTTTCACACTGTATCGTAATCGATCCTACCTTTTTCACTACTTCGTGAACCATGGCATTTTTTATGATAATCATCTGGCAAGTAGACACTGTCCTTACAGAAACCAAGCTACGACTTCCAGCGAAAAGACCTATACAGGAACAAACAGAACAGATAAATGTGGGTTTAGTACTGAAGCTGGCAAAATGGCAGGGGTAAGTTACAAAACTCTGGTATGAATAGTAGAGTGCATCATGACCACTGGTCGAAGAGCTCCATGTGTAGGACACATACACAGGTCCATGTGTAGGACACATGTTCATACTGACTTCGTTGAATTTTGTTTTTCAAGAAAAAAAAAAAACACTCACAATCAGTTTTCCCCTAAAGAAATTCCCAATATTTTTGAACACAGCCGAAATTTACAAAGAGATACCTTTATGTAATGTTAACGCCTTAGAAGAAAACACAATACTCGATCACATCGAAGTCAATGTTACTTTTTTTTTAATGACTGGCAACTATCTTTTTAGAAAATACATCATTTGCAAACATCAAAAAATAAAACTACCAAATCATTTTGAAATACCTTGCTGGACTGTTAGTGAATGACAGTGTAAATCATCCTGTAAAATCATGGCACCTGGTATACTGTCATTTTCAAGAAAAGTGGTATTTTTGTATCAATTTCCAACGCTGATCGGCCGATGAGCGTTGGAAAAAAACTGGCTTTTTTTCAAATACTGGCCCCAATTGACCATCGCACTTGTTTGCAATCGATTACAAACCTATGAACGGGTACGAGCCAGCTAGACTGGTTCCCTGACCTTACAATTCCCCAATGTATGTAAACTGCTCTGTTTCTTCTTATATGGAGTCAGTTTATATGGTTTTTATAGCATTTTCGAACCCAAAACCTCAAAAAAGTTAGTGTAACTATATTTGCTATATATTTCCAACCCCCCAATTCCATCCATTTCTGAAAATTACAGCAAAAGCAAATGATGTATATTCCCTTTAAATGTTTAAACCATGCGTAAAAGTTTTGCATATTGGAGCAGAACTTTTTCACATGGTTTAAACATTTAACTGAAACATGGTTTAAACATGAATTCCCATCCTAATTGTAATATGCATACCTTCTTCCCCATGCCAGACTGGCCATCTTGCACTGTCCAGCGTTGATAATACCTCCTTCTCTTTCAAAACTTCAACCCTAGCAGAAATAATGACAATAGTAACTCAATTAGAGGAGCACGTTTAACAAAATCAAAGCACTTTATGCTACTAATACCCCTGTCCATCAGACCAATAGAACTCTCTTCAAACCATCTCAGTTCCCTGGGGAGTATGTAGCTTGATGCTGCCTTTTTCACACAAATGACTAATTCACACAAGATAACCATCTCAGAACTCACAGGTACCCATTATCTCCTGGGTTGGGAGGAGCCAATACTGTAAAGTGTCCTGCCCAAGGACATCAGTAATATGCATACCTTCCCTTAATGATGATGATAATATTCCCCTTCCATTGAAATATGTGACACAGCTGGAAAGGGCAGATATTAGTGCAAAGTGTCCTGCCCAAGGACATCAGTAATATGTATACCTTCCCTTAATGATGATGATAATATTCCCCTTCCATTGAAATATGTGACACAGCTGGAAAGGCAGATATTAGTGCAAAGTGTCCTGCCCACGGACATCAGTATTATGTATACCTTCCCTTAATGATGATGATAATATTCCCCTTCCATTGAAATATGTGACACAGCTGGAAAGGGCCGATATTAGTGCAAAGTGTCCTGCCCAAGGACATCAGTATTATGCGTACCTTCCCTTAATGATGATGATAATATTCCCCTTTCATTGCAATATGTGACACAGCCGGAAAGGGCAGATATTAGTGCAAAGTGTCCTGCCCAAGGACATCAGTACTATGTATACCTTCCCTTAATGATGATGATAATATTCCCCTTCCATTGCAATATGTGACACAGCTGGAAATGGCAGATATTAGTGCAAAGTGTCCTGCCCAAGGACATCAGTAATATGTATACCTTCCCTTAATGATGATGATAATATTCCCCTTCCATTGCAATATGTGACACAGCTGGAAATGGCAGATATTAGTGCAAAGTGTCCTGCCCAAGGACATCAGTACTATGTATACCTTCCCTTAATGATGATGATAATATTCCCCTTCCATTGCAATATGTGACACAGCTGGAAAGGGCAGATATTAGTGCAAAGTGTCCTGCCTAAGGACATCAGTTATATGGTGGTGTTCCCTAACGTGGCGCACTTCAACGTTTACCAGACTTTCCTCGTGTAGTGTTGCCAAACCTCTTTGGTGACAAACCTCAAATTCATGCAGTGAAATACTGGTACTTTGACCTTATTAATGCTCGCTATTTAACCTCTGTGAACAATTTCGGTTTCATGAAATTTAATCCGAAATTCAAAAACGGTGGCGTCCGGAAATTGGGCACAAATTGGCGGAGTGTTCCCTAACGTGGCACACTTGAATAAATCTCGGAAAATTCCAAATTGACATTTAAGAATTCCTGTAAAGTTGATAGATTCTGATAAACCATTATTACCTCTACTTACATACCCAACCAGAAGTTTGTCAGAATTTATTTTTCGGGGCATTTTCAAAGGCTTCACTTTGCACTTCAAAATATAATCGGAAAATCACGCCAAAATGAATTTTTCTTCTAACTTTGTGCCCAAGGAGATATGTTGTTTGCATACCTGCCCCTTACGATGATGACAATCTCATCTGCTGGGTCGCCTTCCATAGCAATGAGTGACTTTGCTGGGGCCAATGTGACCGCAGGGCCCTCGGACTGCACTGCCTTGACCAGCGACTCTATAGCAGCGTTACCCCACTGTGAAAACAGTGGTACCTATATTCAGAACACATAACGGTGATGAAGTCAAGTCCATCACAAGTCAATTAACAAGTCCAGTCACAAGTTATAAGGGATGAACGAGAATGTCTTGGTAACCGTTTGTTTCACTAGCTTGTGACTTGAGATGGACTAGACGACAACAATGAAACAGAGCAATACAAAATCTTTAAAGGTACAGTCCATCATTTGCAGCTATCCAAAAAGTAACTGGCATAATTATTGTTTTATATTGTTGTTTTATAATTATTATTTTATACTTGGTTGAAAGATAGTAAGGGGACTAAACTCCCTGTGAAATTATTCTTTCTGGCAAGCTGTCATTTTGAAGAAATCAACGAAAGTAAGGCCTTTCCAGCAGAGCCTCTTAAGAAGCACCGTTGGAAATTTCCGTTAGTAGTTCGGTTTTTTTATTCGGTGAAGTGCGCAAGCGTGGACACGAGGCACACACGCGCGTGGTTGCTATAATTCGTCAGATCAGTGCGCAACATTGCTGAATTTAGGCCCAATTCAAAACATGATTCATCAATTTTTGATTTGAAATCGAGATTGAGAATGTTGTTTTTCTTGAAAATTGCAGCTGAAGTTAAGCTGAAACTTCATCAGATTGGTTGTTTAGCATCCTTCTTTAGATATTGAGCACATTTGCTGCTTCAAACGAACAAAATGCACACATTACAAATGATGGACTATACCTTTAAAACGTTTGAAAAACCTGGTTTTCTCATCAGTCCTATTGCATTTCTAAAGCCCACATACAGCTTATCAGCCTCATAGGAATATGCTCTACTATAAGGCAGTCTTTTAAGAAGAGAACAGTGTGCATAATTGTAAATTTTTCAAACATTTAAAAAAAAATATAAACACATCGTGATACTTGCCTCTTTGAGCACAGTTTTGGTGATTCTGTACATGAGTTCTGATTGGTTGACGGCCCCGCTGGTATCCAGGTACCGCTTCTTCACAAAGTAGTCCAATAGGTTGCTGGTTACCGACTGACCATTCAGTGCAGCCGTTAGGACTTCTGGTTTCAGCAACAGCAATAAAACTCTGAAATCAAATTATTATTTTCTCCTTATTTTCCTGCTTTATTAAAAAAATAGAAATATCCAAGTTGGTAGCCACAAATCCAGCCTTGGAAATTCCGAGCGTACCTCACGTGTGCCATATTCAATCTAATGCGGGTGCAAGCCCCAAAGTTCCTAAGACTAGACTAGACTCAGCTAGTTGATAGCATTCTCTACCACTGTTGATGGCTTGACTGTGCTTGGAATTTGTGTCCGAGTAATGTAAATTCAATGTTGGTTTTTGCCCTTCACCGACGTATTTCATAAACACTGTACCCAAGCGATCGTGAGGAATATAATTCTCAAGCTACTCTGGTAGGACTCGAACCCACGACCTCCTACTTACTAGTGCAGACGTCTTACCACTGAGCTTGCCAGGGTCGGCTGGCTGGTTCGAATTTGACAACTGCACTAGTAAGCAGGAGGTCGTGGGTTCGAGTCGAACCCAAGAAGATAGTGGATTTTGTTCTCATAATCACTTGGGACAACACTGAGTTTACAGTGTTTATAATACATCCGTGAAGGGCCAAACCCAATACTGGCTGCATTAGAGGAACGAAATCCAAATCAGTTTGGACTAAGACTATGTCACCTACTTTGTGGGTGTCTTGACAGTCGCCGTGCAGGGTATGTGAAACAGCGTTGACAATTCCCCAAACAGATCCCCAGAAGAAAGCTCTGCTATGACGGTACCGGACGCAGACACAACTTGAGCCTCACCAGCGATGATGATGTAAATACCTTTAGCATTCTCCCCTTCAAAAAAAGGAAAGCAAGTCACTTTAGCCATATTGTTATTGGCCAGGGTTTATTTCATGTTTCTGGTAAGGCAGTGTAAAAAATAATTTTGAATCGTCTGGGCTTTTTGAAAAGAAGGAGGCGGGCGTTTTAAAAAAAACAAGATGGTGGATTTTCAAAGATGGCGGATGGGTTCTTCCATTTTTTGTACTCTTTTGCTGATACAAAATTGTGTCCAAAGGAACCGTAACCCTTTTCTACATCTAGCTACAATTTTGTTGGAAACAAATGAAAGATGATATATTGACAACATATTTGGAAATATATTGAAAAATGTATGAATTTTTTTTTTAAAAGAGACAAAAAATAATAATAATAATAATAATTTGGGAGGCTAATCATCCTTACTCGCAGCTGGTATGCTGAATTGCGAAGGACACGGCTACAACGTGGTCGGGCTGCTGGTACATGAAGGCGCCTATGGCTGCCGGCCACATCGACCCATATATGACCACGGAGCACAGCCTGAGATCGAAAGTGTTTGATTTTTCCGGAGGGAGGAAAACCGGAGGGCCCGGAGAAAAACCCTCATGGCACAGGAGAGAACCAACGCACAACTCTACTCACATGTGATCCGCGGCCAGGATTCGAACCGTGGTCACCTTGGTGAGAGGCGAGCTCTTAACGCACAAGCCATCCATGCCACCCATAAAAGGTGGCGGACAGGAAAAAGTTAGCGGGTGGGGACAATAATTGGTATTATTTCATTCCTGTTACATGTCCAAGCCATTCTGTTTATACCTTTGGTGAGTATAACCTGCGGCTCAGACACGTCCACCCGTTCCGCTTTCTCGGCTGCTCTGCTAACTGCCTGCTTGTCAACCACCCCCTGTGGGTAGGGCAGAGACGTCAGGCACACCCTGAGCTTGTCTAGGACATGGCTGGGTAGGCTAGGCGGAGAGGATTTAGTACTACGCCTCTTCTGGGACGATCTGTTCGAGTTGGACGCCCCGCCTCCCATTATGACAGCACATTTCTAGCACCCTGGCACCTTCTGTGGAAGAAAATGGTATAGTCGTGTTCCCTAACGTGGCGCACTTCGGAGCTTGCCCAACTTTCCTCGTGTAGTGTTGCCAAACCTCTTTGTTGACAAACCTCAAATTCATGCAGTGAAATACTGGTACTTTTACGATATTAATGCTTGCTATTTAACTTCCGTGAACAATTTCGGTTTCATAAAATTTAAGCCGAAATTGAAAAACGGTGGCGTCCGGAAATTGGGCACAAATTGGCGGAGTGTTCCCTAACGTGGTGCACTTACATAAATCTCGGAAAATTCCAAATTAACATTTAAGAATTTCTGTAAACTTGATAAATTCTGATAAATCATTATTATATCTACTTACATACCCAGCCAGATGTTTCGTCAGAAAAGTATTTTCTTATTTTTCGGGGCATTTTCAAAGGTTTCACTTTGCACTTGAAAATAAAATCGGAAAATCACACCAAAATAAATTTGTCTTTTAACTTTGTAGCGGGTAAATAAACTCGCAATTGCAATATGTGACACAGCTGGAAAGGGCAGATATTAGTGCAAAGTGTCCTGCCTAAGGACATCAGTTATATGGTGGTGTTCCCTAACGTGGCGCACTTCAACGTTTACCAGACTTTCCTCGTGTAGTGTTGCCAAACCTCTTTGGTGACAAACCTCAAATTCATGCAGTGAAATACTGGTACTTTGACCTTATTAATGCTCGCTATTTAACCTCTGTGAACAATTTCGGTTTCATGAAATTTAATCCGAAATTCAAAAACGGTGGCGTCCGGAAATTGGGCACAAATTGGCGGAGTGTTCCCTAACGTGGCACACTTGAATAAATCTCGGAAAATTCCAAATTGACATTTAAGAATTCCTGTAAAGTTGATAGATTCTGATAAACCATTATTACCTCTACTTACATACCCAACCAGAAGTTTGTCAGAATTTATTTTTCGGGGCATTTTCAAAGGCTTCACTTTGCACTTCAAAATATAATCGGAAAATCACGCCAAAATGAATTTTTCTTCTAAGTGTTTAGAACTTGATGAAATTTCACTCTCTGTGAAATTTCAGTTAAAACTTTTGCTCTAGCTAGGCGCTACATGCGAAAAATCAAAGTGCGCCACGTTAGGGGCCGCTCCACGTTAGGGTACATCAACAATAATAACATTATATAAAGAGGAACAATTTTTTAAAACAGAAGAGTAAATAAAAGTCTGATTTGAAAATACAGGGCATGGCAGATGATATATATTCAAATTGTGAGTTTGTACGAAGGCAAATCTTCCAAAGTTCCAAATCGCTAGAAAATACTTCGAAAATGCACTCAACTCTCCATAGACTTTGTACACAAGTTAACCAAAGTGAAAGAAGTGGAACTCGATAATGGAAAAAAAATGAAGAAATGAATACTTTGTCATTGTTTGTGTTTTTTAAATAACAGGAATGTAAGTGGCTGGCATTAAGGTTTAACCTATTAATTTGAAGTTCTACTCACGGGAAAATAAATGATGAAAACATTTAAGTGTTGACATTGACAACAGACGTCAGTCGCAACTAGAGTCAAGCCATGTTGGTTTACTGAGAGAACAGCGCCCTCATTATTTTGTGAGCACTGCGCGTAAGCCGTGGGAGGCGGGGCCCCTTAATTTAGCGGGGGGGGGGGAGATCTTTCATAAATTGAACATTCTTCAATTGAAAAGCAATGCAGGGTTTTTGTGAGAGAAAAACAAAGCAATGTAGAAACGCATTATTTTGAATAATTGGGGGGGGGGGAGAAAAAGATCAAACATCGCGATTCAAATGCAACTGATCAGGGAACTTCCCCAGAAAATTCGTAAAAAAAAAAATGTTTTTGCCATGACCAGGATTCGAACCTGGGTTATTGCGACCACAACGCAATGTCCTAACCACTAGACGATCACAGCGTGATGAAATATTATCAAATACAATTATATATTCCTTTTTTTTTTAAGTGAAATGGAAAATATCAAAATGGCATGACGGAAAACGGAAAAATATAGCGCCCACAACGTAATGTCCGACAGCCGCTGCACAAAAATTGAAGAAATTATTGCGAAATACGTCTCTTATTTTGATTAATTTTGTTTAAATAATGAAAAATGTCAAAAAGTGTGCCGAGACCAGGATTCGAACCTGGGTTATTGCGACCACAACGCAATGTCCTAACCACTAGACGATCACGGCCAACGAGCAAACGCTTGACTGAAATTAGTGTCAATCTTTAGAGTCAAAATAAGTGTGTCAATCCAATCAGTGTCGCGAAAATAAGTTTAAAAAGTCATGCATTTAGCACATTATTCACATTTTAAACATTTTTTTTTGCGAAAATGCCAGTTTTTAACATTCTTAAAATTGTTGACACAAAATTTGCCCCCTCCTTTTTTTTGGGGGGGGGGGGGTGGGGTTTGCAACGTAAGCCTACTTCAAAACTGACATTTCTTATAATCAGTCATATTCAAAGTGACAACTTCGTTATACAGGGACCCCTCCATCTATCTATCAATTTCTATCCATTGAAAGAGGATGTAATGGTGAATTTAATTCAGATCTTCGAATTTTATACAATTTTTTTTTTCAATCTTTAAAAAACTGGTACTTAACTAGAAAGATCTCCGGACAGAGATTGTTGTTCAATTTGGCGCTCCCCCACAGAAATTTAATTCTATCGTTTGCATTTTCCCCAATTAAACCCGAGTACTGAAAATCAATTAGTATCAAAAAGTTTACTTGGATTTAAAGATAACATTGGTACTATTAACACCCTATGAAATTATTCCGTCTGGCTTGCTGGCATGTATAAGAAATCAAGAACGGTCCTGAGGCGATTTGCAACGATCAGTCAATTGACTTGAGTTTTGGAAATAAAAAGTGCAATTGAGGCAGACGTGTTTTTTTATCAAAAGGGTGTGGAATGTTTTTCACTATTTTCTCGAAAAGTGTAATATCCACTGAGCTGAAACTTCAACAGGTCAGGTTTTGAGTTTTCTTCTTTGTATTTAGAGAGGAGTTATTATTGGAAACGCACGAATGAAATGCATGAAGCGAAAATGCCTTTATGCTTTAAGCATCACCTTGGCTCGTAAAATTGACTTAGACGACAATACCCGACCAGTTCAATTTATGGCTTGCTTAGTCTTATCTTCTCAATCTTGGAAACACGGCACAGAAAGAGAAAAAGCTTTATAAGGCTCCTCGTCCTTTACACAAAGTCTCCCACCCCGCGTTTTGGGAAAACGCGTTCGGTTGGATCTGGGCTGTTAATTCTCGGCAGTAAAAAGCTTACCCCGAACATTCCTTCCTCGTTGGGTATACCACACGGGCCGTGTTTGAGTGGTGTATACACAAGGAACGATAAAGTCAATGATGTTATATAGACCGATGTTGTTTAGTCATCTCTAGGATAATATTGGATTTGATAATCAAAATGGACCTTTGGACTTTCAGTGAGTGATCTTCAGTGAGTGATCAAGTAAGCATTCTGTGTTTCCTCTGTTCAGGATTCTGTGCATCACCACGTTGTCGAAATTCCGTCGATAAGAGCCTACATACGCGCCAGTAAAAAGCTCATTCATTTGGTCTGAACTTAAATGGGGAAAACTTGCGTCCGTCTGCTGCCTGTGCAGTCGACTGATGATGATAATGATGATGAACTGTAGGCTATAACTACACAAAATGGACCTCGATGTAAAACAACATTTAAGCAAGGTATGCAAGTTGATATTCTTTGATTTTAAATCTTCTGTGAATTTCGTAGACCACAACGAACATTTTGGGGCAAGGAATGTCGTGTAAGTTTGAAGTAAATGTAGGCCTAATACTTATAATTATAGCATTACAATCTCAAAGCATTACAATTATTCCCCCGATCATCAGGCCACGCGAGACCGCGCGGCATCTGATATCAGCGCACATTCGGTCCTGGCTTCAGGTTTCAGGTTTCAGATTTGTGTATTTTCACAGTATCAAAAATCAAATACAATGGTATACCATTTTACCAAGTAAATTTTATGCAAAATTAATGCAAAGAAATGCAAGGTAATTGTGACACTGCAGAGGGATCCATTATTTTAGAAAGCACAGCTTGTATTCAATGGTCCCTAATTTACATGCACTGCATTGAGACAGGAATAAAAGAATGTTAATCGAACCATTCAGGTCCCTGGCCGATGAACCAATGAAAAAAAATGTAATAGTAGGTCTCAATGCACATGCATGTTTGCAAGGAAAAAAGGAAGAAAGACAATTTACCACTAACATTTATACAAGAAAGTGGACCAACACAAACAATGGACAAAGACTACAAAGCGACAGCTACAAAGAGGTCTTATCAGATCAGCAGATAAAGTGGGTTAGAATGTAGAACAAGCAACAATAAGATTCCAGTAAAACAGATTTAAAAATACGTTTGAAAGCAGAAATATTTTTGGATGCTTTGAGCTGGTCATTAAGCCTGTTCCACAGCATGGGTCCCTCGTGTTTAATAGTTTTACGAGCTAGCGAAGTACGGGTGTAAGAAATGTGGAAATTGGAAGCTTGACGGGTAAAATGGTAATGAATTTCTGAATTGCGAGAAAAAATAATTTGGATAGGAAAAGGTACATTTTTACAAGCAAGCTGGTATATGAGGGACCCAAGCTGGTGACAATAAATATCCTTGACTTTACTATATATGTAGCCAGTCATACTCCTGGGTGGAGATATAATTATGATGATATTTGTAAAATCCAAAATGCATGCAAATACCAAAGGAGCCCCTTTTAAATCCTTGTGAAGATTTGTCTCAATTTTTTTTTACTATATGCCCTATAGATGAAAGTCGAAGCGACGGAAACTGGTGAGGGATGGATGAACGAATGCCAAGACAGCTTGCTGAACTTGAGAGTCTAAAAGTTTTGTTGTGACATTTTGAATGATGTCATTTTCATTATGCGCCAAGTTGTGCTGTGGCCATGCGACGCTCAAAATTACCCAAGTACGTTAGGGCGCTCTGTGCCTTTATAGCTATCTATGCTATTTGCCGTATCTTACCTACCTCTGACCAAGAAGCTGGTAGCGATGTAGGAGCAAGATCTTGGGTAAAGTTGACAGGGAGGAAGCTCCTCATGCACATTGGCTTGACAGACTCGATATGTGACAGCTCCGGAGCAAGGCACCTGCCGGAGTTTGGAAGAGGATGCTACCTCCGAGACAAGCTGACCTGCTCAGGCCTTCCGACGCTCCACTCGGCCTTCGCGGAGTCCACGCGCGGTGAGTTGGTCTTCGTGGGCGTCAAGCGCCGAGACGAGGCCTGGGATAAGGAGCAATTCATCTGCGAGTTCCCCAACGGGGAAATGACCCTCACCGACCCTGTTGTGAGGGACTACCGGAGTTTTGGCAACGGGTACCCGCAGTACCTGGTGGTCATCACCTGCCCGATGCCACCAAGCATCTCCGATGAAGTCAACCGGCGAGGCATCCGTCGGTTTAGGGTGAACTTTCGCCTGGCTTCCGATCCCCGGTACGCTTACACCGGCGTGCCGGTGTGTCTCACCGAGTCGCACCGGCGCGAGCTCACCCTGTGCACCATGGTCAAAGACATGGGAAAGTACATCCCAGACTGGTTGTTCTACTACAAAAATCTAGGCGTGGAGCATGTCTATATCTACGACAACGACCCAAGAACCACCATGCCCGAGGATCTGAGGGGCTACCTCGACACGGGGTTTGTGACTCTCATACCATGGGCGCACACCCCTAGCCCAGACAAGACGTACCTAGAGGTGCAAATAGCCCACGAGAATGACTGCCTGTGGCGTCTTCGTCACAACACGGAGTGGGTGCTCAAAGTAGACGTAGACGAATTCGTCCAGCCCATGGACCCAAACCGGACCAGGATAACAGACTACCTAACCGATCCTCGGCTGAAATCTCTGGCCACGATAAAGCTCAGGAATTGGTTCTTTGGCCGACCACCCAACTCCAAGAAGAAAATTGTAGCGGCCAGGACGGTGTTCGAGCGGAACCCGTGGAGAGTGCCGGACGCCACGCCGGAGAACCGCGGCCGCGACAAGTGCATCGTCCGGCCAATCAACGTCCACTATTTCAAGATCCACGGGGTCAAGATTGGGGGAGACACGCTGACCCTTGACCCCGAGGATGACCTCAGGCTCGTCCACTACCGGAAGGACAACCCGAGACATCGAGGCTTTCGCATGCGCCAGTTGGTGAAAGATGCCAGCATGATTGAAATTTGGAAGAAAATGACGAGTGGAAGGGATGTCTCACCCGAACTTTTCAAACAGCATACAGACGCAAGTTTACCATAGTTTTATATCCATAAGTGTATTTAACTAAGACATCACCTCTAGCAGTAATAAAAACTGTTAACAGTATTTACATTCCCCAAAGGTATGAATGAGTTCTTTTTTGTTGGTAATCATCGGTTTGAGTTACTATGGTCGTTTCCAGTATTAAAACTAATAAATAAACGTTAGAGGGCCTGTCGTTTCAATCAGCAGGATCTGCCTTAATCAAAGGCTATACGTTTAACTGATAGCTTCCCCCCAATAGACTTTATTCACGGAGGGAGAACGTCAGAGCTGTGGTGAAGTCCATCACAAGGCAATCATATTAGTCAAATGACAATGGACCGATCCAGTAAGCCCCGCCCACTGCACACGTGGGGAAATTAACACGTGCTCCTCTCCAATGCCACGCTGAATTTTCCTGCCGCGCGCGCGCATCATACGCGCGTGTACGCACGTCGGACTTTTGTGCACGGCTTTTAAATCACAGCTGTGATTGGTCAGTCAGAATACCATGGGGCGGTGCTTACTGGATCGGTCCATTCCTGGGATGAACAATGACAAAGGAATGCCATTTTCAAAGTTACAGTGAAGCGTGGATGACTTTTGATTGACATTTGAGAATACGTGAAGACTTGTCTATCCAACCTGGTTCCTCCAATCAGAGCGTTTGAGAGAGAAACCCGACTTTCTGCCTGTTCTCATCCATGTACTATTGCTATACCTACATGTACATGTAGATGTAGAACTAAAGGATATTCCAATAGCTTTTCCCCACGTGCTGCATCTCTTTGGAATTCCTTGCCTGGTGCTTGTTTCCCTCCAACCTATGATCTGTCCTGTTTCACGAGGAATGTTAATTCCTTCCTTCAGTTTTCCTGAGTACCTACTCTTCTTTGTATTTCTCTTGTAGCCCTGTACCTGGAGTGGCTTCTAGCCTTGTTTCAGGGCAAATATGCATACAAAACTACGTCTCTGACTATTTTTTACTTTGGACTTTCTGTACCGTAGATTCAATGATAATTCAATGTACATGTACATTAAATTTTACTACCCTAGTAAAGGCACCGCATCTTTACCGTAGTGCGCCCTCTATTGTGCTTGCCCAGTATCACATAGCTGCCAACTTTTCAAAATCCCAATTAGTAATCAACCCGCGCGGTCATTTTCAACTGCTCGTTTGATCAAAAGCTTTACAAACATCGAGTACAGGTACATGGTTTACATGTACACATACATGTGCATACCCCTTCTTTTTGTGAATAATAATGTACTGTAGGCCAAAAGATAATTTAAAAAAAAAAAATAAAATAAAAAAATAAAAAAATAAAAATAATAATTAATGATGTTTTAATGTCTGTTTTTGTTTGTTGAAGTCAAATAAATAATAACAACAATAACATGTGCGCATATTTTGTTTGAGATGCATGCTATCGATGTGGAGTTTCGAGTTCGTATCATCAATGTATTTACACACAATGATTTAGGGCCACCGTATGCAATAGAAATATCCCGCCAACATACCTTGCAAACGCATGCTGATTTATCTTTTCTGGATGTTGTGACAAACTCAAACTCTATTACCAATTATTCCAACCATACTCTTATTAAATTCCATGATTAAAATCTCGCACTGATGGGTCTCATCCCGGCAATAAGCGACCAAATGTGCTCACGATCGTCACTGAAAAGCACTCACACACAGTACACACAACCACACATCCACGAGATGCACACAAATGACACACCATTGAAAAATAGTTTTAGTCTGGTCCTCAAGTACTCCACTGCGCACACTGCATTGATGTCTATCAGGTGCTTGACTGCATTCTTATTAGACTTGTCACTAGTCCATCCATTATCGCGACATTTCGCCAGAAGTTTTCGGTCAAAAACGATACTTTACAAGTATTTTTTTTTCGTTATGTAGAAAATGGGAAATTCGTAATATTTTAGTGGCAAATCGTATTTTCGTAATTTAACAAACAATTCGTAATAATTACGAAAAATTCGTAACAGTTGGCAGCTATGGTATCACCAAATCCTTAAAGGGGCTTTCGCACGCACGTACTGCGGCCGATCGACTGTGCATGTTCGATGCCCAAAAAAAGATTTTTAAATAGATGAAAACACAAAACCATCAACATGAACTTCGGATGTAAATCAATGAATGAATATTTTAATTTCAAAGGGCATTTATCAAAAACTACAAATTATGCATGAACAAAGTGTTCTCACTTTCTCCTCATAAAGTTATCTTCACTTTGTTCAAATTAAATTTACAATTTCATTTTTGAGATTTGTATCACACGATATGGCTGGATTATTTGTGTGTCACTAGGTATATTTGAAACTGAAACAAACTTAAATAGGCCGAGTAAAAAATAAAATGATTCTCCTCTGGGCTTTTTGAAAACCCAAGATGGCAGAATTTCCAAGATGGTGGAGGAATTCTTCCATTCTTTTTACTTTTTTGCTGATACAAAATTGTGTCCAAAGGAACCTAACCCTTTCTACAAAGCTACAATTGTGTTGGAAACATATAAAAAGACAATATATTGGCAAAATTTGCAAAAGATATTGCATATTGAATGTATCAGTTAAAGAGGTTGTGGAATGCTCGAAGACATTTCCGTCATTTTTCGGGTATATGTAGCCTAAGGTGTGATGAAATAAAAACGACTATTGTGTCTGTCATAAAATGAGTATAAAAGGTACTTTTGAGAGCTGTTTTTCAGGTCCTGTTTCGACCCGAACGTGCAATTTGTGCAAACGTCGTCGTTGGGGGCAGCAAACAAAACATAGTAAATCGTGACGTAATAAACAGGACTCCCGATGCAGCGTAGTATAAACGAGTCCTGTTTATTACGTCACGATTTACTATGTTTTGTTTGCTACTCCCAACGACGACTTTTACACCAATTGCACGTTCAGGTCTTCTTTTTTTAAAATTTCATCACACCTTAGGCTACATATACCTGAAAAATGACGGAAATGTCTTCGAGCATTCCACAACCTCTATAAAAAAAAGAGGCATGTAGAAAAAAGGAAGGGGGTGGGGCCTTTCCGAAGATGCGTCTATTTCCGTTATTAGATTGTTTTTAATTCCGCGAATCCGTGAATGGATGCGCGTGGTTGCTATAATTTGTCGGTTCAATGTGTGAAATCGCTTAGCTGAATGAGAAAGTGTCTCGGACTCTGATTTCAGGTGCAATCAAAATATGACTCGACAATTTCTGAATTGAAATCGAGATCCTAGAATATTGTTTTCTCAAAATATACACCATTCACTGAAGTAAAACTTAATCGAGTTAATAATGCCCAAATGACAAATGACCTACAATACCTTCAAGCGAAATTTCTGCTTTTGATGACTTCACAAAATCAGCAATTAATCAGTTTCATTTTCATGTTTAAACAAGGACAAACTATCAACAAAACATCGCAAAATACCAGTAGAAATAAAGCTGACATTCATGGAATGACTCAAGATTTATCTGTCGTTTTACTTTTCATAGAAGGTATACTTTTCCAGTACAACGAAAATTACTGAATGGCTAATGCAGAATCTTCTTGTAATGCTTTTCAAAGCTAACTGTACTTCAAGAGATAATATATTTGGTTGTATTGGACTGAAAAAAAGTTTGACGATTGTCAACTAGCAAGTGAACGACTACAGCAAGTCAAATTATGGTAATTAACCGTATTTTTTTTGGTATAAAACAGGCTCGATTTTAGAATTTGATTTTTCATGTCGATTGTTTCTCACGTATACAGACTGCCGTGTAGGGCCCTTCTCTCCACAAGTTTCCTTAAGACTGCATCAGCATTAGGGTTCTTCTGAAAATGGAACAAAGTCAATGAAAAGTTACTTGTCATTGTCACAGAGGTTGGGGTGGGGTTGGGGGTGGGGTGGGGGTATAAGGGTGGGGTAAGGGGATGGGAGGGGGAGGTGTTGGTCTATTAACCCTCGGAGTAGAGTGACCAAAAAAATCACACAGTGAAACCACATGGAGAATTTTATCACCACACTGTTTCTAGGTCAATAACCCCCTCATGCACAAGATATAGGCAGGTCACATGGCCTTTGTGTGGGCCAGGATTGTTTACGACCTGTCTGAGCTCTGGGCGGCACGAGGGGTTGACACAGAGAGATCGAGGGGTTGACACAGAGAGATCGGTGGCACAAAGGGGTTGGCCACTAAGATCTCCAATTACTGCACAAAGGCATTAGGCGCCTCTTGGGGCTGCTGTCTTTCAACACTCCTTACTCTGCAGTGGTTAGGGTCTGGCCAATGGGAGTCTACAGGCTTGTGGTGTATAGTAGGGGTGAAGATTACATGGAATCTTGGCCTTATTGGCCCATTGAAAAAAAAGTTATGATCACCAAGAATGGGATAGCGTAAGACTGTGGTATACAAGTCCATTGTTGGCTATTCCCCAGTTTATATCGGTCCCCGTTTGTACTCCTGGGTAGATAAAGACAATTGGGGAGAAGTGTCTTGCCCAAGAACACAACAAGGACTAAACAAAGGAATCAACTGAGGTGGAATTTGAACCTGTGGCCACAGGAACACTGTGCCAGCACTCTACCAACTGAATTATCCAGTCAAAATTTGTTTAACAAGTCTCAATCTAGAAATGCCAAGATAAACTCACCTTGTATATTTTCTTGAGAGGACTGTTTGACAACAGGGAATTGAATACTTTGATGTCGTCTGTGTGTAGAAACAGGCCATCCAGAAACCCAACATAGACAACACAGGACACGCCAAATATGTGGCAGTGGCTCAGTACTGAGTGGAGGACAAAAGACAAAAGAAACAAGAAATAAGAGAGCAAAATTCAAAAGCTGATGTGTTCATGCTCAGCTGAAAAATCCATTTAATTGATTTCTCCCTATCGAATTGTGCACGAAAAACATGAATTTTATTTTGGTACTTCAAAAAGATTGTTTTTGTTGACATTAAGCATCAGACCATAAGTATTTTTGCTTGGGACATTCCTTAATCCTTCAAAATCCACCGTTGTGCAGGAAACCAATGACACATTCTTTGGACTTGAAACTTGCAAGGGATGTCGATCCTAATATACGGGGAACAGTCACTGACCAAGCTTTACTTTCTCTAATCCTCCAAAATCCACCATTGTGCAGCAAACCAATGGCACATTCTTTGGACTTGAAACTTGCAAGGGACATCGATCCTAATGTATGGGGAACAGTCACTGAACAGGCTTTACTTTCTCCAATCCTACAAAATCCACCATTGTGCAGGCAACCAATGGCACATTCTATGGACTTGAAACTTGCAAGGGGCATCGATCCTAATACATGCATATGGGGAACAGTCAGCGACCAGGCTTATTCCTCCATTCCTACAAACTCCTACCAAACCTTACAGCCGATTTGAAGGATTAGGGAGGGTTTATTAATACAGGGTTGATAGAACCGGACTCAATATCTTGTTCAAAATCTTGAATGAAGTAAACAAATTATTGAAAGGTATTAAAATAATAATATACCTGCAGCACTTAGTCCTTTGACAACATTAGGCGACTCTAACACTTGGCACTGCAACTTAGAACTGTGCGTCTGGGACTGAAGTGACCGGAGGAAAGGGGTTGACATTTCCGAGGGCGACATTTGCGTTCTGTACTCTGTTGTCGGGGCCGTATCCATGACGATGACCTGGAGTTTTGTTGTGTCAAGGTCTTGGAACATCTGCCGCAGTAAGCATATCAAATAATTAATACCCCTATCTCTATAGAACCCCTTTTTAAGAGTTTAAGTTACCTCCCCTTTTGCAATGAGCATGGTAGCCAATGAGAGTACAGAGTTATATCATGAATGCAGGGTGAGTAAAAAAAACAAAAAAACCCAAATATCATGACTATTGTTTAAATGAAGTTCTGCATGTGGCACGTTCAAAATCTAGGATAAGAAAGCCCAAATCATCAGCTTTCATTGAGGACAAGAATCATTCAAATCACTCATGTTCTTTTCAAGTTACGGAATTTTAAACACAAACACCGTTTCAAAGTTCTGTCCACGGATCACAAAAAAAAAAGTGTCCTTTCAGCAAAACGAATACAATTTACTTGCATCCCGATATGGTTTGTTTTCGTTTAGCTGAAAAAAACCACTTACCTTCTTATGATCCGTGGACAGAACTTTAAAACGGTGGTTGTGTTTAAACTTCGGTAAGTTGAAAAGTACACAAGTGATTTGAATGATTTTTGTACTGAAAGAAAGATTATGAATTTGGCTTTCACATCCTAGATTTTAAAAATGCTACATGCAGAACTTCACTAAAACAATGGTCCCGACATTTGGGTTTCATTTTATTGGACTCACAGTGTAGTTAGAAAAAATGGACTTGATGGAAACACTTCTATATTTTACCCTCTATTTGGAAAAGTTACAAATGGCATCACTATGCATAGCCTACCTTTTCTGTCCAGATGTGACACATCTCTGGAACTATTTCGTGCTTGCACTGGCAAACCAGAACCTCTGGCTGCCGTTTGAGCCGATACACTGAGCACGTGCGGTGACCTGCCACAGATTCTGGCCTGACCTCTGACCTGTTGGGGTCGCAGTCTATTGTCCCCACAATGGTGGGGTCATCCCAAAGGATGTAGGCATCTAAGAAACCTGATAAGAGGGAATTGAGAAAAGTAAGGTGGCACTTCTTTATTGAATGAGAAAAGAATATGCAAGAACTAAGAGGTATTGTATGGGGAATCGATTATAAGGATGATGATTGTAAAAAACACACATTTTTTTATTTGAAAAGTGTAAGAATTTGGGTCTCAGAGTGTCTTGTAAAAACGTGTTCTACTTGTCATACATGTATATATTTTAGCTAGTTTAATCATCATCATCTTCGTGTTTGATATTTTATTTATTGGTTTAGGCCTAATCCTTGACCATTTACTAGACTGTTAAAAATCCCTAAATGTTCTGTAGGTCAAAATAAATGCACAAGTTGTATTTAAGCTACCTGTTGCTGCTGGGCCAATGCCAATGATGAGCATTTCACAGCCGAACCTTTTCCCAGGAGACTGTTCAATGTCTTTTTGGAAATCATGCTTCCACTGCAACTCTGGCTCCCTAAACAAAAAGTTGAAAAGCAAATCATCAGGGCCCAATTTCACGGCGCTGCTAAGCACATGATTTTCTGCTAACAGAGCTTCCATCTATTTCATGGAGACTGTAAGCATAGGCACAGCAAAAGGCACGCTTTCTTCAGAGGAAAAATTTGCTTAAATTAGTGATTAACAATAGAAATCTCCATGCACTCGCAACCGTTAGCACGTCCACGCCGTGAAATAGTGCTTAAGGCTAGCAAATTTTTCTTCTATGCTAAACACAAATTTTCTGCTTACTGTTAAGCAGCGCCGTGAAATTGGGCCCAGGCCTGGCCCTAGGGCCCTAGTATTAGTATTACTATGCTTTATATTTTCCCGCATTTTTTTCAAGTTACTATAGTATTAGTAAGGCCTAACTTGAAAAAAATGCGGGAAAAAATAAAGTATAGCATTGTATCTAGGCTACTGGTTCACACAGTTCATCCTCCCCTATATCATGTTGTTCCAAATTTTTGCTTTGTATTTAACAATCAAAGGTTTATATGACAGTAAAATACATGTTTTCAAAATAAATGTGGTCATTTTTCTTCGCCATGCATGGTTAGCCCACTTCATCAACAACCATGTCAACTGTCCGGAAATTGGACCAGCACTTCGCTTACGGGAAACGCGACTGAGTTTCATCCTCTTCCTCTTCTTCATCGTCGTCCACAGCCCGAGACGGTAGGTTGATCACTTCACCGAAGAAAGTGGCCATTTTCGGCGCTTGGGTGTCTTTAGAAACTAATGTTTGAGAGCAGATTGCCTTCAAAGGCTTCATATACAGTCTTCTGTCGAGTCACACATGTGTAAATAGCATCTTCCGAAGGAGGGCGCCCTACACAAACACTGGTCAGCACCCGAAGACTTCTGTCAATGCGGATCACGATCTGCAAATTAAACAAAAATACACCACTCTTTGTGGAGACAATAAATCCAGAACAACACATTGCTCTGGCTTGAGATTGCGTCCGATTATTGGCCATCGATATCTTACACAAGAGGTTTGAAAATCAACGGGAACTGTGGAAGAATAAGTTTAATATGATTTAAAGAAAATGAAGTGTTTTATCACGAAAAGTTCATTCCCAATCTTAATCACTTTATTAAACAAAAACAGAACACTCTTTGTGGAGACGATAACTCAAGAACAACATATTGCATTGGATTGACATCTCGTTTAATAATTGGCCGTGATATTTTACACAAGAGGTTTGGAAATTGATGGGAACCGTTGAGGAATAAATTTAATATGATTTAAAGGGAAAATACAACATTTGCAAACATCAAAAAATAAAACTACCAAATCATTTTGAAATACCTTGCTGGACTGTTAGTGAATGACAGTGTAAAGTATCCTGTAAAATCATGGCACCTGGTATACTGTCATTTTCAAGAAAAGTGGTATTTTTGTATCAATTTCCAACGCTGGTCGGCCGACCAGCGTTGGAAAAAACTGGCTTGTTTTCAAATACTGGCCCCAATTGACCATCGCACTTGTTTGCAATCGATTACACACCTATGAACGGGTACAAGCCAGCTAGACCGGTTCCCTGACCTTACAATTCCCCAATGTATGTAAACTGCTCTGTTTCTTCATATATGGAGTCGGGGAACCAGACTACAGGAAAATGATTGTTTTTCTTGGTTTTTATAGCATTTTCGAACCCAAAACCTCAAAAAAGTCAGCGTAACTATATTTGCTATATATTTCCAACCCCCCAATTCCATCCATTTCTGAAAATTACAGCAAAAGCAAATGATGCATATTCCCTTTAACGAAAATACACCTTTTCAATCCCGAAAAAATCATTCCCAGACTCGTGTGTTTGACTGAAGCGACCGGTTGTTGCGTGAAAAAAGGCTGATGTGGTTTGGGATTGGAATCATTTGCCCTTGAGCATTAAACTGAGGTCTTGCCATGATGACTGATAGCCAGGCAAATGATTCCAATCCCAACCGCAGCCCTTTTTGTCAACATCGAAGGATTTTACTCAGCTTACATAACACAGCACTAAAATTCAGTAAGGCAAGGAACTTGGTCGCAGCGTCCAAAAAAATGTTGTCGTGTCAAAGGATAATTGTGTAGTAATGCGTTACTAGAATTAAATGAAATTTGTAGGGGTTAATGCCAAGGCTTAGGAGTACCAGCACAACTACTCCCTGGTTTTGTAGTTATTTCAAAATAGTCAGGCGGCCACTTGCTTTGGGAAATATTGATTTGGGAAATCGTGTTTTCGTGATCATAATTCAGGTTGTGCATGGTTTTTCCTCGTTTTCCTCGTGTAATATCCACTGAGCTGAAACTTCTTTCTCGTGCCTGAGAAATTATCTAATAAATAAAAAATAAAATAAATAAAATAAATAAACTTCAACAGGTTAGGTTTTAAACAATCTCCTTTGGATTTTGAGCGGTGTTATCATTGGAAACGAACAAACTGCACGAAGTGCAAATGATACTTCTGATAATGAATTCTTGTTGTTTGCCGATCGCCGGACCAACCACTGCAGATAACACAGTATTTGCATATACCGGTGCAGAAGTCAAAAGGTCACACACACATAACAGTTCTTTGCCTTTAATCAATTTCAGTGCTGTGTAATAGCCATAAAAATTATTCAGATGCCAACCGCAGCCCTTTTCACAATAATTATGAAACAGCTTACATAACACGACACTGAAATTCATTAAGGCAAGGAACTTGGTTACAGTGTCCAAAAATGTTGTTGTGATCAATTGACAATTGTGCAGTGATGCGGGACTGAAATTAAATGAAACTCAAAGAGGTTCAGGCCAAGGATTAGGAGTGTCTGCATAAAAACACATTCAAAATTGACTTTATGGTTATGTAGTTATTTCAAAAATAGTCAGACGGACACTTTTTTGGGACATACTGTATAGCGCCCTCAACAGTTGTGCACAAGGCGAATAGGATCTGTCACCCCGGAACCGATCTTTTTGAGTGAAGTATGAAGGCATCGCTCGTACTGGTAACCAAGTTTAGTGAAGTCCACAGGTTGCAGGCCAGTAAATAGGCCCAAAATTGCCAACGCCTACGCTGGCCAATTAAATTATCTGCTAAGAGCAATTTGTGCCGGGTCATGAATTTCAGGATTTGTTAAAAGTAAAAGTGGAAGCCGTGCACAGGACTGTGAGCTTGGGCCAAGTTCGCGCAAGGACTATAGTTGACCAATGGTTATCGATTAACGCTTGCCCGAACTCTGTCTAGTCAACGGTGGTTGACTATGCTAGTCGACTATTTGGAACCAACCTACTGGGGCTGCATGGTTGCATCGCTGGTAACCAATAGCCGCGCGCATTCATAACGCTAGCAGAGAGCCAGGATCCAGAAGTTTTGCGATGACATTTTGACCAGCGTTTGACTAGAGACGTTCGCACGTTGCTATCAGTGCGCAGGCGTAAGGTACGTCACAAATCAACCACTTGTCGACTGATGGTCCTTGCCCGAACTTGGCCTTGAATATGTGTAAAATTTGGATGAAATTGCCATTGACCATAGGGATCTATGGTAGTTTATTTTACTGGTCTGCAACCTTCACTGGAGGAATTTGTGAAACACGTGACCTTGGGTCAGAAGTTCTGCGTGCGCAGGACCCAGTGCGCACGGAATGAGCTACCCACAGTGCATTGCGACATCTTCATTTCCTTCATAGAGACCTTTGTAAATCGCAGACAATTGCAGAAAAATCCACCTCATGGCGCTTAAACAAAGAATAAACACAGAAACTGTATTATGTAAGTTAAAAAACTAATTCCAATAGAACCTCAAGATAATACAAAAACAATTCAAAAAGCTGCATGGGGGGCCTACAATCTAAAATCTAAAAAGCGATTTACAACACTCAAGCAAACATACTAGATAAAAACAGGAATAAAGAGGTATTTGCCAATAAAAGACAACGATCAAACCTTTGTACATGGAAAACACCAAAAATACTACTAATTCACTGCATTCAAATACTGTTTAAAAAGATGAGTTTTTAGACGACTCTTGAACAAATCAAGTGTCACCAAGTCCTTGACACATGATGGCAAACTCCATAGAGAGGGAGCGGCATCACTGAATGCTCTGCCACCGTACGTGGAGGTCCGTGGAGGTGGATATAGGGTGCCTGCAATATCATGAGCGATGCAGACCGTAGTTGGCGAGTGGGCCGATAACGATGTACCAGCTCCTGTAAGTAGGATGGTGCCAGTCTGTAGCGTGCACTGCTTTAAATGTGAGGATGAGAGTTTTGTAGATGATTCGCTGTGACGAATCAAGGGCGGCACCCTTTACCTTGAGTATAACAGCGGTCAATATAAACCGCTTATTTAACTGGTGGGCACTAGTGGCATTGCTTACATATCAAAGGCCAAATTTTATCTGATAAAGCAGACCTGATTTTTTTCCCCTCTTGCCAAAGTCTTATCGCATCTGATGGGGTTTAATCTAGTCATTAAGGTCACCGCTTTGTTGCCTAGATTATATAAACGCCCACTTTGGCATGCGGCTTGGACCATAATAAAATCGAGCCTTGAACTGGGTGGTTATATGATGCAGTGGACCGGGCACTAGTGGAAGTGAATAGTTCTGACTCGAGTGAGATTGACCTTCAATATGGCAGATAAGGAGAAGGAGGCAGGGCTGGAGCAAACCAAGGAGGCAGAGCAGGAGCAACCCAAGGAGTTTGATGACATCCTGAACGCTATCGGTGAGTTTGGGAAATGGCAGATCGTGCTGTTTTTCCTGGCCTCCTTGATCGGCATCATGACTGCCATGAACACGCTGGCCCAGGTTTTCTACGCCGGAGAGTCCGACCACTGGTGCCGCGTTGCCGCCTGGGATGAAGCCAACTGCACCGGCACGGCCAAACCCAACGACTGGGAGTGTCTCGTGGAGAAGCGGGATGCATCCATCCCCCTGGTGACCGACAATAATGGAGATCGCGTCTACGATAGCTGTGTCATGTACGATGTCCGAGGGGAGACCTACGTCCCAGGAGTCAACTCCAGTTTCTACGGCATTCCGAATACCACGAAGTGCGTTGATGCGGATGGGTGGGTGTACGATACAAGACAATATGAGACAACCATCATAAACACTGTAGGTACACAATTCGTAGTTTTAAACTGAGGACATTCATGTGTTCTTCTTTTAATTGTAGGTTTTGTAGCACCTCTCATTGGTTTTGTACTTTTTTTTTCAAAGGAGGACTGTCATCTTTTTGTGAGTCCTCGGTCAGAAAAGGAGTTTCCTCACATGTCCCCGATTTTTACCACGAATGTTTTTAAACGAGGACTGTCATCTTTTCATGATGTCCTCAGTCAGAGAAGGAGTGTCCTGAAATATCCCCGATTTTCACCATTTATGTATATGAACACTCTCCAAAGCATTTTGTCAGTTTTTAAAACTTAATAACAGGTTTTTGGGCCGAGCTTGATGCAACTGAAAAGCACTTTTTAAAATTAACTGTATTTATATTAGTATTGGGTGGTTAATTTACAGTAAGCCATGGGAATTAGCCATATCCATTGGCGTGTGGTTCTGCATATACCAATGACATTTTGAGTCATTTCACACAACGTCTGCTACTGCAGTTAGTCTAATATTACTGAGAGTGTGTTATATTAATCGGGTTCAAAATGTGTAACAACTTGCAAATCCTCTGCCCTCGATTCAAGGTTAAAAGGCTATGAACTTTAAAAGAAGATGCAACAGCTGGCTAAATGATTGCTCAGTTTATTTATAGAACAGTTAAAACGATCGCGTACAAAGTTCAAGCTGCCAATGTCAAAAGTCCATCAAATGCCATAGTTTGCAGGGGCAGATATAGCTTTCAGGAAACGGGGGGGGGGGGTAAATTTAAGGGGCACGCCCTGCTAGGGGTGGGGGTTGGCTCCAGCGTCGCCGCGGAAACACACACCGCAATTATTTTTTATGTCATTTTAAAGCTTGGAATCTTAACTTTATCCCTGGTATTGGTTTGATTTCAAAAGTGGTTTGAAATTATTTCAAGGAAAATCAATCATGCGCATTTGTTTTTCTAATGTGGAAATGGCTCATCTTGTTCATGATGTGACAATCCCGTTTCCTTTCACTTTTTGTGTGTCCTATTCTTTTCGGTTCACGTAGACTACACCTAAAATAGAGTCAAAATATTGCTCTTTGTTTCAAGTTCAAATTTCAAATCACGTGCAAGTATGTACCTATTCAAAAGACGCGCTCCAAGTGTGACTCGAGTTTGCATCTGACGAGTTTGTGCATTTTGAACACGAAGAACTAAAAAACTCTTTTAATTATCAAACCAATAATTGCCAGGGATAAAGTTCAGATTCCAAGTTTTAAAACGGTATAAAAATAATGGCGGTACGTGTTTCTGCGCCGACGCTAGAGCCTCACAAAAAAGTTGCGGGTATTTTGGGACGGGCCGTTTAAGATCATTTGCTTTTCATGCATTTTGTTTGTTTTCGAAACGAACACTACTCAAAATCCAAAGACGAATGTTCAGAACTTAACCTGTTGAAATATCAGCTCAGTGGATATTTCACTTTTCGAGAAAACAGTGAAAAAATGCACAATCTTTTGATCTCGAAATACGATTTTGTCTACATTTATCTTTTTTTTTTGCAAAAAAACCCAGTCAATTGACTGATCGTTGGAAATCACCTACATTTCTTGATTTCTTCTAAATGACAGCAAGCCAGACGGAATAATTTCACGGGGTGTTTAGTGCCAATGCGATCTTTAATGCATATAAGATTTTTGATTATAAGTTGGTAGGTTTCTTTTGGGATAAATGCAAATGATCCTGCCATAAAAGAAAATACAAATAACATGTATTCTTAGTACAGCCGATTGGTGATAAGATTGTTCAGTTTGATGATGAAGGCATGAAATTTGGCACACAGTCAGAGTATGTCATGGGAAAGATATTTGGATATAGGGCCATCCCAGATTTGTCCTTTGAAAAAAAAAATCATGAAATAACAAGACATTTTCAAAATTTTCAAAATGGTGACCATTGCATGTTATTCAATAATGTTTTTTTTTTAAGGACAAATCTGCAATGGCACTATTGCAAAATTTCTTTTTCATGACATACTCTGACTGTGGGCCAAATTTCACACGTTTATCATCAAATGAACAATTCCATGCACCAATCTGCCTGACTGTTTGGCAGAACGCGAACCGACGCCCTCCACAAAATCCAAAACATCCAACAAAAATCATGGGCACTACTCCGCTTCATGCTATAATAGGGCGACAGATTTTGCTAACTCCGTCCACAATAGGGCGACACACCTTATTAAGGCGACATATAACCGTTGCCCTTTTGTAGTTATGACCCTAAGGACAAGGAATTTTGGTGTCGCAAACCATCTAGATCGATTCCTCGTGGTCCAATCAGTAAAATTACCGAATTTCGTGAAAAAAAAGGATAAGGTAAACTTGGATTAGGTGACAGTTTAGGTTTGTGCATAAGTTTATGGGAAAGTCGCCCTATTATAGCAAAAAGAGTATTTATTATAACTTTTGTTATATTGTTTTTGCAGTTTGATCTGGTGTGTGACGAGTCTGGTCTGGTTAGTCTAGCTCAGTCTATCTACTTTGCCGGCCTGCTCGCTGGATCATTCATATTCGGGTCCTTAGCTGACTGGTAAGTGCGTAAGAAACTTTCAAAGTCATGTCACCGATCATCCGGTTTTAAAGGTCCTCATTTGTTTTTGTCTTATGAAAGGCAAAGTATGGGTTTGATTTTCAAAAGGGTTTGAAAATGATTCGTGTTCAAAATAATAAAGGCATGTCAAAAACAAACTCAACCGATTTCAAGGAAAATCAATCATGCGCAGTTTTGGTTCATATCATGTTCATGATGTGGCGATCTCGTTGCCTTTTACTTTCTGTGTTTACTATTCGTTTCGATCAACGTAGCCTACACCTTAAATGAATTCACAACATTGTTCTTCGTTTCAAGTTCAATTGTGGAATTCACGTGCAGGTAAACTATATGTACCTAAATAATGAAAGGTTTGCGGAAACACCATGTACGAATAATTTCTCAACTAAGAGAATGGTTCTGAAAAGAACCAGAGGTATAAACTCGACGTTCCAGAGCATACTGACCGGAACGTCGAGTTTATACCTCTGGTTCATTTCAAAACCATTCTCTTAGTTGAGAGATTATTCGCACATGGTGTTTCCGCAAACCTTTCATTATTTAATATCTCCACCATGCAAAGCTCAAATCTTATTTGAACTATGTACCTATTCAAGAAGTGCGCTCACGAAGTCACTCGAGTTGCATCTGTTACCGCATCATCGAGTTTCCTTGAAATCGAATAATTTTAAAACTCATTTAGCTATCAAACCAATACTCATAATATAATAGATAAAGTTCAGATTCCAAGCTTTATAAATGGTATAATAATAATGGCGGAACGTGTTTCCGCGACGACGCTATGACCTCGCAAATAAAGTTGCGGGTATTTTGAGACGCGCTGTAGTTTTGCCTCGAATTAGATTCTATTATATAGTGTTATGTTGTTGTCAGTAATATATTAGTATTAGAATTCCTTGTGTTCTGTTTTGTTTTTCAATAACGATAGCTCATGGTTCGCCCATCACATTTTGTCCAAAATGATGACTGATGAACCAAACCGTGAAAGGTCAATAGTCGAGACGCCCATTGTGCTTTGAATAGTATTTATTTTTGTGTCATCTAAGAAGTTTGTATTATCTTTTCTGGAACCATGTGCAGTCTCGGCCGAAAGCCGACAATCTACCTGGCCACGATATTATTCCTCGTGTCAACTCTTGGCAATGTGTTCTCACCCAACATGATCGTATACATGATCCTGAGATTCTTCGTGGCTGCCGGCGGTTTGGGGGCGTACCTGGTCGCCTACGTCCTCGGTGAGTAGTGTCGTTTGTCCTCGGTCTTTCCAAATGTCCTCGATAATATGATCGCGCACATGGTCCTGAGGTCTTTCGTGGCTGCCGGCGGTATGGGGGCATACCTGATTGCCTACGTCCTCGGTAAGTAGTGTCGTGTGTCCTCGGTCTTTCCAAACGTCCTCGATAATATGATCGTGTACATGGTCCTGAGGGTGTCTTGGTTGCCGGCGGTATCGGGGTGTACCTGGTCGCCTGCAACCTCGGTACGTTTTGTCGTGCGCGTCCTCGGTCTTTCCAAACGTCTTCGATAGTTGTGTTCACTGGCGCTTGTGTGATGGGCATAATGCTCATGTCCACGGTAGGTCTTTGTTGTGCGCTCTTTCCTTTTAGCATACCAAGCAATCTCTAGCTCTCGGTAGTTGTATAGGTGTAACTTTTGCTATACATCTTTATACGTCCTCAGTTTGTTTTTGTAAGTCCTCTGTAAGTAAAGGTACTAGTGGGGCGATTGCAATGTGTTTTCGGCTTTGCACGTCCTCGGAAGGTCTACATTAATAAAAAATGTCTGCTTGAAGTAGTAAAGCGAGAAATATTTGCAAAGAATTTTATCGGACTTTTTATCCATACAAAGGAGTAGGATTTTATGATAGAAGAAAATAGTGAAAAATGTGCTCTATCCTAAATGCAAATTTAAAAGCTATTTTAATAAAAAACAAACGTCATTTTCTGAGTTTTTACATTAGATGAGTAAACTTTTACACATCCCCAATTTTTCTTTTTTTCACCAAACTTCCCAAAAATTTCCCACATTTCCCCAGAAATTTCATATAATGTACCAGCATTTTCTGAAAAGTCAAGTGTTTGTAAATCTGAGAAAAAAAGCATTAGTTCATTACCTCCCATGGAAGCTGATATGGGGTTCAACGTTTTAAAAATATATACTTGGCGAAAACTCGTTCGAACTGAGATTTAATTACATAACGGGTGGAGCTGTGAGTACACAATCCGTATCTATGGACTCTAATCGTCTAAATAAGAACGACATACACGCTTTTATACAATTGTACCAGATAAAATCAGGTTAGCCAATATGTTCATGGGAAGATTAGGATTCAACACGTACACGAGTCCAAATTCTGATCAGCCGATGATATAAATTTTCCACTGTGTGATTATCATTTGGGAAAACAGAATTTTGTTGATCGGACATTTTGAAATTTTCAAAACAAAAAATATCGTGTTTCTGAAAAGGCTAACACGTGTCGCGGTCTCACTTTTCCGGCGTGCTAGCTTCTCCGGTTGGATTCGGTGGTTAATTGATTGCGTCATACACGCGCACACACGTTTGTTTATGGTGTAAATCGAGGATTTTCTATTGTTCCTCATCATTGATCTTTTGTTTATATCTTACTTTTTTTGCAACAACTCCCATTGGTTTTGTACACGTTTTCTAATCGAGGTCGTCCTCGATTTGACTCCTGTCCTCAGTTATTCGTTGTGGTTTCACGTGTGTCCTCGATTGATTTTCTATTGTTCCTCATCATTGATCTTTTGTTTATATCTTACTTTTTTGCAACAGCTCCCATTGGTTTTGTACACGTTTTCTAATCGAGGTCGTCCTCGATTTGACTCCTGTCCTCACTTATTCGTTGATGTTTCACGTGTGTCCTCGATTGACACCATAAACAACATACCAGCGCCCATTGGCTTAACACGCCACTTGGCACTACTCCCGGTTCGGTTCCAGTACTACTCCCTGTGCAGTGGGTGTGACTTCAGTTGAAATGACGTCACACTTACGAACCAATAGGTCATATTTGTGATCGAATGAGGGCGCTGTAACGGAGCCATATCTCATTAAATCAAGCTCACAAGTCAGCCTCGACTCCAGGGGCGCGTGCTCGTTCCTTACACTAAGGCATGATGGGAAACAACATCCACGGGGCACGAGGTTGCTCACAAGTTTACTTCAATAAGGCCAAAAAAATTAATAGTTCTGCTTCCGGTTTCCCTACCTACCCTATTCTGACAGCCCCTACCCCAATTTTTTATTGGAAAAATGAGAAAAAAACACCTAAAACCATCACTTTATACCTTTTACCCTTGACTACACGCAGATGCCTCCATATGATCGTACACAAAAAAATTGGTAAACAAAAATTCCCTACCTACCTACCCTATTTTCGAATGTCATGTAATCGGAAGCAGAACTATTTTTTTGTTTGGCCTAAAAAAATAAGGAACTGTAAACATGTTATCTGTGAACTAGAACATTTTATAATCTGGTGTCATGTCTGCTTGTTCCCTAATAGCGTCGAATACAGCGCCCCGCCCCACCCCAAACCGTCATATTATGTGGCTCGCTCCATTACAAACAAAAAAGTACATTAACAAATTCGCGTTATTTGTATATCATGTTCACAAGTTATTTCTATTGTAACAGATTATTGACCGATACGCATTGATGAATACTCTTTAAATCCAATCAACGAAAAGTTGTAAAGGAAAACAGACAAGTATCACCATTCTCATTTCAGACAAATACAAAAATACCTGATTTATTTCTCATGTACAAATCACACAATCTGACAGTAAAAATCATGTATCAGTCTTGACTCAAAATAAATCTCATTTGTATTTGAATGCCTGTGTGCAGTCTCTGGTTGGTTGTCACTCAGCTGGATAGCTTCAAAGCATCCAGCACTCCACGGACAGCTGTAAAAATGGGTTCTTTTAAACATGCATTTACGTCTGACAGCAAGGATCCATTTCGATAATTCTTTTCCACCTTCAGCTCATCAGTAGAAGAACATTCTCGTTTAATATTTGTTTCATTGATATATCAAAATGTAACTCCTTTTTAAGGGGAAAATATCATTAATCTTCTTCACTGGTTTTATAGAGGTCAACTTGTCCGCTCTACAACAATGCACTGTCATTGATACCGAAGTGAGGGCGCTCTTTGCAACCCTCTAGCTTGATTTGAGACAATAACAGCTCCTCTTTTTAATTCCCTTCCCTGATAGTCGCTGAGTTTGTCGGTCCGAGCAAGCGAGTCCTGGTCGGCATTTCCATCCAATTCTTCTTCGCCACGGGTCTGACGATCTTGCCACTTCTCGCCTTCCTGATCCGCACCTGGAGGTTCCTACAGCTTTGCATTTCGGTTCCCATTGCCCTGTATTTTCTTCTGTACTTGTAAGTGTCCTCTCAGAGTCACCTTAGCCAAAAACAACCCACTAATTTTACAAATCAAGTGTCTGTGTTTTTTCCATCTAAAAAGTTGACAGAGTCAACTGTCCGAACGGCAAATGAGGTACACTTTTACTGCGACTTAAGTGCAGCAATTTTACAAATCCAGGCTTCGTTGCTGTTTTGACTCCAATCTTTTCCTCGATCTCAAGAATCATTTAATATCCAAACCAACCGGAAAAGCTCTAAGATGTGTGACCTTATACATAATTTGAAAAAAAGACGATGGTCCAATAAGGCTTGCTACATACATATAAAGCCGAAGCAGCAAACATAACTGAGATTTCGAAACCTCTAATGAAAACTGCAAATTTATGGCATTCATTGACATTCTTATTTTCTTCATTTGTAGTTATATGCCAGAGTCAGCACGTTGGCAGATGTCCAAAGGCAAATTCAGACCGGCGGAGAAGACGTTGAGGAAAGTGGCGGCCACAAACAAGAGGGAATTTCCCGAGGAAATGTTCTCACCCGAGAATATCGCTACCTCAATGGTAAGTAAATGAAGAGTGAGTAATTGAGACTTAAACTGTTTGCATGTCCCCGATGACGAACAGAGCACAGCGTTCGAAACGTCGAGTATAAACAACTGGTTCTTCTCAGAACCACAGAACTCAAAAGAGGTAGTATACACATGTTGTTACCGCAAACCGTCCGTTCTTTGAAGAGTGTTTATTAAGAAACTGAGTGGGTAAGTACGCCCTCAACGGTGAAAATGAGGCAGTGCCTGATATTTCAGGCCATTGGACGCCATCTTGTATGAAGAAATGCAATGTAAATCACATCAGCTGTTTAAGCCAAACAAAATATTACAAGTGACGTAATAAAAGTTCACCTTTTTTGAACAATTTTAACAGGAAAAGGCGTCGTCGGGACAGCAAACGGCCGTCGGACTGTTCCGCACTCCAAACATGCGTATCAAAACGTTGAATATAATGTTCAACTGGTGAGTTAAAAAACAATGCAGGTCCATTCAATCAATTTATCAGTCAGTACAAAAAAATAACTTCACCGCTTTTACGAAATGGCGCCTCATATCGCACTTTACCTCCATTTTGTTCCTGCAGGTTCGTGAACAGTCTGGTATACTACGGTCTTGGCCTCAGCACGTCAGACCTCGGCGTAGACGACTACATGGCTAGTGCCATCGCGGCACTCGTCGAGTTCCCTAGCTACGTCTACTGCATCTTCGCACTGCAGTACTTCGGCCGCCGCATCAACCTGAGCGGTACCATGGTGATAGGGGGCGCTGCCTGCATCACCACTGCTTTTCTGGGTAGGTCAAAGGCATTGATCTCCATATACACAGACTGGATAGGACATTGCGCAGTGTTTGTGCACGAATGCGCGGCCGAACAATGGCGGCGCGTTTACTGTCAGACGGGTAAATGGAGATCATTGGTCAAAGGTCGAGGCCATTTGCATAAATGTGAAAAGAGACTGTCGCTGGTTCCCTTTGGTTGAAGCGGGATAAGATACGGATTGGATACCAGGCAACCAGACCATTGCAGCGTTACTACTTGGTATAGGCCTAACCATAAGGAAGCAAAGTTTTGCAGTTTGACTTCATCAAACTACACTAATATCAATTTTTGTTTCAAATGTTTTAAATTGTTTTGTTGTTTTAATAATTCGGTAGGCTACTTTTGGGATAAATGCAATGACCCTATATGCCTTTAAGGTTTCACATTCCTTGGCTGACAAGTGGATTCTGTTTACAGCCCTTTACTAACTTCCTTTCTTTGGAATATCATTCTGGCATTTTTCTCTTACCTGAACCTTTATGTCACATTCTGGGTTCTTTTTCATTGCAGAATTGGGGATTACGCGGACGATCATCGCCATGATTGGAAAGTTTTGTATCGCTGGGTCGTTTGCCATCATCTATGTGGTGTCGGGCGAAATATACCCTACACCTGTCAGGTATGCCTCTACAAACACTCTTGTTTATTGTTACATAATGGTTACTTTTTGGGGTTTAAGTTGAGTTTAGGATGTCGCAATCGATATCATGCAAGATAAAGGATAATGCGCGGGTCTCAGGCAATCTCGAGACAAAAACAAAACCAGGCAAACCTTGATTTCTCATGATTCTCTAAAGTATTTCCATAAACCGTCGTAAAATGTTGTGGGTTGAACTTCAGGGTTTCCTAGGAACATTCCTTTCTCTTGCAAAATCCAACACCATTATGGTAACTCAAGACCTACTACTATTGGTCTCTGATTATCGTAGTATGCCTGACTCCATAATTGAGCATAATCGATTTACTAGTGCAGTTCTCACTCCAACAAAACTGCAGTTGGATTTTGAAGGGCTGTGTTGGTTAGGGTTAACGTTTAGTGCATTCGGTTGCACCGAACCTGGGAGTCGAGTTGTCTCAATGGACGACTTACCCTAACAGACAACTTGTCTTCCCATTATGGCACGTACGGCGTCCAGTTGTTACAACGGTCGAATTGTCCCGAAGGTTGGGCTAGTTTTCAATTATTAATGATGAGTGGTTCCGAGCATAGTTGACCGACGGTCGAGTTGACTAACTACCATTTTGTTTTTGCACTTTTTACCTTTTTAGGAGCGCGGGGATGGGCTTATCCTCAGTGACGGCCCGTATCGCTGGCATCATCTCCCCGTTCATGTTGGAGCTCGAGTCGTTCTGGAAACCACTCCCCTTCGTCTTGTTCGGAGTTCTGTCGATTGTTGCCGGCCTGCTCGCCTTACTGCTTCCAGAGACCAACAACAAGAAACTTCCCGAGACACTGGAAGAGGGAGAAGAATTTGGAAAGTAAGTTTTTTTTTTTTTAATAATCCGTAATTGATTATCAGTCTTACTTCTTTTGCTCTCATCATTATCTATGAAATACTGACCACTTTTGTTTCTGTTTTTCTTTCTTTTCTTCAAAGGCCTAAGTGTCTAGGAGGCGGCAGCGAAGAAGCGGACGATGTTGCCATGGTAACCGTTGCTATGAGCGTCATAGATACCAAGCAAGGACTAGACAATGTTGCATTCGAAGAGAAAGGAACCCAAACTTAAACCAATCATCCGTTTTTAATTTTTCAGCAAACTGCAAATGATTTTCAGGCATGGATCCGGGGGGGGGGGGGGGAAACCCTCCCCCTGCTCTGTCAAAAAAAAATTCATGAAAAAAAAAGTGAAACCCCCCCCCCCCCCCTGCTCTTACACCAAAACATTTTTTACTGGTAATAAAAATACTGGCAGAGCCAGCTTGTTTAGGCGGTATATGTACACTATTCTGTGATATAGTGTTAATAAGCGTCGGATTTGAACAGCGCCCAATTTGAAAGTACAAGCCCTCCCCCCCCCCCCTATTGAATTTTGGAAGCCAAGTGTCCGGAGAAAAAACTGTCCACATTTCAGATTTTTTGCCGATGAACCCCCCCCCCCAGCGAAAATTCCTGGATCCGCCCATGATTTTGTTGTAATGAGTACAAGCCTCATCACTTCGGTTTCGTCTTAGATTTGTCTACATGCACCACTGTTTTCAATATTTTACGTAACTTGTGTGGGATAAACAAGCTGGTCCAATTTCTGCTTGAGAACATAAAATCGCAATAAAATGCAACCAAATTTTATAAGAAGAGGATCGTGAATCACTTTCGATCCGGCGCGAGGTCGAATCTGGAACGAAGCCAAGTTTTGGAAAATATACGTAACTGAGGACGTAGACTGATCCACGAGGTAAAACTAACGTGCATAAATGTTGCAGTTCTTTGGTTTTGTAAATAATGTCCCTGTTGGCCGCCATATTGGATGGCCACCGTACAGCCGATAGAATTATTGAAGCGTATCATTATTGCTGCAGTTATTCACGTTAATAATATTATTTAATTGAAATGTAACTCGTGTAAGCTTTTGGAGTAGTGTAGTAGTATAGCAACTGCACACTTCGTTCTATACGATTTTAAAATAAATTATTGCACTGAATACAGTATTTCCAGAATTTTAAAATTTTTCAACTGCTTTTCAGACATTTATGGTATTTATATAGTATTTAGTTCATTTTTAAAGATAAGTTCAAGTATTAAGATTTGTGTTATTGCTTATATTAAGCACTTTGTTGTTTTATTTAGCATGTTAAATATTCCCAATGTGAAATGTAGCCTAAATACCTAAAGTTTTATTATACAAATAATGAATGTTTGTGAGTGCAATGGTAAGAATAATTTCATGAGGTGATGTTCATTTCCACGAGGCGAAGCCGAGTGGAATGGAACATTTCATCTGTCACCGAATGAAATTATTCTTTCTTTTGCACGAACGTGAAACATTCATTATTTGTTTTATATAACACCTGAATAAATCCTCGTCATCTGATTGTTTGACTTTTAATAGCCAATTTATTCAAGTTAAAAATTGTTTAAAGTTTGACGAGTTCAGAGTTATCATATTCAATTTTTCTCAATTTAAAACTTTTCCATAAGTTTAGAACTCAAACAGTTTAATAAGTTCAGAACTTTTATTGCCAATTTAAACACCACAGCGCCACCTTCGGCAACATGTGCAGTGACAGTGCAATGGTATACTTCTAATCACAGTGCAATAGTACTTCCATTGCACTGTGCGCTGCGCGCCACGCGCGCGCCGTGCATTGGTACGCATAATTCAATGACATGTGATCAACGATCCACCAATCAGATGACGGGGATTTATTCAGGTGTTGGATAAATTGTGATATCGAAGCAAAAATGTCAAAACCTCTTAGATTATTTTTTTTTTCTGCTACAGCGTTTATGTGATGAAATTCATTTGTTTTGTGAATTATACTAGGCCTACACAATTGTGTGTTCACGGTAACCCGACCTACTTGGATTTCTTTAGGCAACTTTTCGACCTCAAATAGCTTTTATTGCCACATGTAGCCAAAAATTAAAATAAAGAATATAGCGGAAACGATTATGTTACTGGTTAATTAAATAATTAAACAGGTTAATTTAACACCGTTAAAGGTGTCCTCAAGTAATATCAAGTAAGCATAAAATACTGACCGACAAACACACACAAAAAAGTTTCAAAATTTCAAAATAAATAATTTTTAGGGCGTTACCGTATTACGCACCTTTTTTTCTTGGCCCAAATTACAAAAGTCTATTCTATAGGGAACATTTTCCTGTAAAACAGTGCACAATAAAAATGCACCGAAAACAAATTGTGCTGTTTGGTCGAGCTTTTTAATCATTTATAAACCCTTATATCAACGATTAAAAGATGATTTACACCAGCAATGCATTTCATACTACATGTTTTCAAATCTGATTGTGGTATGAAGTGGAACGAGTGGACAGTTTTTGGAGAAATCAAAACAAGAATAAGATACTGACTCACGCCCTCACGCGTCCCGATGAGCGGGAATGACTGATAACTATTTCCTGGGGGGGGGGGGGAGGAAGAACGATTGCATACAAAGGTGAACGATAAACGACAAATGATCATCCTATCAAATCTCAAAGTCCGGCGAATTTCAATAGGCTGCTTGGCACAGAAATCAAAGTCCGCCAAATCTAAATTGTTGCATTGATATGCAAACTGATCTTTACTGATTGAGTTAATAGCAAGAATAGTTTAGCTTTTACTAAACTGAATCGGGTACCGTAAGCCTATTAGGTTTTACCCTCTAATCCTATAATTTCCTACACTGAGCTGTTCTTCAATGACTATCCAATCACAATGTCGGATAAAGAAGACGCTTCGGATCAAGATGGCGCGCCCAGAGCCACGCCTACTTTCGACGACATTCTCTGCGCAATCGGCGAGTTAGGGCCCTGGCAGAAACTCCTGTGTTGCCTGGTGCCGTTGGTGGGGGTCATGGACGGCTTAAACGCCTTGGCTCAGGTGTTCTTCGCCGGGGAGGCCGACCACTGGTGCCGCGTGGCCTCCTGGGAGGAAGCCAACTGCACTAGCACGCCCTCTCCCGACGATTGGGAGTGTCTAGTGGAGAAGAGGAACGCCTCAATCCCGTTCAACGCCACTACGGAGGCCTTTGATAGCTGTCACATGTACGATGTGAGAGGTGTCGAGTTTGCAGTGGGATTTAACGCGAGTGGTTCCGCCAATCTGACGATTGAGTGCCCGGATGGGTGGGTTTATGACACGAGTCAATATAAGACAACCATTACCAATGAGGTAAGGATGCTAATTTCCTTTCAGGGTGCAAACCTCGACTCAATAGACCTCAGTGATAATTACGCGTACTTCAAAAAAATAATAAAATAAAATACTCGCAACTCTCTAAGGTGTTTGAGACACCAAAGCGTATTTCATTATCTTTCATTTACTGTTCGACTTTTAAGAGAAACTTTCATCCAAAGATGATCGCCCTTAAAGATAGTCCTATGGCCCATCGCCATTTTGAAAAATGATGCCTGCGCTCCAATGCAAAATAGAGCAATTTTAGGGCCTAATTTCTTCCGAATTTCACAGAAAATACGAGCTTAACTCCTGTGCACGGCTTCCAACCATCTTTTTTTTCTTTTTTTTTACAAACCCTCAAGTTCATGGTCTACAAAATGCTCATATAGCAAAGAAATTGAGAGCATACTAATCGTGATTTGGCCGGCGTTGGCAATTCTAGGCCTATTTACAGGTACTAGGTCTGCACCCTTCAACTATGACATTGGCCATTTCTGACCGCGCTGTATATTAACGACACCAACCACACTTCATCTAACAAAAAATAAGGATCGCAAAATGAATTTCTTTGGGAAGAATGTCGCAACCTGACGCCACTTCAGCGGTTGTGTACAAAGTCTATGGAGAGCCAAAAACATTTATCCTAACAATATTGGAAATGTTTCTCAGTCCCAGATTCATGTCTTATCATCATTTGTGCAATGACTGACCTTCATTGAGGTGATATATGAAGGAAAAAACAGCGTCAGGTTGCAACATTCGTTCCATTTCTTTTTTAATTAAAGCACTGCAATACGTCAAATGTAAACTTGGTTTTATACCTAAATATGGCGCCGTTGCATCGTTCCCATTCGCTCAAAAATATGGTTTACAAAACCAAAATACATTCCATTCTGTGTGCTAGCAGTTTTAAAGATTATGAAAAGTCTGAATTCAAAATGTCTTGCTTCTCGGCCTAATACTTCTTTAACGCCTTTTGTCAGCCTATTTAGTGTACTTGACTACCTACAGCAATAAGACACGTAAAATGATCAGCAGTGACCAATGAATTTTGTTTTAGTGAAGCTAATTTCATTTGTTTTAATCAAGTAGCATGCAGTGTTTTACATTGTTTCTTTCAGTTTGATCTAGTGTGTGACAAGAAGGGCGCCGTCAGCTTTTTGCAGTCCATCTTCTTTGCCGGATTTCTGGTCGGGTCGGTGGTTTTCGGATCGCTTGCAGACTTGTTAGTCAAAGTTGAGAAGTTGAAATTGTTAGCGTGTGGGGCTTTGTTAAGGCGCCATTTTGTTTTTGTGAAAGTTTTCATGTTGCGGTAATGTAGGCCTTAAACAATACCGGTAGGCTACTTTTTGTAAAAATGTAATGTTTAAAAACGGATTTTATACAAGCGTCAAAAGTGGACAAACAAGGAGGAAGGTTCCTCTGAAATGTCCACCTTTAATAGTGGGAAATTAACCCGTCAGTAGGGAAGTTGGTCACATGATGTCAACATTTTGAGAAATATTGTTACTTCATTTTCGATATAGGCTCGGTCGTAAGCCAACCATCTACATCGCCTCTGCGCTCCTCCTCCTAGCATCGATTGGTAACGTCTTCTCGCCCAATGTCATTGTGTACATGGTGATGCGATTCTGCATAGGTGCCGGGGTCATGGGCGCGTTCCTCGCCGCCTACGTCCTCGGTAAGTTTGGACTACGCACAAGAGAAACTGCTCATAACACATTACTGTGGACAAGTAGCTGATGCAGTATTCATCTTGTAGTCTCGTGGTCTGGAGTAGTGACTTCGTGGTCTGCGGGTAATTCTGCGGGTTGTGGGTTCGAGTCCAGCCTGTGGCTATGGTGTGTGTGCCCTTGGGCAAGGCACTTTGTCACTCATTGCTTCTCCCCACCCAGGAGTAAATGGGTACCTGTGAAGGCAGAGATGGTTGTAGTGATTGATTTAGCTGACTTGCGCTGAAATGGCAGCATCGAGCTGCATACTCCCCAGGGAGCCGAGATTGTCTTTGGAAGGTTTCATTGGCCCAATGAGCCGGGTAATAAGGATGTAGCGCCTTGAGCACCAATACTGCGCTTTATAAATACGCATTATTATTAACCAAAATTAGTTGTCCTGCATTCGCAAAAACTATGAAACTCGAACAGTTGTGGTAAAAAAATGTCAATAATCACAATTTCTACCGCCCGCCGGCGATGCAAACAACCAGCCGGGCGAGTGTTTTACTCACGTTAAAACGTTGCACAACGTTCGCGGGTGTTTCGCGAGCGTTTTGCAACGCTTACATTAAGTGTCTTGCCGATTTAATGCCGAAGGACACACGCTCCACATTCATATACATGGTTGGACTCGAACCCACAACCTGCAGAATTACCCCGCTTCCCATCTTGAGTTCAGTGCACCAGACCACGAGGCCACGGCAGTTCATTATCTCTACTTTTACTTCAATGTCACTTTTAAAGTGACATAGAAGTTAAGCCACAGCTATATAAGGCAACGACAATGACTAACTTCAAGTTACCACTGTTTTGCCCATCTCCCATAGTTACGGAGTACATTGGCCCCAGCAAGCGTGCCCTGGTCGGCGTCGCCCTGCAGGCATTCTTCGCCTTCGGCCTGACTGTCCTCCCGTTGCTAGCTTACTCGATACGTACATGGAGGCTACTCCAGCTCGTCATTGCGCTGCCTACCGTCTTGTATTTCCTCCTTTTCTTGTAAGTTTCCCTTCACCTCTTTTATATGGATTGACTTGCACATATGAGATAGGCCTCAAGATGTGTCTTAAAGGCATTATAGGATCATTTGCATTTAGGTAATTTCCAACGATCAGTCATTGACTAGTTTTTGGAAAAATTGAGTGCTATTGACAAAATCGTGTTTCGTGATCAAAACGTAAAGTGCACGCATGGTTTTTCACTGTTTTTTTTTCTCGAAAAGTGTAATATCCACTGAGCTGAAAGTTCAACAGGTTAGGTTTTGAACGTTCTTCTTTTTATAGATTTTGAGTGGGTGTTATTATTGAAAACAACAAAATGCATGAAAGCAAAACTTTGAAAATGCAGCGCAGACATAGGGTTAAAAAAGTCGGTCGAAATGGTGTTGTGTATAACTAATTAATATGTACGTGTATACAGCATTGGTAAAACCAATTTTCAAAAGGCAAAATGTCTATAACCTAAAATTCGCTACTTTCAAAGCCTGCATTTTTTGTCTTGACCTTTCTAGTTATATGCCAGAGTCAGCCCGTTGGCAGATGTCGAAAGGAAGATACAAACAGGCCGAGAAGACGTTGAGGAAAGTGGCGGCCACAAACAAGAAGGAATTTCCCGAGGAAATGTTCTCACCCGATGTCATTGGCGCAGCTAAGGTGCATACAAAATGGGGGGGGGGGGATATAGTGTGAACGACTCAAACTCATGAGGGCAGTGTAGTACAAATTCCCTCTTTTTCACTGGTTCCCATCGCCCTGTCTTATGCAGTGAGGGAGTTGGTGACCACTCATCTCTTTCACAAAATTTGTTGTGAAATTCAACGGCAAAGCATTTTGGTTGAGCAACCACAATGCAATATACCGACGCCTTTTAGTCATAGCTATATTGTGAAAGCTGAAATTTCCTAAAATGGATATTGAAAAGCTTGAATTCCCAAAATTGCTCTCTTGTAGGAAGAATCTGGTGGTCAGCAAACAGTCGTCGGGCTTTTCCGTACACCAAACATGTGCATCAAGACACTAAATCTTATGTTTAACTGGTAAGTGTGAAAACATTTTACTCTATTAATATTTTTTTTTATTAATGAAACCAATGATTCCTGAAAAGTACAAAGACCTTTTAGCTCGGAAGCCTCAACAACTGTTAGGAGACACTCCTTTTATTTCTTTGGGCTTTTACTGGCTTGAAAAGTACTATAATAATAATTACTAACATATCCAACGACATTTCCAACGAGCGAAAAAAAAGCAACTGAGATGGCACGCGCGCAGCTACACATCACGCTCGCGCCCACAGGTGGTACTCGCGCCTTCAGTGCTCATTCGACCAATAAGGTTTCAGTATTACACGCGCGCCTCAAATTAAAGCGCGTTCAGTATGCGCGTGAGCGTGGCCACACCTGCTTATAATTGTATCCTTTTTTAACAATAGGTTTGTCAACAACATGGTGTACTACGGTCTCGGCCTGAGCACCTCTGATTTCGGGGTCGATGACTACGTTGCCGCAGCCATTGCAGGGTTCGTCGAGTTCCCTAGTATCGTCTACTGCGTTATTGCTCTTCAGTATTCAGGCCGAAGAGTTAACCTGAGCGGGACCATGGTGGTCGGCGGGATAGCTTGCGTCATTTGTGCTTTTCTGGGTAGGTATTAATTCACATGGCATCTGCAGCAGAAGAAGCAACATAATCAACTTGAACAAAAACGGTTTACGATGGTAGCAACAGTTACTTTGTAACTTTTACGACGTCAACGTTAAAGGTAGAGTCCATCATTTGTAATTTGTGCATTTTGTTCGTTTGAAGCAACAAAAGAGTTCAAAATCTAATGAAGGATACTGAGCAACTAACCTGATGAAGTTTCAGCTAAGCTTCAGCTGTACATTCCGAGAAAAACAGCATTCTAAGATCTCAATTTCAAATCAAAAGTTGCTGAATCATGTTTTGAATTGTTTTGAATTGCAACTATACGCAACGTCGCGCACTGATCCGACGAATTATAACAACCGCGCGCGCGTGTGCGTCGTTCGAATACTTGTGCGCGCTGCGCTGAATAACAAAACGAACTACTAATTTAAATTTTCCTACGGTGCTTCTTAAGAATCACCGTTGGAAATGCCTTCTTTCGTTGATTACTTCAAAATGACAGCTTCCCAGAAAGAATAATTTCACAGGGAGTTTAGTCTCCTTACTATCTTTCAACCAAGTTAGTTTTTCAACAATAATTACGCCAGTTACTTTGCGGATGGCTGCAAATGATGGACTCTACCTTTAAACAGGAAAAAAAATAGGAGGGCAGTACAGCTCAACAAGCAACAATATATAGCAACAACATTTCTTAACGTTTCAACAACAAATCGACAACAATATCAACCACAACAAAAATGCCAACAATAACAAACTCCTAAACCACAAACGTTTCTAAAGTAAAAGTCCAGCAACAACAAACGACAAAGTAGCAACGGTAACCACGAGACTACGCGCAACAAGCATCAACAGCAACAACTTCAATTGCAAAACAGTAACAATTTCAACTACAATTCCAGTAGCAACATATATTTAACAACATTAGCAAAATACAACAAAACAGCAACAGTTACACCTGCAACCACACGACAAGAGCAACAATACTCACAACTTATAGCGACACCATTAGCAATTACAACTTTAGTGCAACAAGTACAACAAAATAACAAGAAATAACTGCACGTACAACAAATCAGAAACAACTGAACAACAAAGAAGTTAAAAGAATAATATTGACCCCACCGAAGAGCTACAACTTACATGAAGAAGAACTAATTGAAGGTTTCCGTTTTTAAATTCCGTGGCAGAAATGGGCGTGGCTCGGACGATTATCGCCATGGTCGGCAAATTTTGCATTTCTGCGTCCTTCGCAATTATCTACGTCGTGTCCGGAGAAATCTTCCCTACACCAGTCAGGTAAATTCAATCAACTTTCTTATGTTTTTTTTAAACAACATCCCACAAACATTCAAAAACATTCATTCATAAATACCTAAGACAGTTTACGCATTCCTATAGACCGCTTGCAGACGCGTTCGATAATCGACGCGCGAAGGCGCGCGACGCCATGTTGTGGGACAGGCGTATATCAATTCACGCACATTTTGTCCCATAACATGGCGTCGCTCACCTTAGCGCGTCAATTGTCGAACGCGTCTGCAAGTGGTCTATTGGTCGAGAGCCCGTCACGTGGCCGGTCTTTAACGGATGATAAAGACATGGCTAGCTGGTCTTAAACACTTTTCCAGTGTCACATGAATTTTGGACTCCCATGAAATCCGGTGCCTTTGAACGTTTCAATGGTGAACATTCACATTCCTCACCTATGCATGCGCAATCCTACCAGTGAATCAGTATTTCATGGTCCGATATTCGCACTACACCAGCCCAGCTGCGTTTTGCGCGACATCGCGCAGTACGCGCGACGCGCACGCCAATGTCCTTATAAGGTAACGAGTTGTGGAGGGGCATTCCATATTATAGTCAGAGGGGTGTTTCGTAAAACATGAAGTAAAATTGTTGAACAAAATGGTTGGCAACGCCTAGTGTTTGACTTGTTTTGATTTTTGGACCGAAAAGATTTGGTTTTTTGACCGAAAAGGTATTTATGAATGGGAATAAATATGTGTTCGGTCGGTACTCTGTTTAAGACCGGTGGGAGTCTGGATGGGTGATAATTACCCTCGGCTTCGCCTCGGGTAATTATCACCCATCCAGACTCCCACCGGTCTTAAACAGAGTGTTATAATACCTCCAAAACACACATTTATTCCTTTATTAATGATACTCACATTAATGATATGATAGGCCATTGTTTGAACATTGAGGGCGCTGTAGTGGCGCCATATTGGGGGAACAGGCAGAGGTGGATCCCATATTGCATAATAAAACAATTTTGAAGTCTTTTACTTTTAGACTGAATTAAAGTTGCTTCGTTGCTTTAGTAAATCCTCTACATGTGTGTCTATAGAGAGTGTCGTCGTATACGCTACGACTTACGGGCCCTCGTTCGTTCAAACATATCCAATGGATCAATGTGTTAGAAACAGCTGTGAAAGTATACTTTGGGACCCTCTTCTTCAGTTCTTATTGCTCCAAAATGATTCTTGCAATCTCAGCAAACCATCTTGACCAAACAATGACTTATTGGGTCTATTCATATATTTTTTTTCAAGTTGATACCGTGGGAGTCATGCAGTTTTTTGCATCACAATGAGGTGGCACAATCTTCCTCTTCACTTTCGCGTTGTGTTTTGTCGTCATTTCTATAATTTCACCCCATTCCCTGTTAATTCAAAGCCGTGTCTTCGTCCCATGATATTCCTGTTGCTTTCAACATCGCCAGGGTATTGTGGTGAGTCCAACACAAAATTGGATTTATCCTACATACACGAAAAGGAAAGGGGTCACGAAGTAAACTTTTTACCAATTTATTTTGGTTAGGATGCAAACGTACATAACCTTCAATTAAGCAAACTGTATGTATGTCTAATGTACCGTGTGGCAGGAGTGCCGGCATGGGCTTGTCCTCCATGGCCGCCCGTATCTCTGGCATCATATCCCCCTTCATGTTGGAGCTCAAGTCGCTCTGGGCTCCGCTGCCGTTCGTGGTGTTCGGGGTTCTGTCAATTGCCGCCGGCTCCCTGGCCCTCCTGCTTCCCGAGACGAAAGATAAGAAACTTCCCGAGACGATGGAAGAAGGAGAAGCGTTCGGGAAGTAAGTTGACAACGTTAATGTTGAAAGTTTACTGGGTTTATAGCGCCATCTACTGTTATTTATTGCGCCCTGTACTGATGTTTGAAGCGCCCTCCACTCGTTCTCCTCGTGTTTGAAGCGCCCTCTACTGATGTATGAAGTGCCCTCTGCATTTGCCTACCAGTAATAAACTGCCATACCCCCAGTGATAAAATACCCCCACTCTAATATATTCACAACTCTCCAAGGTGGGTAAGACACACATCTAATTGAAGCCTATTGCATCAGATTTCGTTTTCTGTTCAATATTTGAAGGGTAATCCATGACTTTTGGGAGAAATTTCCTTCCAAAGATGAGCATCCCCATAAAAGTAGCACTGAAGCCCATCGCCATTTTGGAAAAGGATGCGTACACTCCTCTGCAAAAAAAGACCAACTTTCACAGAATACAATTTCTCAGTCCCGTGCATGGCTTTCACCCTTCTTTTTTGTATTAAACCCTCAAATTCAAGGCCCACAAAATGCTCTAACAGCGGAGAATTTGAGGGCGTGCTAATCGTGATTTGGCCCGCGTAGAACATTTCGGGCGTATTGACTGACGTGCAACCCCAGCCTCGACTCCATGGGTGCGTGCGCGTTCCTTCATTAAGATCGCGCAAGGCACGATGGGAAACAACATGGCGTAGCAAGATCGTACGCATTGATCTCCATATACACAGACTGTGTATATGGAGATTAATGATCGTACCCATGGGGAACGAGGTTGATGCAACCCTACGCACCAGCTATAGGCCTACCGGTTTTTTTTTTTTTTTAAGTTCCCCTTGCCACTTTTTGATAAAGCATATTGGATTCTATTTGCACAAAACTAATTAACAACATTCTAACATTTCGTGCCTTTTGTGTGACGACTAAAACTGTGACTTTCCCCTTTTTTTTTTGCTCAAGGCCCAAATGTTTTGGAGGCAGCGGTATCAACGATGAAAGCGTTGCCTTGGCAACCGACGTAGACTCCCCTCTAGGCGTCTCTGATAATCTCTTTGACAAACGTGAACATCTGACGCAGAATGACAGCTTTTGGCGGTCTTTTGAAGGTTTGGCCGAGATTTACGAGGACGTGTGGGGCTCAAAAATCACGCGCCTTCGTTGAAGGGCGTTGACATGCGGGGAAATGGGTACAATGTTGAAGAAATGCTGCTCTTGTCATCCTACATACCTTACATCTTCCCGCAATTTGAGTTCATTTACCAGGAAGTTTATATATTGTGAGAAATATTATCGTTGTCCCCGAAAATCCAAGCATTCCATTCTTTTCAATTTGTTGAAGTATAGGCTATATCATAACAGTAATGTTATGGCATTCAGTTGTATGAATCTTTGTAGACATTTTTAGCACTATACGTTTGTACATAATTATTATAGTGTAATAGGGCAGAAATTTAGATTTTATATAAAATGGTAAAATACTAAGGGAATAACAGTGTGAGGAGCCGGTCTTCACTGCGTGATAATGACCGGGTTTGGGGGTGACCGCTGTTAATGGACCGAGACGGAGTCGAGGTCCATTAACAGCGGTCACCCCCACACCCGGTCATTATCACGCAGTGAAGACCGGATCCTCACACTGTTATTCCCATTAATAAATACCTTTATAACGAAATAAACAGTTAAAATGCTCCAATTTTGTGACTTTTTTCCGACGATATTTCCAGACTTTTTTGTGTTCATGTTCATGGGCCATATTTTAGCTTAACAGCTATAACGACGTAAACTCAACAGAAACTGCTGCCGTAGCGAAACAAATTACAACAATGTTTTCATATCTTTACCTGATGGAGGAAGCTGAAATCTCGTTTACACATTCCTTGTGTCCGGAATTACAAAGATGCTTGGTTTAGGAAAGGTAAATATGTCGGTGGGTGAAGTGTTTCAAAGAAAATAAATCGTACATCTACGCTTTCGTCGTAAACATCCTCAGTATATACTTCACTGCTGTACGATGTCGTTTCAAAACTTCCTTACGCGCGCGCACGCACGCGTAAGGAAGTCTCTCAGCTACGTCCTTACTGGGAACCTGCATCCCTAGCAACTGTGTTGCGTACACGCGCGTCAGTCTCACGCGATGGGGGTTGAGCGAATGTGCAGTGCTCAATTGTTAAAAGCTACCGCAGGACTGTTACTATATTTTGACCAATCATTGGCTTGCATGGGGCTGAACGGGGCTTGATCAATGCTGGTTCAGGGGCCATTTATTCGCTTGATCTTTGAAGCCGGTCCATTATCACCGTTAATGACCGGCCACGTGATCGAGTCTCGACCAATCAGAAACCAGCAACTCTCCAAGGTATTTATTAATGACCATTAAAATATTATTTGTCAAAACCTCAGTCAACTCTTCTTTAATTCCGTACTTATAATGAAAGACCATAAAACTGAGTTCATGTTGTTGGAAGTGTATCTAAAGTGTATCAGATATGTGTCGACTTCAACCTATCGCAATGAAAAAAGATGAGGCAAAAAAATATATATCACTCGTTGGATTTGGTATTTTAGTATCAAGCGATGAAATATGTAAGTATATTGTTTGAAGAAGTTATATTCTATTTTACACATTTATGTTCTATCTGCTAGTGATGAAAGCTTGTTTCCTACAGTAGTGTAACAAAAATACTGTGCCCGGGTTAAGTATAATTGTTTTATTTTTTTTTGTAGGCAACATTCTTTAAGTTCTAATCCAGCCCAACTGTACAAAAGAAGCCCATTGCTTGGCTAGTAGGCCAGCCCTCCTATTAGTAATGCTCACTTCCTTTGGGTTGTTTATACTCAGTGTGTTCCTTCCTATGGTACATATTTACTTCCTTTTCAGATTAGCTTAAGTAGGACAGACTCAGAAGCCATGTATTAAAGGGTAATGCTGGAGTTTGGATGTGGCCTAGCCCCAATTGCGTACTTATAATGAAAGACCATAAAACTGAGTTCATGTTGTTGGAAGTGTATCTAAAGTGTATCAGATATTTTTCGACTTCAACCTATCGCAATGAAAAAAGATGAGGCAAAAAAAACCCTCACTCGTCGGATTTGGTATTTTAGTATATATCAAGCGATGAAATATGTAAATATATTGTTTGAAGAAGTTATATTCTATTTTACACATTTATGTTCTATCTGCTAGTGATGAAAGCTTGTTTTCTACAGTAGTGTAACAAAATTGCTGTGCCCGGGTTAAGTATAATTGTTTTATTTTCAGCCCAACTGTACAACAGAAGCCAACACTCCTATTAGGCCAACACTCCTATTAGTAATGCTCACTTCCTTTGGGTTGTACACTCAGTCTGTTCCTTCCTATGGGACATAGGCCTATTTATTTCCTTTTCAGATTAGCTTTAGTAGGACAGACTGGAGGCCATGTATTAAATGGTAATGGTGGAGTTTGGATGTGGCCTAGCCCCATAAATGTGGCCTATTTACGGGACTACGTCCGTAAACTAAGGCCACACTAGCAGATTATCTCAACACGTCTTGGGCCGAGACTATATGGGGCAAGCGGCGCGCGACAGGTGATGGGTCAGTTGCCGTGTCGTACTTTGCTCTATTTTTTCGTCCACACAACCTACAGCAACGCGAGGCCAGCCAGCGAACGGTGGCCGTAAAAGGGCTTCAGAAAATTCGCAATTTCCATGCAAAACCACAACCGATCCACACAAACAAAGCTGTTTTAGGTAGTTAAAGACCTACTGCATACATCTGTCAAGGTATTTTTTTTTACTCAAAAAAGAATTTCGATGCATTTTGACGATATTATTTCAGGGACAAATCGCCTAAAAATTACGTGATGAAATTTCCGTTTTTATTCGACAACGACGAAAGTCTCCCGAATGTTGAGGTAATCAAAGGAAAGAATGAACCTTCATCTACAAAAAATCTCGTGAACGTGATGTCGTTTAATATTTTAAGAATTCGATGTACACCTGACTGATTGGTCGAGCTAGCTCGAGATGGCCTGCTTAATATTTCATAAGTCATTCACTGCACGTTCGCGTGTGCTATTTACAATTTTCAGTCCTGTACGTTTACACGTGTACACTTGTGATTGCAAATCATGAAATCTCGCAAAAGTCTTCATTTTTCAACCGGTGAATTGGACCAAAAATATGAAAGTCTCCTGCACGTGTTTCACATGAAAATGAAGCATAGACTATCATCTATGTAATGAATCTTAATTGCCATTTCTATCGGCCTTTTTTAAGAATCGAATGTACACTCGGCCCTCACTTTTGTTGCTATAAAGTATGTTTGACACGTCATAACAACACTTTACTTTTGTCAAAAGCAGTTACATTTGGTATCAAAGTAAAACACACGATTTCGACTTTTCACTATTAAACCCGACCATCTTGGCCAAACGTACAGTGCATGCATCCATGCAGGTACTCTTCGTGTTTTTCTTTAGTCTCGAATACAGTCTCATAAAATCTCCTGTAGGCTTTTGGGCCATGCGTGTGTGACCTCGGGAAACTCGAGGTCAAACAGCGCTCTATTCGTTGGAACAAGGTGCAATTGAGTTACACACAAACGGATGCCAAAAAGGACCGGGAAGTGACACGAAAACTGGAGAGTTGTGCACTTGCGCATTATAATCTCTTTGATACTAACAAGGTGAGTATTTTTTAAAGCATAAATGAACTGCATAGGCCTACGCAGTCTAAATGCGAAAATATAGTTTGGTCAAGTACTACTGTTGTAAGTAAATCTGCTAGAAAAGTGTGGCCTTAGTTTACGGAGGTAGTCCAGTAAATAGGGCACATTTATGGGGCTGTGGCCATTTTGCTGGTCCGCGGGTCAAAGGAACATCAGAGGTGACATTGAGTTTGTTTCGTAAGTCTCTGTGATTTTATTCTTTTGATTTGTCTCTCCTCCTCATATTGTATTTGACTTCAATTTCTTTGTGGTAATTATTCCAGCCCGCAAGCACCCTCCTAAAAAATCCATATACGTACACCACTTGACACCCTGTGTACAAACCCTATGAGACACTAGGTCCTGGAACAGCCCAACTGGGCTACAAAACGCGCTTTGAACGAGATGATGTTAATCGGAAATAACATTTGAAAGTAGGATATAAACATCCACACAACTATCCTTTCAAAACTGGGCGTTTTTGTGTTATTCTTGTATTATGTGTGCGAGAACGAATTTCGGGGTCCACTTTTGCGGCCCCATAAATTCGAGCTGTTTGGATGCTGTGATTTCATTCGTAAAGTGTTCGCCTTTTGCGGACGTTGAAGAAACCACATTTTTGCATTGGTGATTGGTCACCGCTGTTCCCGAGACACACAACGTGTATATATCGTACGTATTCGCACTCCGTCGTGTCCGATGTAAACAACCTGGGTTTTTTCGTCTTTTCTCGGGAACGGTAAGACATTGGGTTGATTTCCTTTCAACCAGATGATTGAAATAGGCTAAGTAAACAATCCAAAACATAACATTTTCGGGGATTTCAGGACCTAGTGCCCCTTTAACCGGCGCGATGTGTGTGTATCAATTGCACTCGTAATCATTCAGTGTACACATGTATCTGTGGTTCGTGCAGCCTGTTTGCTCCGCCCCCTTCATCATGACACTGACACATTTCCCGTAAAAAATGGTCTTCTACAATGATTCTACACGAAACCCCAGGCGCGGGGGGAGGGGGATTTGTGTACAGAACGGCCTATCACGCTCAATTGACTTAGGCAAAAAAATATAAAAAATAAGTTAAGACAGAAGTATCGGACCAATTTTTACGAGAATATGTGCGTACCGTACTGATATGCCTAATTGCTTCAGTCCAAAGTTTGTCTGAACTATCTCTAAATCTATTGTCAAACCAAAGTCTAAGGACCAAATCAAAGGACTATCAAGTGGTATATTGACCACTTCAAACAGTTTCTGCATATTCTCATTTCGGCTTTTTCGAGACTCGTGCATTCGTACATTTGGACACTGGTGGACAACACGGACAGACTGGTCAGAGCTTCACCACACTAGCAACCCTATCACGGTGGAACCTTTCCCAGGCAATCATTGGTGTTAATAGCCTACAGGGTGAGTCTAAAAATACAAATCCAAATGTTGGGACTATTGTTTTAGTGAAGTTCTGCATGTACTACATGTACTTTGAAAAATCTAGGATACGAAAGCCCGATTCATAATTTTCTTTTAGTATCTTGCATCTTGCATTAGAGTACTCTCCTAAAAGCATTGCTGCTGTCCTGGAGAGGGTGGGTTGCAACTCCATGTGTGCTCTTTGTGTGTGTGCTGTTAGGGTGCTTATCGGATGGTGGTATTGTCAATTTGTACCTGAGAGATACAACTGGTACACTGCAAAAACTGGAGTGTTAAATCTACACCATTGGTATCTATATAGGACCATCTGGTGTTAAATTTTACTGGTGTTGTCCTATATAGATACCGAATGGTGTTAAATTAACACTACAGCTTTTGCAGTGTAGCTCCATCCCTCTTATAGCTGGGAGAGCTTCTGTCTGGAACCCTTTCAAGGTGGTCGCAGTAACCGCAGCCACTGGTAGCCTGTTCCAAATCCGAACAGCTCTCGGGAAAGGGCTATAGAGGTAGCAGTCAACTCTGGTGAGTTGTTGCATGTAGATGAGGTTATGTTGATTGGTCTGGCTGTGTCGGCTTGATAGTGTGTTATGGACGATGTTCGGAGGAGTAGTTATATTTACTTGGCCATGTTGAATTTTGTAGAGGAGTTCAACCTGATGGAGGAGACGTCTGTCATGTAGGGTGTCCCATCTCAGTGATGTCAGCATGTCGGACACACTTGATTCCCAGTGGTAGTCCATCATGACAAAACGCGCCGCTTGGCGTTGCACACTCTCAACTATTCTGATGTTGCGGATTGTGTATGGGTTCCATGCACTTGTGGCAAATTCAAGTTGTGGTCTTACTAGAGTGTTATATGCTGTCTCCTTGACCTCCCTGCTGCATTTTCCAAGGGTGCGTCTGATCAGCCCAAGGGATCTTGAAGCCTTGGCTCTGACTGCTTCTGCCTGAGTGTTCCAGCTTAGGTTGTCAGCGATGGTGACTCCAAGGTATTTGCATTTCTTCTCATGCGGGATGGCCTGGCCAGAGATTGTAAAGGTGTGTTCAAGCTTCAAGCTTTTTCTTCTTCAGGGTGATGCAGAGGTGGCAACATTTTGTGATGTTGAAACTCATGTCCCATCTCTGAGCCCATTCAAAGACCGCCTGGAGATCCGCTTGGAGAGTCTCAAGATCTCTACGAGACTTGATGCACCTGTAGATTGCACTATCATCAGCAAAAAGCCTCATTGTTGACAGAACACCTTCACTGATGTCATTGATGTACAAAAGAAACAGGGCTGGGCCAAGTACAGAGCCTTGGGGGACTCCAGATATGACATCTGCAGGTGCCAGACAGGGTACCATTGACTGAAACTTGCTGGGTCCTACCACTCAAGAAACCTTGGATCCATGCTTTGGCTCTGCCTATGATGCCGTAGTATTCAAGCTTGTGCAACAACTTGCGATGAGCCACTCTGTCAAAGGCCATGCTAAAGTCTAGAAACAAGACGTCCGTCTGATGTTTGTTGTTGATATTAAAGGCCCAGTCATCAACGGCTTGTATGAGTTGTGTTTCGCACGACAATTTCTCACGGAAACCATGTTGGTTGTCGATGATGATGTTATTTGCAGCAAGGTACTTAGCCATGTGGCTCAGGACTATGTGCTCCATGATTTTACAACATATGCATGTCAAGGAAACAGGGCGATAATTTGCTGGATCACTCTTGCTGGCCTTCTAGTACAAGAATCATTCAAATCACTCATGTACTTTTCAAGTTACGGAATTTTAAACACAACCACCGTTTTAAAGTTCTGTCCACGGATCACAAAAAGGTGTGAGTTCTTTCAGCAAAACGAAAACAATTCACACACATCCCTATATGATTTGTTTTCGTTTTGCTGAAAGAATACCTTGTGATCCGTGGACAGAACTTTAAAACGGTGGTTGTGTTTAAAATTCCGTAACTTGAAAAGTACATAAGTGATTCGAATGATTCCTGTACTAAAAGAAAGCCTATGAATTGGGCTTTTGTATCCTAGATTTTGAAAGGGCTACATACAGAACTTCACTAACACAATGGTCCCGACATTTGGGTTTCGCTTCTTTTTTTACTCACCCTGTAGATAGTGTTTTAACTTGTTACTGTTAAACTGCGGACCAAGGATTAACGACTCAGCCAAAGTCCTGGTTAGACACGTGATAACGACACGTACAGGTGGCAATTACCATGAATACTTGTCAACAAAGACCCAAACAGCTTAACCGCTGCACTGCGCGCGGCGGCTTTCAAATTTGCAGGGCTCTGCGCCGATCTGGTGTCGAATTCTGTCAAGCCAGCTAATTATGTTTTTGAATATTCATGATCCTACGTTTTGGGCCTTATTATTGAATTCTGATAAGTGATAACTACAAAACCATGTTAACGCCGAGCACAATATTTTTAGAAATGTCGCATTTGTTTTATCGGTTCGGGATCACATCTCTCTACTAACTTTTTGATGAAAGCCTCATCAAAAACAACGTATGGGTAAACGGTGTTCTTCTCGAAAAAGGTGTCCCATTTGACGTTTATTTCCTGGGTAAATGCTAATGTCGTCATCTGTGACTACAAAAACTGCACAATGCCATATGTTATATCCTGAAGTATTTTTTTAAACAATTTTGGAACAAGAATATCTTACATAAGGAGTGGCTTTGCTTAAGTTTTGTGAATATAACCCTCTTTGAGATGCCATTCAAAAATTAAACCGACAAATGGTACACCTGGAACATTCGTGATTTTGTTTTCAAAAAAATAGGTCTTTGCCTTCTTTTTATTTGGTGATGTATTTTTAATCAAATAAACAGATTTGGTTTGAATTAAATTGAAAGTGATAAAATCATAAACTGTTCGGCAAGTGTTAGTTGTTAGCTGTTTTAATTTAGTGCATAATTTTTATGCACTAACTGTGTACCCACTCCTGTTCTTTTTGTTAGTATTCTGAAGAATTTTTAAAGTCATGGCAGAACAACAGAACAGTATTAAGTCAGTCTGTGACGAGCAAAAAGCGCCGTCCTTCGACGACATCATCTGCGCTGTCGGCGAATTCGGCACCTTTCAGAAGCTCGTGTTTGCCATAGTGCCGCTGATAGGCGTGATCCACGGGGCCAACGCCTTAGCTCAGGTGTTCTATGCCGGAGAGGCCGAGCACTGGTGCCTCGTGGCCCCCTGGGACGACGCCAACTGCACGAGCACAACCTCTCCTGGCGATTGGGAGTGTCTCCTCGAGAAACGGGACGCCTCCATCCCGTACAACTCGACAACGAAGGCGTTCGATAGCTGTAAAATGTACAATGTGACGGGCGTTGACTTCAGTGAAAAACTGAGCTACCTGGACTTTGATAACACCAGCACTGTCAAATGCTCAGAGAAAGATGGGTGGGTTTACGACACCCGGCAGTACCAGAAAACCATCATAAATGAGGTTGGTATTTTTGTTGTGTTCTTGAACTGTAGGGGGGTAAAGTAATGGGTGTAATCGAGAGAGCAAAATGAGGACATAATGTGTGGGTCAATCACAATTCTTCGAAAATCATCATGGCTCCATCACATATCCGTAGACCGAAGTCTAGTCTCAAGCAATCCAAAATGGACAGTAAAGACATTCCCCTGTCGTAAGTTATCCACTGATTGTAATTAAACTTGCAAGTTTTTAAAAAAAAACTGTTACTTGTATTGAAATACACCATAGTCTTATAATACACCACGCTCTATGATATGCCTGAGCATTCTTTGCCAAAATGATGGGAAACATTATGGCGATCGGTAAGATGGTACCCGTGCCTCTGGTAACCAAAATGTGAACAACAGTGAGCAAAGCATCAGTTGCACCCTTATGACTTTGAGAAGTATTTTCTAACAATCCAATTTAATTTCATTTTTTTTTCAGGCCTTGATGCCTTCTGACTTGCAAATATACATTGATCTTTCATTCCAGTTTGATCTGGTTTGCGACAGTAAAGCTACAGTAAGCTTGGCGCAATCGATTTACTTCGCAGGGTTTCTGGTCGGCTCGTTAGTGTTCGGCTCGATGGCAGACTGGTAAGTTGACACGAGTTGAAATGCATTGTGAACGTAGCTTTTAGCGTTTTAACACAATGAAAAAGGTGCTTGCGTTTAAACACGTTTAGAATAAACGCTTAGCAAGGCAAAACGCGTTTATTTTAAACGCGTTTAAACGTTTGAACCTTTTTTTTATTCTGGAAAATACACACTGCAGGCTTGGTCGCAAACCGGCTATCTACCTAGCGTCCACGTTGATGCTGTGTGCGTCCGTTGGTAACGTCTTCTCACCCAGCGTGGTGGTTTACATTATCCTGAGGTTCTTCCTGGGAGCCGGCGCCATTGGGGCGTTTCTCGTCTGCTTTGTCCACAGTAAGTGGTGTTATCCTTTACGTCTGAGGACTTGGAACAGTGTGTTACCTGCAATAACAGTCCACCCGAGGACCTGAGCCAAAGTCCTCGGACAGAGTTCGTGTACAAAACCTCGGGGAAACATTTTCAGGAAAAGTCCAAATAATAAGGGTCCTCAGTAATATTATTGCTTTATATAAAGCATTAAGGTGTGAAGGTGTGATCGAAACGCGTGTTGCAGACGTACGTGAGGAAACTCCTTTTTTGAATGAGGACATCACAAAATGAGTAAAGTCCTCGATTGGAAAACGTGTACAAAACCAATGAGTGGTGCTGCAAAGTACTTTAATGCAGAAAAACAAAAAAGAAAATGAAAATGTCCTCGATAAACACCATACAAAAATATGGTCCTCTTCTGAAAAACGTGCGCAAAAGTATTTATGAATGGTGCTGCAAAACAGTTTAAATAAGTACAAACAAAAGAATAACCGGAGACATCCATTTCGCGCTATAAAACAAAAAAAGTGGGGAAGGGAACGGGCCCGTGGGGTGGTGGTAAGGGCGAAGATTTGTTTCGACAACTGGGGGATGATGATGGAAAACTATACCTTTGCAATTGGGCCGTTGCAAATTCCAAAACAGGATGGAGGGGGAGAGAGTGGACCCCAATTGACACTAGGGGGCGCTTTTCATGAAGCTTCGCACTCCGTATTCTCCGTATTCATCTTCATTACTACATTCATTTTTTTTCTTTGTGAGGACATGTTTGAGATTTTTTGGAGGTTCAGTTCCACATTTTTAGAACTTTTAGAGATTGAGCTTGGCTCGTCTTTGTTCCCACAGCCACCGAGTTTTTAGGCCCCAGCAGACGGGTCGGTGTCGGCATTTTCATCCAGGGATTCTTTACTACGGGTCTGCTGCTCACTTCGTTCTGCGCCTATTTCATTCGCTCCTGGCGGGGACTACAGCTCTGCATTGGCGTTCCTACCATCCTGTACTTTCTCCTGTACTTGTAAGTACCTGCTCAAACTTTCAATTTTTGTCTTCTAACGGAAATTTGCTCTCTCAAAAGATGGTGCTTCACTGGTAACCGCAAGTTTTGAATGTTATAACCATTCGCCCCCAAGAACCAGGTAGCACGTTTTGGAATCCCGCGGTTTTTTTGACAAAGGGTTTCCGAAACCCTGGCATCGTCTCCAGCTCCGGATTTTTCGCTAGCTTAGATTCATTAGAATCATAGGAGCCAAGTTCAAACTCAATAGAAATACACAAACCCTTGGCCTTGTGCGGCAGGATTTGGTGTCTCCGTTGCGGGAAATTGACCAATATTTTACTAGTGTCTGTCAGGTCAGGGGACTTGTGAAGCTGGACCATGTAGCCGCAGCAGAAGATGAAGTCGAGATTTCGTAAACCCGATTGGATAACACTTCACCGGTATCCGCTTAGTCTTGACTGTTATTGTACGAACGTCCCAGGAACCAGCGAAATAAATTTCGAATTCAAATATTATCTTGTTTCGACACAAACGAAACCACGGCGTATCCGTTGCGTCATGAGCAGCCGAACGCACGGGTGCAACTTAGCAACTTGAATATTAGGTTTTTCCGCGCAGTAATGCATCATAAGGGAAACGCGAAGGCAAAAACTATGTGCTATTGGTCCGTCTGAGGAATTAAGCGTCGTTATGAATATTAATTTTGAACAGCTGACCAATAGGAGCACTTCAAACGCGCCTTCCTGATTGTGACGCATTTTGATACTTGATGCGTCACAGATCTCCATCACGTTGTCATACGCGCGTAAATGCGCGTATCACAGAGTTTGGCGATTTGCTTTGTGTCGCAATAATAGTTTCTACTCAAACGCTGCAATGTTTGCATAAGTTTCTATGGGGAAAACTTTCCACTGTACACAAAGCAACCCATAAAGGCGCATGTGTGTCTAAACAAATCAGGCAGTGGAACGATATCAAACGAACGAGTAGCAGCGATTTTATCTCGGAGAATTTGAGCTACATTTTGAGTTGATAATTTCGAAGAAAACAAACTAACAAGTGACGAATACTTCAGACATGGGTGGTTGCAATGAGTCCAAAGTTGTGCCGGCTCCGTCTTCAGCCGATGAGATTTCCTCAGGAATGATCAAGAACAAGTCTTTCTCCTTCTGGAAATTCTTCAAGAACCGTCGCAGCATGAATCGGGTAAGCTTAATAGCCACCCACTCCTCCCGAAAAAAATGAGAACTTTTACTTTGAATATACAAGACATGTTTTAATAGCGCATCGAAGCCAATTTAGACATAACGGTTAACATTTAGCTTGAGATTGACTTCGTTTACGTTTCAACTGTATTTTTGATCACGTTCATTTCTAAGATATGTTTTGTGTAGAGAGCTTTGACGAGTAGGCTTAGAGCATCCATTGTTTGTAATTCTTAATTAGTGAGGTACAGGTTTTTCTTAAAATGCATGAACTTCAAGAACAAAATATATTAGCAGGCATAAGTGAAATTACTTTTGAAAAACAGCAGCTGTAGACACCATTTAGGCTAAATGTTTATTTGATGACAGGTGGCCCCTGCCCTGCCCGAGGACCAGCCTATCACCGATGTGTCAGAGCGCACCATCATGGGTACCAACAAGGTACTTCCTCCTATCCGCCCCAGCTCTCCTGCCGATCGTGACAGCAGCCCTTCGCCGACATTCAGCGATGTGAGCCTGGCTCCTTACATGATCACTGAGGGCACGGCGGATGGGGACGAGTTGCTGGAGCTGGAAACTGCCGAGCGCCCACCAACACCGTGTAAGTCATCAGTGAAGCAATTCAAACCACCCGGCCAAACTAATTATCAACATCTTCATTTTATGTCCAATTAATGTAGTAAGTTCGATACAGTGTTGAGGTCAAGCAACTTGTAATGGATCACAAGTACATCACAAGTTTGGTCACAAGTAAATCACGAGTCGATTCACAAGTCACAAACACCAAACGAACAATGAAAAATAAATCTTAATCTTCAAAAGGTTTGGAGTTGTTTTGGGACTAGATGACTTGTGATAGACTGATGACATGAAATTCATCAACAGTACCTCGACTACAAAGCAGGCTCCTTGTCTTACTTCTTCGGTGTTATATTCTTGATTCAGATCTCTTCGTCGTCGGCACTCCTCTTTTTGCCAAGAAGATCAGCAACAAGGAGAAGCTGCATGCTCGCCAGGAAAGCCAGGAGATCCTTCGCGACCTTCGGAACTCTGGCATCGTGGCCCGCCCCGAGACCCGTGCCGGCGGCCTCACCTACGAGTACTTCGTCAAAGAGAAATTCGAGTTCCTGAAGAAGCCACCAGCCCGCCTGCAGAAGCTGAAGAAGGCTAAGAAGCTGCGAGAGGCACGAGGTGATGCCAAGCTGAGAGAGGAGGTGGAAAGCCGCATGAAGATGGCTGAAGAACGCCGCAAGGTGAGATGAACTGAGAGAAGGGGTACTCTGACAGACTGACAGACAAACAAAAATTGACTAAAGAATTTCAAGTTGAATGAGTTGAAGCAAAACAACTCATCAATACTGAATGACATTGTTTCCTGTTTTGTAATGAACAGAATGTGATCGACAAGGTCCGCATCCAGCAGACCCAGCACTTGGTGTTGGACATCAGGAGAGCCCATGACAACTCCGCCGCTCTGGAGGAGGAAAAGATCCAATTCACAGCAGAGCGCCTCCAACAGAAGGAGGTGATGTCCCGGGTAGGTAGAGATCTCTCACAGAATGATGTCTCTTGCGCCTCATACAATCACCACACATTAAGGTACCTTGGTACATCGTTCCTCATTTGCACAGTTGCTATACAATTGAAAAGTTCAAGAAAGGGTGAAACCTCACGGTTGAATTTTACTCTGTATTTCCTTTGCTTATTCACAGGTTGTGCAAGGTCGGGCGACCATCAACCGTGACCTGCGCAACATGCAACAGAAACATCACCACACCGAAGTGCGCCTGCGCGCTGCCCTGAAGAAGATGGCTCATAGAGACGAGGAGTTTCACCAGACCCGGAAAATCATCGTGGTGTCACCGATGAGAGGCGTGAAACCAGACCAGAGCGAGGAGGAGGAAATGGCGGGAGATTGCAACTCTGACTAAACAAACAACAAAACGGGGAAACTTGGGGAAACTATGTACTGTGTACATGTCTATACCAGAGGGATAGTAATTATCATTTTGTACTGTGTACAAACGGAAATAAACAAGAAGGGGGTTCAAATTAAAGTACGAGACAAATTGGAGGGGGGTCTCATTCAACAGATGTAAATAACCGACGTCACAGGCAAATTGAGAGGGGAATTTAAATATTAAAAAAAGTCTCGAAAGCAGTTGGGAGGGATTTATTTGGTACACAGACTTCGTCATAAACACAACTTTAGGATGTTATTTTGAGGAGGGTCCAATATCACTTTAATACCGAAAACATATTTATTATCTTCCATTTGTTCTTTTCATATTTGCCGAGTTCAAGTGCTCTTCTTTCCTATATTTCATCACTCCTTCTAAACTTCATTTCACCTTGCTTTTTCTTCGAGTATCCTTCTGCCTGACTTAAATACTTCTTCTCAATCATCAGCAACAATTCTCATACGATTTCTAATCGTATGACAAATTGCTGATGACATCCCGAAGAAGTATTTCTTTTCTTTTCCTTTTCTTTTATTCTCCCACTTTTCGGTCGGGCTCGGCAAAAATTATGAATTTCACAAACTGAAAAATCTGAGATAAAACGAAAATAATTACAATTTTTGGCCCTCCTCAACTGGATCCAATTACCTCGTTATCTCAAATGCATCTTATTCTTATTGGTAGGCCTTTATTATTTCATTGTTAACCGCAATATGTTCGGGGAAACTCTTTGCCTGTTGACTTTTTTATTAAAAAAAATGAAAAAAAAAAAAAAAAAATATACAGTAACTAAGACAAAAAAAATATTAAAATTTACAAAATGTACAAAAAAAAATTAAAAACACCAAAAAAAAAGTTTATTTTGTATCTCTTATGTTTATTGGGTTTTTTTCAGGTTTTCGTTTTTATTTATTTTGCTTAGTTAAACATTTTGTGTTAATTTTCTTTGAACTATTTATGTTGATTTATTTTATTAATTATGGGGTTTGGGATAATTTCAAATCACATTCATTAGGATTAAAATCAAACAAACAAAACTTAAAGTTATTTTGACATTTTTATTTTTAGTTTTCGAGTATATCTTTCAGAGCATTTCAAACTAATATTTCAAAAATGTTGTCAAAACATAGTTTTGTTTCATAGAATAGGGACCTTTTCGGCAAACATCATCAACATTTTCTCAAAACTTTTTGGCCTAGGTAGTGGGTTATAGCATTTTTATTTTGTGTATAAAAACCAAATGAATGCCTTGCCAGAGTTGTGGTACTTTAACCAAGTAATTCTCAGGAAAGTTTAGAAACCGTTTGTATTAATTCCATTAATACTTGTAAACTGGGAACTTCAGTTACTTCTGTTTAACCAGTTCAACCTTAATCGCTTACAACCTCTGTTAAACAGTTTAACTGCTTTCAATCTGGTAAGAAAAGTAGATTTTGTATTTCTACATCTTACGAAGTCTTGTACCACTGTACTTTGAGTTCTTATGTCTGATGGTTATCGTTTGGTTTGTGGATGCCAAGATTCCATCTTGGATTGTAATAAACTTGCTATAAACTACGAAAAAAGTTCCCCTCTTGTTTTATTATTTTGAGTCTTTAATGCACCAATGTTCATGAAATGATCGGGCTTTTTTTATGAAACGAATCGGGAAGAAATAATGCAACATCGGTAAAATCCACATTAAATTGTCACAACTGTTCCTCTTATAACAAAATATGTGAAATAATATCATCTGCTCTCCCGTACTAATTTTCTTTGTAGTAAAATCCTTGCACGAAACAGGCGTGGATTATAACACATCTGTTAATCAAGTCCTATTCAAAAATAACCCAGATTGTTCGCACCCCTCAATAATTATAGATCCTTTTAAGCAGAGATCTACAGGGTGATTAAAAAAAAAGCCAATCGGTTTTCGTTTATATTTATTTTGCAAGGTTAAAATTCGTTTGCTAAATTTCATTTCTTTCAAGTTATTTTTGTTACGGATTTTTTTTATTTTCTTTGAACTATTTATGTTGATTTACTTTATTAATTATGGGGTTTGGGATAATATCAAATCACATTAATTAGGATCAAAATTAAACAAACAAAACTTAAAGTTATTTTGACATTTTAATTTTTAGTTTTCGAGTATATCTTTCAGAGCATTTCAAACCAATTTTTCAAAAATTATGGCAAAACATAAAAAAAAAGTTTCATAGAAAAGGGGTGCGTTCTTTCAGCAAAACGAAAACAATTCACATACATCCTTATGTGATTTGTTTTGGTTTTGCTGAAAGAACACTTACCTTCTTGTGATCCGTGGACAGAACTTTAAAACGGTGGTTGTGTTTAAAATTCCGTAAATTGAAAAGTACATAAGTGATTTGAATGATTCTTGTACTAAAAGAAAGCCTATGAATTTGACTTTCATATCCTAGATTTTGAAAGTGCTACATGCAGAACTTCACTAAAACAATAGTCCGGACATTTGGGTTTCGCTTTTTTTTTACTCACCCTGTACACTTCGAAGATGGCTGCAAAATACCTCGCCTGCTTGATTTCACTTTTTTTTTTTAAGAAATATGTCTTTCATGGAATGTTTATAGTTTCATCCCAGAGTCAGCCCGTTGGCAGATGTCCAAAGGGAAATACAAACAGGCCGAGAAGACGTTGAGGAAAGTAGCGGCCAGAAACAAGAAGGAATTTCCCGAGGAAATGTTTACTTCATGTGAAATCATCGGTGCTGCAAAGGTAGAGCTTTTCATTCAAGTAACTGAATAACTAATTAGCAAGACACAAGTGATTGCACGCGATTGGTTGATTTCTTCATAAACCCGCCCACATTTGCTTTATGTACATTTCTCACTGTGCATGTGACCGAGTTACCGTGGTCACCTGACTAAGAGTCGTGAGCTTATTGGTCAGTGTACACTGTTTATTAATTGACAGGAAGGAAGGCCTTCAGGGCTCATTTGAATGGTTCCGCGACAAAGCTGTGGTTTGTATCCAGTGACTGTTTCATGTTTCTTTTTTGTATTCTGAAGCAGGAGAACGAAGGGCAGCAAACGTTCGTCGCACTCTTTCGCACTCCGAACATGTGCATCAAAACATTGAACCTCATGTTCTACTGGTATGTTTTATCACTTGCCGGACAGGCTTTAAGCTGAAGGGCGTGATCTTAATAGAATTATCACGGGGCCAACCATAACAAGCCATGGGGTCCAATTTTAGCACTGTGGGATATCCCATTGGCACCATTGTTAAAAAAAAATGCATTGGCACCATTGTTGAAAATGCATTGGCACCATTGTTGAAAATGCATAGGTGTCTTAGTGATAATGGCTCCTTATTAAAGTACTAGTAGATATGGTGCTAGAACAATGGGCCTTTAACACATGCTGCGGCAAAGAAATTGATTAAATTGTTGATGTAAAATACTAAAAACTGTTTGATATGCAATCAAGTTTTGTTCTATCCCTTTAAAAAGCAGAGAAACTACCACAATTTTCAAGGTTTTGGAAATATCAAAACTTGTGGAAACTTGTGGAAACGGCTTAACCACTTTCCGGCCGTAAAGTCGGTCGTATGCAGCCATATCCGCTGCCTCTCAACTTCAAAATGTCACCGAATTGCCAAGTAACTCACAGTTTCTGTCTTTCCTTCCCCATAATTCTCGATACCCCAGGTTTGTTGTCAACATTGTGTATTATGGCCTTGGCCTAAGCACATCTAACCTAGGCGTAGATGACTACCTAGCCGCAGCCATTGCGGCCCTTGTCGAGTTCCCCAGCTTCATCTTTAGTGTCATCTCGTTGCAGTATTTGGGCCGGCGCATCAACCTGAGCAGCACCATGGTGGTTGGGGGCGTGGCTTGTATCATCTCTGCATTTCTCGGTATGCTTTGCTCTACTTTGTCTTTATTTATTGCAGCAGGTCATTGGTACGTAAGCCATGGGCACAGGCTGCTGCATTATGTGTGTAGCAGTGTACTGCTGATGGGTAGTTCCTCAGAGCAGTAATTGATCGCTTTAATTACTGGAATAGCCGTTAAGCTGATTGTCCTATTCGCCTTGACGAATCTGAAGCTGCATGGCCGCCATCTTGCTTCCCCCAAAACCTTCAATGGACAGCACCATCATTTGAACATTTTTGCATGCTTACGTGCGAACTAGCCTACATTTCAAGCCGCCTTCTGATTGCTTTCAAATAGCATTGCAAACTGGTCACCGTTGACGCCATTAACTTGTGTGCACTTGTATTCGTCTTTCCAGAAGTGAAAACATAGATCTGGATGTGCATATTTATATTATGTATCCATACTTGATTCATATTGGATCACTTGTTTATTTCTCGCAGAGGAGGGCGTGGCGAGGACGGCAATCGCCATGGTCGGCAAGTTTTGCATCAGCGCGTCGTTCGCCATTATCTACGTCGTGTCTGGAGAAATCTTTCCTACGCCGGTCAGGTATTGATATTTTTAAACACGAATGCCAATTAAAGTGTGTCGCATCAAGTTACCCGCGGTCAGTAGACCTACTTCTTTGTGCGCTCGAACATAGCGCACGAATTGCACCTGCAATATGGCAAGAGATCTAACAATAAAGCGACCACTAACATCTGTAAAGTGAAGTCACTATCCACCGTTTTAACACTCCCACAACAATTCGGGCGATTCACAATGCAGTGCGCCACCAAGATTTTGCCACAGAGAGTCAATTTTTCAAGTTGACAGTCGACAAAACATGGCCCATTTGAACGAGTGTCATTAGACAACTTGAGCTAATTTGTTATAGATTGGGGCATAGCGTTCTGCCGCCCTTACAAAAAAATCTATATTGATAAAAAGAAAAGGGCAAACAGATACACGAATCATACGCTTACGAAACTACTGACCGGAAAAAAACTAACAATTTCAAATGTCCCGCGCTGCGAATTTGTCGACCATCTCCCACAATGCACTGGGAAAAATGATCTCTCCGTGGCAAACTCGTGGTGGCGCACTGCATTGTGAATCGCCCGAATTGTAAACAAATCTATCTTACTCTAATCGCAATCGTTACCTTTTTGATGATTGTATTTTTTGTTTTAATAGCTAAATGTTTTTATGACTTGAATCATTTTTATATGAAATTCTGTTGAGATACAAATTGTTTAATATTCTTTAATTCTTCCTTTATATATATTACGAATTTAGTGGTTATGCTGGTTTCCGTACTATATTCGAATGGAGAGATTCGCTGCCAGTGCGCAGCTTCAAATGTGTGCACAGAGTGCGTGGCCTAAGGTTGCAGACCAATAAATAAACTTCCATAGACCCCAATGGTAAATGCTCCCACATCAGAAATTCAGGAAAAATACTCACAACTCTCCAAGGTGTTCGAGACACACATCAAATTAAAGCTTATTTCATCATCTTTCATTTTCCTTTCAATATTTGGGGGTCAACTGATGACTTTAAGGAGAAATTTCCATCCGAAGATGATCACCCCTGAAAATAGTCCTGAAGCCCATCGCCATTTTGAAAAACGATGCCTACACTCCATTGCAAAATAGAGCGCTTTAAGGGCCCCAATTTCATCCAACTTGAACGGAACTACAAGCTCACAGTCCTGTGCATGTCATACACCCATATTTTTTACAAACCCTCAAGTTCATGGCCGACAGCATGCTCAAATACTGAAGATTTTGAGGGCATGCAAATCGTGATTTGGCCGGCGTAGGCAATTTCGGACCGATTTACTGGTCTGCAACCCTAAGGGTTATCCTTAAACACGGAGGTCCATGAGATCAACGTGAACTATCATTGGAGTTTACTTATGACTAGGGCAATGTTCTCCCCCGACATTTTGGCAGGAGTGCCGGTATGGGAGTGGCTTCCATGTCGTCCCGTATTTCAGGCATCATCGCCCCGTTCATCGTCGAGCTGAGGTTGGTATGGGAACCCCTCCCGTTCTTGTTGTTTGGAGTTCTGTCCATTGCGGCCGGCCTACTGTCACTGCTTCTCCCGGAGACAAACAACAAGAAACTCCCTGAGACGGTTGAAGAAGGGGAAGCCTTCGGAAAGTGAGTAATAATAGTTTACCTTCAATTCTGTACCTATATATTTTCCAGAATTGTAATGACTCGAGTCAGTGACTCGACTCAAATCCGAGTGGCTCGACTCGAGCCCCTCCAAAAAAACACAATTTTTGGAGACTCGACTCGAGTCGAGTCCAAATGGGTAACTGACTTGATTAGACTCGAGCTCCTAGACTTGAGCGAAGGCTAATAAGACCTGAGTCCCATAAATAAAAGAAAAACGTTGCGAAACATATTCGCAATGACTTACGGTGCACAATTTATGTTCACGTTCACGAATACAGCACGGTACAGTTTGTCATGTACAAACACACAACGTGTCACAAAGTCCCATCTTGTGGTTCTTGAACGCACAAAATACTATCCCGGAACCAGACTTTAAACACATTTGCCAATTCAAATGGCTTTGGGTGATTTCTTATTAAGCTCCTGGACTCGAACGGCGACTTAAATTTATGCTTGCTTTTAAAAAAGGAAATAGATACGTACATGCCCACTTTTAAATAATCAGAAACAGGGTTTTTTACTGTAAAATTCTTGATCCGAAGCCAAACCTGATACCCTATGAGACCGAAGTTCCACTTCTTGCTAATTGTTAGTGATACAAATGACTTTCTCTCTTGTCTTTATTTGTTATAATATTTCATTTAAATATTGGTGACTTGAATTGACTCGAGCTAAATGTTTAGCTCAACTTAACTCCACTACATTCCGTACTGTGACTAGACCCAAATCCACTCGACCTTCTGGACCTATGACTCGACTTGGCTCACTTCTTTAAAATGACTCGACTTGACTCGAGTCACAAAAAACAGTGATTCGTTATAACTGTGATATTTTCTAGCGAAGGGGGCGCTATTAAATTGGGACGCCACTTTTAGGGTATTATAAACAGGCGTAAGGATTAGGGAAGTGACGTAAGTCATTTCATTACAGTAGTCTTGAATATTTCAAACTGAAATTAAGTTAATAGATCTGAAAATTTGCTACAAATTGTCATTTTTCTGCCTTTCTACCTCCATGTGAACATCGTGACAGCGCCCTCTTCTGCCTGTCGGTCATATTTTTTATTTTTGGTTTGTCACTACAGACCGAAGTGCTTGGGAGGCAGCGAAGATGATGTTGATGTTGCCATAGTAACCGTTGGCATGGTGGAGTTGGACACCGAGGCAGGGCTGGACAATGCGACTTTCGAGGAGAAAGGGTGCCAGACCTACAAGTCGAGCTTTAAGCCAGCAAAATAGTCTGATACCATACCGTTGAAAACGGAGACTTATATCTTAGACTCATACCGTCGATTGGTGATTCAGATTTTATGGAGTTGTTGCGCAGAGATTAGATGTTGACTGAAGAGTAAAACAAACTCAAGATACAAAAGATTCCTGTTATAAGGCAAGACAAACTCATCATTTAAATATTTAATTTCAAGATGGCTTCCAATGTAAGCATTATTTTATGTTTTTTTAATCAGGCAATTTTGAAGAGAAGATGCTTAATTGCTGTACACATTTTTGTAAAGCCATAATAATAATAAATAATAATAATAATATCGGAGTCTTATATAGCGCACGTATCTACCAACAATTATATGTACTCAGGTCAAGGCGCTGGAGATTATGTCTATTATTAAAGAATGGTAAATGCAGTTTATGAGAAATATGAGACCCATTATGTAGCACCTTTATAAGGGTTGACAAGGTGCTACGGCGCATATTGCAGCCACTGCCAGAAACACCGGGGCAAACCCCTTCTCTTTAAATTTTACTGGGATCTTGAAATTATAGGTACTCAATAGGCAAGAAGCTGGAGATTATGAAATTCAGTCTGTTCAGTCTCTAACAGATTTTAAGACTAAGCTTACGACTTTCCTTTTTCTTTTTTGAGCCTTAAATGTTTGAAAAGCCGATGTCAATTCTGAAAAGGTGTAATTGGTTTTTTTTTTTGAGCCAGTTACTAGGTTAACACTTACCCGTTGTTCAAGGCAATGGACACTATTTTGTCGATTCAAGAAACAATACAGGAAATCTGAAAAAAGGTTATTGAGAGTGTTTGTCGGAGTTTTGTTATTCAATGATCGAAATAAAGGGTACCAAATCTAACAAATATACCTTAAGCTTCTAAATTTGTTTATGCAGGCTGAAATAAGCCCAGAGATCCGAAGAGACTGGCAAGTTTCCAAAATGGTTACTCATTCGCAGTTGGGCACAAGTTTAGTTTATAGGTGGGTCATTTTTTGGACAATGATCCCCAGACAATAATCCCTCTAAGAATACAGAAGAGGAAGGACGGAGAGTTAAACTCCATTTTGATAGGTTGATCACCTTGGCGTTTCGAGCATTTGTCCCGATTTGCAGAAATTGAACGGTGATTGATGCATTGGAAATAAACACTAGCGATACCTCTGGTGTCACCACGAGAGGGCGATATTGTGTTGCGATACAAGTTGCGTTCGAGTAGCTCACCCGGATCGACTCGTGTAAAGGCAGAAGGGTTAGCCACGACAAGCCAGGCTAATCGCACGCTCAACCGCAGGCCATCACGATTCTCACGTGACACCCGTAGCCGTGGCCGTAGCCACTGACAAAACTCCCGTTTCGGACTGGGTCTTAGCTTGAGATTTACTGCTTTTCAGTCATTTGCAAAACTCACAAAACTTGGGCTGGAATTATAGCCAAAAGTTGCACTGAATTTAATAAGTGATTACCTTCAGACTTCAAATAACGGTTAAATTTAAGTCCACGTGAGATTTCCGCTGTCTAGCCGCCACATTTGTCCGTTTCTTGGAATGAACAACGCATGCGTGTGACGTATTTCCACCAGTGACTCGGCTGCACGAGCAGAGTCTGTGGTGGCTGGCCCGGGTGAGCCCCGAACATGACGTCAGATCTAATCGAACGGCACGAGGATGACCAGCGTCGACCCGGGTGTGAGTTAAACGAACGCACCCAAAGTTCACTATAAAAACCGGACTCCACTCATCCTGCACTTATTGCTCGTGCCTGTCGTAGTAGCTAGGGACACTGACTATTGTGTACGCGCACTCAATGCATAATAATTCTTTAGACGGGGAATTGTAGGCCTATACATACACCTAAAACGGCCATCATGCTTTTCATCATGCGAGTTTTGCTGTTGGTCGGTTGCTGTTTTTACGGAGTACTTGGCGATGTGTCACAAAGCCAGTGTCCGTGCAAAGACCCATCGCACTGTCAACTCGTCAAGGCACCGCCTCGAAAAGAGGTAAGACCAGAGTGAGAGAATCGGATAATGTGTGCAGATAGATGATGTATTTCATTTATAACCGAGTCTGAATTTCAGCCGTCGCCACATTGTTGCAACAGTTGTCCAGCCATGTTTCCGTGAAAGTTTCTTTAGTGCCATCCGTATTTACACGCCCCCTCTAGCACAATGCGTGAAGGACACTTGGGGCCTGGGTCTACACGTTTATGGTTGTTTGGTGCATTTGTTGTTCAATGAATAGTAATACCGATGCTCAACCATGCAGAATTAGAACTTCGAACCACGTATAGGCCTAACAGTTTTATTGCTCACATAACTGCAGGTTGTTGACCCTCTAGCGCTAAACTCATTGCCATGTAAAAGGTACAATTATCAGACCGGGAAGCATTACACTGGTATTTTTTTTCTAAGGTTCAAGCCCGGAGGGATTTAAGGGGGCTCCGTTTATATAACCGTGACGGGAGTGACATAAAAATGGCTTTTCTAAAAAATCTCGGAGGGCAATTTTATTGAGCGTTCATGTTTTCATTAGTAAAGCCATTAATTTCAGGCAGCATTAATTTGACAAAGAGTAGTGTTTAAGTGTGAAGCATTTTATTCAGTTAAATTTCTTTCAGTGATGGTAAACTGTGCAGACAAACATTTCCTCAAATGAAACAAAGTTAGATTATGTTCTCGAAAATGAGAAATTCTGGAAAAATATTGGTATATCGAGCCAAGCAATAGTCCTTTCCGCATGTCAATCAAACACTGCGCATTGACCAATAAGATCACGACCTTTGGTCAGGTGACTACGGAAGCTCAGTCACACTGTGAGAAAATGTACACAAATCAAAAGTAGGCGGGGCTTATGGTAAAAATGTGGAATGGTCCATCTAGTGTTTTTACCATCAAATTAATAACTTTTTTGTATTTCTTTTCGGATATCCAGTTATTTGTTTTCCGGACCGGCGATAAAGATGATTGGAAGCAATACGATTGGTCGTACATCACTACGGTGGCCGTGTTTGGACCTTACGACCCAGATCTCATGTGCTATGCACACTCCAAGGGAGCGAGATATGTATTTTCGGGTCAGTAATGAAATTGTAACATTAGTTTCAACACAGCATTAAGCAAGAGAAGATGGTTTTTTGAACTTTCGAATTCGATTTCGAAATCGTACATAAATGAAAAGGTTACATTAAACGAGCGCCAGGCCCGAAATGGTTACTTTTAAGCCTGTTTTGTTTCACATAATGTTATTTATTGTTGTTAGCAATGTGACAATTATACAGCTGTAGGCCCTACTTCAACTTATCATAGGAGGCTAAATAATATAAGGTGAATAATAACAATTTTGTGAAGTATAGTGAGCTACCATGTATATGTTCATCCCAATAGCTGATTATCCAGCAAAGCAGCTAAACAACGCCACCGCGCGGTCAGCCTGGGTCAAGCAGCAGGTGAACACTGCCCTCTCTGGGTTCTTGGACGGTATCAACATTGACTTCGAGGCTACACTAAGCGAGAGCGAGGCTCCTGACCTCGTGGCCCTGGTGAACGAGACTGCAAAGGCGTTCAAACAGGCCAACCCACACGCCCAGGTGTGCCCAATTAAATTTGAAGATGGACGAATGAGGGCGCTAATGTAGAAGAGCTAGAAGATATGAGGATGCTGTTTTTATAATTAGAAAATCTAAACGTCCATTCATAACGAATCTTTCAAATATTTTCATTAAAATGATTAAATATAATGTACAGGCTTTTGAAATAATTTAATTTATGGACTTACTTGTTTTCCTATTAGATATCTTTTGACACCCCGTACGCACCCGGATGTACCTGGGGCCGTTGCTATGACTACAAGAACCTGTCCGAATCCTGCGATTTCCTCGTTCTCATGAATTACGACATGAATGCCGATGCCGACATGGCAATATCAAACGACCCCTTCCAACGCATCAAAATTGGTAAAACAAAAATCAGTTAATATTATGACAGTCTTTAATAAGTGGTTTGAGAAAATTAAGAGAATCGACATTTTCTCTTCATTTTTCAGGAGTGGAATCTTTTCAAGCTGACGGCATACCAGCTAATAAACTGGTACCCGCCTTCCCTTGGTATGGCTACGACTACGAATGCACGCACGTTCTCAAGGTAAATTGTACAACAAATTTGAGCTAACTACAAACACACAGTATATAATTATTGTCTGCTTTTAAAAATATGATTAATGCACATAATGTTGTTGACTTTTATCCAGGACGACATTTGCTCTAAAATCGGTTACCAGCGGTACAATGCTCCATCACCTACGCAAGTTTGCTACAGCGGCATAACTCAAATGCTGAAGGACCTTAAAATGGTTGGAACTTTGAACTCCACTTTCGTCTCAAAGTTCTACGATTACACGGTAAGAGAGTGTAATAATGGGTGCGTTCGATTAGCTTACACGTGTAAGTTTCCCAAACACGAGAGCGTTCGTTTAGCCATCACGTGATTCTCGTGTCTGCTCCGGTGTCATACACCATTACCCGAGCTGGCGAGCGGGTCTCTGGTGGAAAGTCCCGGTGTAATGACGTAACGGGCTAGCCCGACTTCGCAAAAAGTAAACATGGCGGGCAGAATTCGCCGCGACGTAAGTACAAATGTACAGATTATGACGCAAATGGAAAGAAAAGTTTATTTATCAGACAAAATAAATTGGAAACTAGGATGTGCAAGTTGTATGGTCCGTTTATTTTCAGGGACGGAACCCGACGGTTGGCTGCTATAGCTAGGCCAATGTCGTACCGAAAGCAGTCGAAAATCGCGGTACGGCACTAGCCATGGGCCGGTCATGGCCGGATGGCTGCCGTAACAATAGCATGCCATATGCGAATACACCGCAGCGTTTGATTAGCCTCATTGCGTGGCTTTCCCTGGGTGTAACCCCGCGTATACACGTGTAAGCTAATCGAACGCACCCAGTGTTTCTTGATTTTTTGTTTTATAGTTTACCAACTAAGGCGAATTTCATGGAACGCACCATACATGGCACGAACAAATTAGATTTAACTTAAATTGACATGTATGAAGAAGCCTGTTCTACCCAAGTTACCAAGAACCATTTGCATGTAAATCTAATTTTTGACACTGGGTACACAATGTCTTTTTTGTTTTCAAATACCGAGCGCCATTTTGAATGAGGGCCATTCTATAGTTTATCTCCAAAGTGGTTTGAAAGACGCCTTGCTCAAAATGACGCATGTAAACCTAGCAGCATTTTCAGAGGGATGTAGCTATAAAATACAACGCAGATTTTTAAGCAATGACTAACAATAATAGACACTACCTAAAATCAATATAATATATTGATTTTAGGTAGTGTCAATAGTCATTGCTTCAAAATCTGCGAGGTATTTTAAAAACGTTGTTAATTGTTATACATGTATAACACCTAACAAGATCCTTGTCATTTGATTGGTGGCATTTAGTCACATGAGATTGAATCATTTGCCTCATTTCATTGACACATATTCCATTGTGTGATTTACGTCATGCATCAGGCGATTTGGTTCCATTTACCGTGCATTTTGGTTCCAGTCGTTTCGCTCCATTGCACGCCGCCTCAATATCAAGGGTACTGCGCGTTCTGACACTGTATCAATCGCAACCTTTGATACGAACTCTAACACGAAAAGTGTTTGAACAGTTCAAGTGTTCTATCAGTTATATACTGTTTTGGACTTGAACTTTGAACTTGTTGGGTGTACTACTGTTTGGATTAGAACTTTAACTGCCTGTTGGGTTTATAATGCATGCATGTTGACTGTTGTGGATGACCATTGACGGTGAGGTTACGTATTTGTTTTCATAAAATATAAAATGACAAGGATCTATTTATTAAGGAATATTTTCCTGAGGTGAAAGGTCGACTTTTCCATTCGACGAGGCGTAGCCGAGTGGAATGGGAAAAAACAGTCAATCTTTCTCCTCATGAACATATTCCTTCCATTGCACTCATAAACATCAAGTTCTTATTTATTTACTGTTTTGTTTTGCCATGACGGTCGTCCATAGTTTTGCCAACCACCGTTTGACATAAACAAGAACCATGTATAGACAATTGCAAAGAGCGCCCTCACCGAGGGCATGTCTTTGTTTATCTGTGATGCGCTTGCCAAGACACTTTGCACTTTCATCGTCATTGAATTTAAAAGTCAAAATCTTTCCTCATAGAGGGCGCTATGTGCAAGGTGGTTATTAATGGAATTGCACTTGTCTTTTTATAACACAGGATAAGACCACGGGAAAGCCCCATCAAGTATGGTACGACGACCCAGAGACCCTCACGGTGCGGTACCTGTACGCCAAGCACGCCGATCTCCGGGGTGTGGCTATGTGGCATGCCGAGTGCCTCGACTATGGGCCCGACCCGGCAACGCAGAAACTCACCAAGGCAATGTGGGACGCCATTGATGAGTTTTTTCAACTCGAAAAAGGTGGAAGAGAAAGTTGCATTGAATAACAAGATTCCATCTGTGCAATGGAACAATAATTATTTGTGAGGGGATCGTTTTTGTTTTAATTATTATTAAGTGAACCTGTCAAAATGCGTTTATGCACTGCAAAGAAAAATAATATCAAATTATAGGTTTTGCCCTTCGCCGACGTTCAAACACTGTATACTCAGTGAGAAATATGCATGATTCAAAGAGAAATATGCATGATTCTCAATGAGCGTTTACCAAGCCTCGGCATTATCGTAGTTCGGATTCGTGTTGCAACTTTGCTTTTTTTGATTTAGAACATGGACGGCGTCTTATTGATTCTGGAGGGTGCACACCGGTAAATCCATCCGCCAAGCTCATGAATAAAAGTTATACCCTCAAAATTAGAGAGTTCTGAGCGCCGTAAAATTGGGAAATTGAAGAGATATGGTAATGAACCTCTGGCCCGGACTTGGGGCTTCCAATTCTGAGCATTTTGGATGCTATTGGGCTCGAAAGTGGCGCTATTTTGCCATGTTGTGGAGGGATCGTTTTTCAAGATGGCTACTTTTCCGCTTTGGAGAAAATAAGGGTGGTCCTCTTTGGGTGAAAATATCGCGAAAAGTCAATTGTCAACCCACCAAAAAATGAAAAGAAAACGAAAGATTACATGTTGATCATCATTTTTCTGTGCAGCTTGAATACCTGTGAGAGTTCTGAGTATTTTTAAAAGAATTTTGAAGTATGGGCATTTAGCACTAGTGTCTATGGGAATTTATTTGCACTGTTGCATCCTGGAGCCAGAGTTGTGAAGCCGAAGCGATGACAATGAAGTCGAGGTTTTATATAAACTCGACATTAACTTGATTTGGTGTGGAGTCGTATTATTAATTTTTATGCAGAGAATGAAGTGTGCTGGCCAAATTATAACTTCATATAAAGGCTGAATAAGTGATTGATTGTTGATGATCTTTTACGAGAAGGTTGAAATTCTGGGCTTATGATCGGGAACGCCCACTTGTATGTTTTATGTGCTAGGCTATATACAGAGGGCGCTCTTCAACATTAATTACCGCCATGTACTTGATGCTTTTGTAAATGTTTGCTTTTTCACATAGGCTGCCTCAATTTTGATATGAAATCAATAATTTAAAAATAACTGTGTCACGTTACAAAAATAATGACTATAAATGAGAACCACACACACATAAAAGCAATTGAAATTGTGCGAATACCCACTGGCATACACCTATTATCGTACGATCATAAGATCAACTTTGATGCTACAAAGTAAATACCAATTAGAATCAACTTTGCTATGGTAATTGGACTTTTGAATTTGATTTCGCGTATCTCATGACTTGTGTAACTTTACATATTCCTCCTGGACCCCCAAATAAATTAACATAACAGTAATTCTGTCGTACAGACCCATATGTTGCTCTGTAAGATGACATTGATATAAGCGGGTATTTATTATGTATTGAAACAATGCAGCTAATATGATTTACAATTTTACTTAATAAAATAAAAATGGTTTAACAAAAACCAGGTTGAGGGCGGGACAGGTACAGAAAGGTGGCCGAGCAAAGCCAAATTATGTGGCGCTATAAATCGACAGCGTTACAAAAGCCATTTAGGTGATGACCTTGAAGGTTCCATGGGATATTTGTTTCTTAGGAACACATTTTTGCAACTTTCTACTCCTCTTAAAAAGTATGAAAACTATTTGACATCCTTTATGAAAAGTGCACTTCTTTAAACATTTAGAATTTTGTCCGTTTTTTCCGGACAACTGATGGCGCTGTTGCTGTGTGATGTCATTTCAGGAAGACACTGTTCAGTTTAGGGCTTTTCTGTTCAAATTGTGAATCCAACGTATGCTCATAGAAAACTTTTGTGAGAAAGGGTTGCTCATTGGCTTACTGCCATGTTACAATACAACGAATTACCAAAGAAAGGAAAATTTATAACAGCAAAATATCCAATAGTCTAGCAACTTTTTGTGCTGAAATAGCTGTAACATTAGGTTTCTGCCCGGTATTGACATCAAGGTTTTGCTCATGAATATGGAAAGTGTATTAGCATAAAACCAAAACAGCACTAATTTACCCTTCAGAATGGCAAAACGCAAATTTAAAATTAAGTTAAATTGGACACAAACGTGCATTTTCCAGGATAGTATTAAAATGTTACATTGCAAGGGCCCTACACAAATTCTAAACGAGCAGTGATACAAGTACTATAGCGTCACAAGACAATGTTAAAGCAAGTGGATTAACATTCCAGATAGAGCAAGAATTACGAAAAGCTTGCATATTCAATACTTGAAAATCTGGCCTACGTTTTGCATCGAGTGGAAAGCATTACACTGCGTATACCCGTTCACACATGTATTGGTCGTATATCACTGTTGTTTCGACGGTTGCAGTGCGAGGTTCAAGATTGTTAAAAGTACGGTAATCGGTGAATTGACACTAACGACTTGACCCGAGATTAGTATGCTGTACAAAACTTAACGCCAGACGTACTATTATCAATTCATTAATGTGTTTGCTTTGGGCGTCCCTTGCTGTTTTGTGGACCCTCTTCACAAAGAAAATTAATTTTCGACCCACGTTATCAGCTAGATTCACTACAAATTTGCACTTGTTGCTCGATAAACGATAAGGACAACGAAGACAACACGACCAAAACACGCCTTCAAAGCACCGGCAGCATAAAGCAGCAGTTATAAGGTCAAGTCGCACACGATCAATTCGGTGAAGTTTGGTAGCTGGGAAATTAAGATGAAGTTTGATGAGGTGTTGGAGATTTTGGGCGGGTTCGGGAGGTACCAGTGGTACGCCTTTTTCTTCCTCAACCTCGTCAACTTCTTGGGTGCTTTCACTACGCTGCAACACGCTTTCTACGCCGGCGAGAGCGATCACTGGTGCAAGACGTTCGAGCCGATCAACTGCACCGCGTTCGGCTACAAAACTGCCGAGAATTGCACGGCGGCTGTTAAGGCGGTCGCCATCCCTCCAAGTGATCGCTACCCGGACCCGGACAAATATTTCTACGAGAACTGCCTGCAGTGGGACTTGCCAGAAGACCTGAAATTCAGCCCGGATATCAATCATACCCACTACGATGCCGCCAAGGTGCCCTGCAAGAAGGGATGGGAGTTCGACCATTCACAGTTTCGGACCACCATTATCGAGGATGTAAGTACTGCCGTTTCTGAAACCCTGGTTTCGTCTCTGTTTGGGCTTCAAGCGTATGTTGCTTGAGCCGGAGCCGGATACGATCCAACGGCCCGATTTGAGAAACGCCCGTCATCTGTCAGGAAATTTTTTTTTTTTAAATGTTCACTGGTGCATATCCCAGCAAAATAATAATATTAATAATAATAATAATAATAATTACCCTGGATTGGACATTTGGGAGACATCCCCATAGACTTGTGCACACATTTTTTTCACAAACCAATGTGCCCTAACCCAATATTCCCTTGTCCTTTTTCCACGAATTTTGGTATGTTTACTAATTAGACCACGAGCAACAAATATAATCTAATTGCGACGATTAAGTTTTGCCTCTAAAGGGGGGTTGTGACATTAGGGAGACTTGAACATGTCTCCCCAATGACCGATGTCTCCCATCGTGCGAAGAAGTTACGATAACGTGTCTCCTTAATGGTACCATTACACGTATTAATTCTTATAAATCTCAATGCGCTTTACAAAAAAGTTATAATAATACATATAAAAAGCTCAAAACAAAATGTTGCTAGAATCCATTAAAACGTAACGAAGGCATTGTCCCCTAAGATGGCTGCTACGCTAAATGTCTGTTTTAATAAATGCCTTAAAGTGACATGATATTAATCTAATAAGTATAATTTTGAAAATGAATGTTTGTACTCATCTGCACTCAAATCCTTTAAACTTCCTATTGGATCAGTGGTGCGCGCGCGTGTATGACGAAGTCACTAACGAACCGGGTTTTAAACAACCTCGTGCCCCGTGGGTACGATCTTGCAGCGCCATGTTGTTTCCCATCATGCCTTGCGCGATCGTAACCCCTGGAATTGTGTAATTTAAATGTGCCAAAATACGGTACATTATAATTAGGGCTGCAGTTTATCCGTTTTACGTGCCGACGCCATCTTTAAAATGTTAAAAGTTGTGATTTTGAAGAATCAATCCTATCAGACACAACGTTTGGACGTTGTGTTAATTAGCAAAGATTTGTATTAAATGTACGTATCCCTTTCGTGCCTTTACAACCACAGATACAGGGGGGGTTTTTTAACGAAAAACGCGGCTGACATAATCCATATCGTACATGCATCGCGACTTTTGAATCATAATTTTTTGTTCGTACGTGACGTTACGTGCAAAGCTAAGCGCGCGAGCGCATTATGGGCGCGCCCGGCGTGCAATCTTCGAAATGCCCGCGCAGTACGCTGTGAATAGCCATTCAGCGTCATTTACGTCATCATCACAGCCAGGGGTTAGTGTAAGGAACGAGTACGCGCCCCTGGAGTCGAGGCTGGGTTTTAGAATCACTAAGGGCGTTGCCTGTCCTCATGAATATGTATGTATGAATATGCATGTATAGGGTCTTGCCTCCATCCAGACTACTTTGGACTTTTCGTTTGTTTCAGTGGCAGCTTGTCTGTAACGATGCGGGCGAGACTAATATCATGACGGCAGTCTTCTTTGGCGGGTTTATGGCTGGATCTTTCATCTTCGGCGTCTTCTCTGATTGGTGCGTGGGGTTGTTTTTGATGCATGTTTGCAAATGTATATTCTCTTTAAATTGCAAATTGTAGAATAAAAACTATGGTGTCCAGGAGCGGACCTGCCACTCATAATGGGAAGAGTTCATATGTTGTTTTTCCTCGCAGGTTTGGGCGTAAAAAGGCGCTGATGGTGTCGATGGTCATATGGTTTCTGGGCGCGTTGGCAACGCCCTTCACGAGCGCACCGTGGAATTACTACATCGTTCGGTTCGTAACCGGCACGGGACAACTGGGCCGTTGGGTCTCCGGCTACGTTTTATGTAAGTGCACTCATCCCCCATGTAAACAAAATCTGGTTCCCGACCCTCCACGTTAATGTGTGGCGGGAACCAGGCTGTACCACTTCCAATGCATAATATAATGTTATAAAACTTAAGTTTAGTGCCTACCAGGGCAATTTTATTTACTCACACAATAATATAAAAACTACTGTTTCAACAATTTTAAATTTTCAAAGAAAACATATATATATTTAGTCAAGAAGTATAATATAGTGTGAGTTAGAATGATCCGTACTCAAATTAAAGAAAATATGAAACAAATATGTAGCAACTATCGAAACAAGTGCAAATGGGGTACGTTATAGGCTGGTATTTTGGACATATTTGGTGAAAGTTTCATGTATATCCATTGTTACGGTACCATTTTGAAGAAAAACGCTAGCAAAGAACACAGGTTAAAACACTCTAACCACGGCTCCACGGTTCAACAAATTTATTTAAATCGCGTACTGATATAAAGCTGCGTAATAATAGTCATGGAGACTGATTCGATTGAAGTTATTGACATATATTTTAAAAAGGCAACAACAAAAATTCCGTGTGCAGACTGGAAAACGAGCAACTTCAATGAAAATGGCTTAACTCCTCACCACAGCCACTAATTTTGAAAAATTCTAAATTCCTGTGGGAAAACAAGGTAATAAGCAATCATTATGCAGCACTCAGTTTTTTTGTCAATATACTCTATTTGCAACCAAAAAATTACGAACTTAGGTTCAGATCACTCTGACTCACCCTGTATGGTTATTAAATTACAAAGGGTTGTTACGATTCCATTGTAACGGAACCGCTAATATGGCGGACGATGACTTCAATCTGAACAACCAATGAGCAGTCCAATGATCTCCATGCTGGAGACCAGTGAATAAATTGATCCTGATACCAAATGCCATCCATCTGTGAACTTTCTGTATTTAAATTGCCCTCTGGACTTGTAAAATAACCTTCAAATTGAAACATTTTGGTGGGCTTTTTACTCAATTTTGTGTTATTATTGTTCCTTCAGTGAATGAGTTCGTGGGGGCCGAATGGCGCATCGTTGCCGGGGTTCTCATCGGCGTCACCTATTCATTTGGCTACATGACGGTGGCCCTCGTTGCCATGGCAATACGAAGTTGGCGCGCGTTGGCATTCATCCCAATCATTCCACTTTTCCTTAGTCTGTTTGCGGTGATGTAAGTTATCCAGTTGATTCATGTTTTACTTCTGCCTCTTTCTCCAGATCGCTCTGGAGTTTCTGAAACTGTCAAATTATGATTTCCCTGACTTTCAAAGAACGTGAAGTGTATTTCTCAGGCAAGGTGCTCCTCCGTTTCCGACAGTGCCCGAAATTTCCGATCCCGTTTTCGTTGACACTCGGATGTTCGGAAGATAGCTCGGGAGTTTACGTGTGTCATGAATGGTTTCATGTATTGATACAAAAGTTGCTAGTTTAACTATCTCCTTCCCCACACCTGTAGACCCCTGACCGAGTCCTCTCGCTGGCTCTTGACCAAGGGTCGAGTCCGTGAGGCCGAGGAAGTCATCCGGAAGGTCGGCAGATGGAACAAGAAGGATCAGAAGCTCCCTGATGTCATCTTCGACGAGAAGGAAGTACACGATTTCAAGGTGAGGAGGTATATATGTCCCTCTGCAGAATAGTTTATCGCAATTGCCGATCACCACTCGAGAGGAAGGCCACAGCGGGTCGGTTTGGGTAGCACTAAACACTATTGGGAATGAAGACGTTTGTGACCTTTGACGAGAAGGCCGTGCACGGTTTCAAGGTGACGAGTGATGTCGTGTGTTTATGTCCCTCAGCAGTAAACTCTATCGCTATTGCCAATCAACTCTCGAGAGCAGAGAGTTTTTATTATGATGTTTGAGTGAGTCAGTGTTTGTTGCATAAACCTCTATTGGGACTGCAGATGCTTATGTCCTTTACATTTTAAGTGTAAGTTGACACTGACATTATCAATCAAAAGAAGAGTACCATTTTAGATTCAGATTTGTGTTGCCTTTTAATTTAAGGAAGTCTCTAAAGGACACGTGCCCTCATTCTATGATCTGTACCTGACCCCCAATATGTGTTTCAGGACGATCATCTTGCAGTACAACTGGTGAGTTTTGTTTACATTTCATGGGACATTTAACACGATACGAAACAATATTATTATACGAAAGCTTTTGTGCTTGGATTTATAATTTCGGTGATTTCTTTTGTGTGTGTTTCTTCAAATAACGTTCAAGCCTTAAAAGATCTCTCAGACTTCGTTCTAGAGAAAAACTCTCGATTTATCGAACTAACTGACTGACTGACTTACATTCATTCGAGAGCCTGGCAGTGCTATCGTATCATGATTACCCCGTAAAACAATTTGGGCGATTCACAATGCAGTGCGCCACCAAGAGTTTGCCACGCAAAATTCATTTTCCCTAGTGCATTGTGGGATATGGTGGACAAATTCACAGCGCGGGACGTTTAAAAATTGTTCGTTTTTCCGGTCAGTAGGTTCGTAGGCGTATGATTCGAGTATCTGTTTGCCCTTTTCTTGTCTCTTCATCAATGTGGTGATTTGTGAAAGGCGGCAGAATGCTATGCCCTAATATATAACAAATTAGCGCAAGTTGTCTACTGACATCACTGATCACTGATTAGTTAGTATAACAGATACTAACTGATCAGAATAGTAGAGATCAGTGACTGACACTCATTCAAATGGGCCATGTTTTATGAAATGGACTCTCCGTGGCAAACTCGTGGTGGCGCACTGCATTGTGAATCGCCCGAAAAAAAGGCTCTTGGGTCAGCTTGCCTTGTCTCCCCCACGCACCCACCCCCAGGATGACGAACAGCATGGTGTACTACGGTCTAGCGTTCAGCACGCAGGAATTGGGATTCGACACGTACTGGACTTTCTTCCTCTTCGGGGCTGTTGAGATTCCAGCTTTGATTTACGCCACCATCGGCGTTCGTGTCATCGGTCGCAAGATCAACATGATAGGACTTGAGCTGATCGGGGGCGTGGCCTGTCTGGCAACCATCTTCCTAGGTAAGGCGCTTGCGCAGACCGGGCTCTTTTAGTTTGGGGAAATCATGGTGGAGAGCGCCGCCAAGTGATAGTTTTTGCATCACAGAGGCAGCGTTTCAACCAGAGGGCGCTGTTTCTTTGACATCATATTCAGTTCAGATATTCAATTTACTAATTTGGTAGTTGTTTGTAAAACAGAATGGACTTAAAATGAAATTTCCTCAACTGTTTTATGAGTAACGTTGGCTCGTTGACGGTGCTGACATAATATATAGACCAAATTCCGGGCACGTTGTCACTGTGGCCCCCTTCAATGGCGAAAGCATTGTGTTAGCTATTGTTCAGATGATCTGTCATGGGGCAGTTGCTTTGTACAATAGCTAGCGCAATGCTTGCGCCATTAAGGGGGTTTCTATGAGTGTACAGTGACCACGTGACCAATTTGTTTTTAAATGTATTTATTATTATACGGTGATTGGCCGGGCAAGCCCACAAAAGTCTTTCGACTTTTTCTTCCAGTGACGTGGAAGGAAGTTACAGTTTTAGTGGTGGGAGGAAAAAATTCTAGGGAAATCTCACGAAATCGGGTAGGGACTGAAAACCCAATCCGTATATTGGCCCAGGCGGGAATCGAACCCGGGTCACAGCGGTGGAAGGCGACGAAAGCAACGCTATTCCAACCTGATTCGTCTATACCATTTTTATCAACAAACAAGCATAGGCGTGATTATTAAACGACATTAAAACAAAACAAAATAAAAACCTCAAAAATTGGCAACGGCAAAAAAGTAAGGACGACTTATTCGCACGACGTATGGTTTTTTGGGGGGCATTTTTACTATACCTTGTTGGTGAGCTAACTCGGTTGACAAAAACAAAGGCCTAAAGTTTTTAAAAAACTTAATTGGGTGACCAATTTTTTTCAAAACTTTTAGTCGTCTGTAGTGAATTTCAAATGCATGTTTTAGTTTATTGCGGGATAATTCTCATTTACTCGATACGAAAATGTTGAACTTTAATTCAATTTGGCTGATAAAAATTATGAAACTTTGTACTAAGGACCCACTTAAAACGGGCTTAACACCCACAAAAAACCAATGTTCATTGACAAACCCAATCCACCTTAAATATCAGAAATTCGGTTGACTGAACTTGAGACACAAATTAAAGTCCGAGATGTATTTGTGTATGACTTGATTATTGATAAGGAGCATTTAACGTATCTCCCGCCCTGCTATTGTTTGCAATATGACATGTCAAAGGTCACCTTAATAGGAGCAACAATATGTAAATACTGTAGTATACAGGGTGTCTATAAAATAAAGAATCCTCACATCCCCCTCTTTTCACATCTTTTAAACAATATTTATTGCTAATATCGATACCAGCAGCGTATCCAGCTTTTGATGTCAGGGGGCACAACCGCACATCCGCGCCGAAATGTAGACATGTTTTTTTGGTTTTTTTCTCCGGACACTTGGCCTCCGTAAAATCAAAAAGCTGGGGGCGGTACCAATCTTCCAAAGCTGACCATTATTATGCATACTACATAATGGAGTCCACATTTTCTTTGGTGGGATTGATGTCAGAAGAACTCTATAAACATTTATTGAAATTATTGCTGACCCACAAAGTGCCCCCCCCCCCCCCCCCCCCCCCCCCGCTGGATACGCCACTGGTCGATTCCCATGTAGAGATGTAGAGAGTATATTTCATTAGCTTTTCAACTTGCTGTAGGAGGATGGGGAAAACAATTGACAGGTGTATTTGGTCAGGACGTGTGTTTTGTTTCTCTCATGACAACAGAAGACCCAATCGCCCGAACTGTGGTAGCTATGATCGGCAAGTTCTGCATCACGGCCTCGTTCAACATCATCTACCTGTGGACCAGCGAAATGTACCCGACGCCGGTCCGGTAAGCCAGGCTTGTGCACACGGCCCACATCTCGACGATTTGTTGGTGTCATATGAAAATCTGACTCTTTTTCCCTTTTATTGGTTAAACCCTCTCACGTGACCGGTCCCTCTCCTAATTATCTATGCATGAGCATGCGCAATACCAGCAATGAGTCCGTATTTCATAAAACCTAAATGCATGCTACGCCTGTCATGTTTCTACGTGGCTTGAGGATTACTTGAACCCTAACCAGGTCAAGTGTCGTGTTTTTTTTTTACTTACCAGCTCATAGACCTAATTATCGGTAAATTGAAGAGATTTTTGGGGTTGCCTAAACAGGGTTCCCCCCCCCCCCCCGGCCCAAGGAACGGCATACTTCCACTGTCTTGAGAATCAAACCACCCGTACCAATGGATGGAGAATCTTTCTAGAATAAATATGATACCAAGATCTCCCGATTCGGTCCAGTATAGATTTTGCTGCAGAGCCTTTAGCATGCAACTGATCATGCGGGTACTATATAACAACTAATACCTCTACCAAATGATTTAGTTATTCATCGGGACAAAATGACTTCTGACTTTGTTTCACAAAATAGGCTCTAGAATAAAAACTACTGGACCGAATCGGGAAATCTTGGTAACATTTTTCTTCTAACAGAATTCCCAATGCATTTGGTATATGTTGTTTTGAGTCTCAGTGGTAATTTGGGTAAATTAAATTTAATCAGCGTTGGGTAAAATGACAAATTTTAACCAACTGTTGTTTAGCAAATGAACAGCCCAACTGTTCGTTCAAAAAAATACCCAACGTTGGGCAAAATGTGCCAAACGTTGGGCTAAACGTCGGGAAGAATTGGAAGATTTTACACAATGTTGGTTAAAATTTTAACCACCTTTTTTTAACCAACCAAATTTTAACCAGCGTGTTGAAAAGAAGAGAAGAAAAAATATGGACGAGGCGATGGCTAATTTACATGAGCCAATCGGAATGTTTGAATAATATGAAACAATGGCGGTAATTGCTCCGTCTGTTCACCGTTTTTTAAAAGGTCCGCTACGGTTGGTCTGTGCTCCGTGACTGCGCGTGTGGGCAGCATCGTGGCCCCGTTCATTTTTAACCTGGCCAAGCTGGACAACGTCACCAACGACTTGCATCTGATTGTCTTCGGCGCGGCTGCGGTGGTAGCCGGCGTGCTTCTCATCCCACTACCAGAAACCAAAGGCAGGGATCTGCCGGATACCATGCGAGAAGGGGAGGAGTTTGGCAAGTAAGTGACGTCACCACCATCTGATTGGCTTATTCCTAGATGTCAGTCAATATCCTATATCGTTTAATTAGCCACATGAAGGAAGTATGGAGTATACCATGTACGTGACTAATGCAGGCCTAGTTTGTTTTAATCGTGAATTATCTGCTGATTATATTCTGACGATTAATGTTTGGGTGTTATTTCAGATTGAACTTCATGAAGAGATGGCGTTGGGGCCGCGATCGTTACGAAGACACCGAAGCCTTAAACGTAGATTTAAATATGGATGTGTACGGACGCGAAGTGCTCAACCCAGCCTACGTGCCGGATAAGGATGACTACGCGTACACCGCCAGGTCACCGCCGCCTTACGAGGCCGTGAACGAGAAGGGTAGCCAGTTTCCGGAGAAACCCAGACAGAAGCGAGAGAAGAAGGATCAGGTCGTGGGGGAGAACGGTCCCCAGCCCGGGGTGGAGGTGCTGGTTGGCACCGCTGCCGTTCAAGGGTCGTTACCGGAAAAATTGGGGGAAAGTGAGAGCTTTCCACAGGTGGAGGAAAAAGGGATCGCAGATGGGGTGGTGCCCGGGAGTGAGGCCTCGCAGGGTGGGGGTGACACACCCAGTGGGGAAGGGGGTGAAACGGGGGACGGGAATGATCGTAGTGGTCTGTTGGCCGGTGGGAGTGGCGATAGAGCGAGTGCAAGTAGTGATGATGATGATGGTGATAAGGCTAGTGATGGTGGTGAGAAAGCAAGTGATCACGGTGGTAGTGATACTAAGGGTGGTGAAAGTGGTGAAAGTAATGAGATTGGTGATGATGTTGAAAGAGGAGATGGTGATAGTAGTACTGGTAGTAATAAGGTAACTGATGGTGGTGATAAGGCTGTTGATAGTGATGAAAAGGGGGGTGATAGTGATGTTGGCGCTTCCGGTGGTGATGGTGATAAGGCTAGCGATGGTGGTGATAAAACTAGTGATGGTGGTGATAAAACTAGTGTCGGTGATGATAAACATGTTGACGGTGGTGATAGGGCTGATTCCAGTGATTATGATGGTGATAAATCTAGTGGTGGTGATAAAGCAAGAGTTGAAGCGTCTGGTATTGATAATGGTGATAAAAGTGGTGAGAGTGATGATAAGGGCGAATCAAGTGGTGAGAGAGATACCAGTGATCACAATGCTGATGATGCTGATGGAGATAATAGTGATGGGCGCTCCGACAGTGATGACAAAGACGACGAAGGTGGTGATAAAGCTAGTAGCCACAGTGGTGAAGGGGGTCATGATGGTGATGGCGACAGGGCTAGTGGCTCTGGTGCGGAAAGTCACTCTGGAAGCGACACTAGTACAAGTGTGCGGGAGTACGATATGGCGGATATTGATATTGATAATGATGATATGTAAACTCACGGTTTTTTGCATTTCAATTTATACAAGCACAATTTTACCCCACTTTAGAACTAAGACACAAATCTTACATAACTTTTAAGTTTCGAATATTTAAGGAAAAAGGAAGAATCTGTTGCTGTTTCATAAATATTTAAATGATAGCATTATTGGCATGTATTATGCAGTATTATTTCTTGAAAACAGTTGCTTGAAACTTTTGTCGCTTTCGGCCACTTGGTTTAATATTTTGGTAACTAGAGTTTGTGATATTAAAATCGTTTGTTGAAGTTTTGAGTGCGCCGTGAAAAGTGGTATAGGCCTGGTGATGTTGAGGGGGTGATTTCGGAAAGTGGTATGGGCGTCGCCAGGATTTTGTTCTAAAGGAGGGGGGAGGGGCACAGCGCGCATCAGAAGTGTAGGGAGAAATCACCGGCCGTGGAAAAATCGAAAGGGGATGCTAAAAAAAGTCCATGTTGTTAAAATTACAATAATGGTCACGTGATTCGTCCCTCATCTTCTATTTTCATTTTCTGTTTCTCTTTTTTTTCCTCTTCTTAAAATAAAATAGCCAGCGGAATGTATTTTTAATTGACTTTGTATAAGATTGTAGATAATAATCAAAGAAGCAGTTTCATTGTTAAAAGCGACCGTCCTATATTGTATGTAGAACTTTTATGAGATAGTTACTATTAAACTCTGTTTTAGAAAGACATTCAAGAAATATCTGAACAGTGCTCTCTAAATGTAAAAAAACAACCACTCGAAGTTGTCCGCCATGTTGAAATGGCTCTTGAATGGAAGTAAATGAGTAAATTATTTGAATTTAATTTACTGTTTTAGAGTGGTTTTTTTTTTTACTATATGAGCCATCTAGAGAAAAACACTCAAAAAGATGCATCTCATTGGAATTTAATTTACTGTTTTAGAGTGTGTGTTTTTTACTATATGAGCCATCGAATGAAAAACACTCAAAAAGATTCATATCATTCACACTAAGAGAATTTAAAAAAAAAACACACACACACACACACTCGAAAAGAGTTGTCCAAATATAATAGTATTTTTTTTCTTCACTCTCTTACACTTATAGAGTACTTACTGCCGGAAGAGGCTTATTATTGTGTTCAGGTGTGTTCATCATTTCGTAATGAAAGTTGCATAAGTCTAGGTTGGGTAATGAGACATTTATTTCGTCATACGTTATACCTTTGGTAGACACCTAACATTTGTAGATATTTCCATATTTCTCTAATGTCACAACTCGTATTCAGTATTCAGAGGCAAAATGCTATCGTAGCAAATAGGCTACATCGATTGATCGTGGTCCAAAATATGAATAAATCAAAATGCGTGGGAAAGGATAAGAAACTGTGTGCGCAACCATATGGGAATGTCTCCCGAAAGTAAATCCTGAATATGTCAATCATGACCTTTCCGATTAATAAAATGTACTGGTGAGATTCACCTCGACTTCGTCTTGTTCTTGGTTTCTAAATGATTTTGGGAGGCACAAGCCGATACTGGAGACGAATCCGAGGCTTGGGAAATGGCCTAGTCCCTCGTGCATGCGACGAGTACCGAAGTGAACCAGAATACGCGGCCTCACTTCGATACTTAATTCACTCAACGCGAACGCGCTGGAAGCACGACCTTCGATTGGATGAATTTGGCTACGTGATTGCAAGCGCGTGACGCCCTACTGTGTGCGACTCTCGGCGGATTTTGTCCATTTTAGTTTGCCTGTTGGGTGCAGGTGCCGCATTGCATCGCTGTCCAGCCGTACAGCAACATGGACAGAAATCGTGCCTTCGCGCTGGTTGTCTTCTGTTCGACTCTGCCTGTCTTTGCTCTGGCCGACCAATCCAGTAAGTTCTCTTTTGCCATTTTGTTGCCGTAGCTAATGTGAACTCATTTCTGGCCTGTTTCCTTAAAAGCTTCTTGACATAAAGCTTGAAAAAGAATCGCCATATTTCAACACAACGCTGAGCAATGTTAAAATGTTTCTATAAATTGCAATATTTTTGCCATTAATTTCTGTGAAAATGACCCTTTATGGTAGGTATTAAAATCTTCCCGTACCAAACATGGTATGAAATAGTTCTCCAACATAATATTGATCACATACTCTTGAATTAGATGTAAGTCCACGTAGGTGGACGATTAAACTCGGTAGAATTTTGGACTAAAGTTGAAATTGAGTTACATGAATCACAAATCTCATGCCGTATTTGCTGCGATTTTAAGCAAAACGCATTTTACCATTTTATCTTTTGGAAGACCAAGAATAATTTTAGTCAAGTTTGCTTACCAATTTCGGGGCATATCTGCAACTAAGCAGTTTTGTAACGGTTCTTGGAACAATTCTTTTACCCTTCGACAATTCAGTTGTTCTCCAAAATGTAAAAAAAATGCGCATGTTGACACCATTGCTGTTTTTATTACTCAGTTTGTAATGAGCAGCGGTGCATTTTCATACATTTAATAAACCTTCATTTTTCCGTACCACGAGATTACCGTCCCTATAATGTTCTATCATGGCCATTAGGCCTATGCGGCCAATTAGGCTGTGTCGTTTGCCTGACAGTAATGGCAGGCACTGTCTGACACCACATTGATTGATTGTGCCGCAGTCTACAGCTTGTGTTTTCCGTCTGTGATATTATTTTATCTGTCCATTTTTTCACCCTCCAATACATCAGAAATAAAAAAATTAAACAATGTTCCCCAAAATTTTGGGCCGCAGAAGAAAAAGCTTTTTTTGGGGGGGGGGGGGGGCGGGGGGACTATTTTTACGTTGGTGGCGCCACCTACACCCCTATTATGCTACTCGAAAATAGGCCACAAACATATCACCAAGGTCAATTCGTAGGACCAAAAAAATGACAACCTCTTGGTGGGGGGGGGGGGGGGGGGGCTCAACCCCCGAGGGCCCCCCACCCTTGGGTGAGCAACTGATTTTCGGGTAATCTTTTTCCTAAACGGCAACAGTTTTGCGTAACTCCCGCTTAGTTCAAACCTCGATCCGTCACTAGCGCTGCGTTGGAAATTGAGATTGACACGCACAAAATGAACCGTGTGGCCATCCAATTGGCCTGATATAAACAGCAAACCTCCAGACCAGCGCCGTGTTTTCTCTAGCCCCCCCCCCCCCCCCCCCCCCCCCCCCCCCCCCCCCGTTGGATCAGCAGCTGATTTGGGGGTGATCTTTTTTCCTAAACGGCAACAATTTTGCGTAACTCCCGCTTAGTTCAAACCTCGATCCGTCATTAGCGCTGCGTTGGAAATTGAGATTGACACGCACAAAATGAACCGTGTGGCCATCCAATTGGCCTGATATAAACAGCAAACCTCCAGACCAGCGCCGTGTTTCCCCCCCCCCCCCCCCCCCCCCCCCCCCCGTTGGGTCAGCAGCTGATTTGGGGGTGATCTTTTTTCCTAAACGGCAACAATTTTGCGTAACTCCCACTTAGTTCAAACCTCGATCTGTCACTAGCGCTGCGTTTGAAAAGAAGATTGACACGCACAAAATGAACCGTGTGTCCATCCAATTGGCCTGATGTAAACAGCAAACCTCCGGACCAGCGCCGTGTTTTCTCTGGGCTGTTTGCACGTCATCAGGCATCAATTTCAATGCAAAAAGCTCGTATGAAACTAATTAGCTTTCAGCAAGCCTTTACCATTAGGCCTGATTTATTAAAGGCAAAGTCGTCAGCTTGCCAATTTGATGCCGACATTGTCCTCATATTCTCTTAATTTAAAGGCCTCTAAAAATGGTTTTAATATCATGGTGGTGGCACATCATGTTGTCTAAAAAAAATGCTTTTACTTAGCTTACTTATGAAAATGAAATAAATGCTCTGTTCCTAAGTATCGCTATTAGTGTCTTTAAAACATAATAGCTAAAAATGTTTTCATTAATAAAGGCATAAGCATTTGCATTTTATCCCAAGAGCATTACACCTACCGACTTAAAATTCAAAAGCTTTCTTGGATTAATGATTGTACTGGCACTAAGCACCCCGTGAAATGATTTAGTCTGGCTTGCTGTCAGTTAGAAGACACAAAATGTAGGTGATTTCCATCGATCAGTTAGTTGACTGATCAATGGAAACAACAAGTGCCATAGAGTAGACGAAATCGTGTTTTGTGATCAAACGGCTGTGCATGGTCTTTCACTGTTTTCTCGAAAAGTGTCATGTCCATTGAGCTGAAACTTTATGTTAGGTTTTGAAGATTCTTCTTTGGATCTTGAGGGGTGCATACCTATGTTCCCCAATACCTATGTTCTCCCAGATGACTTCCCCTACCCTAACCCTAACCCTAAGGATTTTGGGGAGCATAGGTATCGGGTAGAACCCGATTTTGAGTTGTGCTATGTATTATTAGAAACGAACAAAAGCACGAAGAACATGTTTTTAAAAGAAGCTATAAAACGGCCCTCATAGAAGTGGGGATTACAGTTTATTTCTTATCCTTTACAAAAAGCTGACACCTTTTCCAAACTTGCATAAGCAAAAAGAGGCAAGGCCAATGCGGAGTTTGAAAGATAAATTGGTTCCGATTGAAGCATCAAGTCAGGCACACTTTGGGACAGCGTAGATCTATCTGTCTCATTTATATTATCAATATAGTGCTTGTATCCTTTTAATTGACCGCTTTCACCGACCATCGTTTTGTTTATTCAAGTCATGCCAGGTCAACTTTGATTAGTGTCCGGTTAATTAAAGCAGGACTTTCCCTCTCGAGAGAGGAGGTCCTTTCCAAGCCACTTGCAATCAGATCTGGATGGGAATAAAGATTGACTAAAAGGCGTTTGTGTTTTTCATTAAAATCGCGAGTGCCTTGTCCGTTTCAACTGAACCGAGTTGAAGCATTGCGCATGACGTCACGTGTTAAGTGGTTCCCGACCCATACCTCGGAACGGTGGTTGAGGGACCGTGAACCAGTTGGGAATTGAGTGGTTGATGTTTGGACGGCCTAACTCGTACTCCAGAGTGTACGTGTTGCGCATAGTGAATATGGATTAATGTCTAAATGCCGCCCCAACCATTGGCGCCATAAACATTTTCCCTTTTTTTATTAGCTTGATGTTTAGAGGCACCTTTGCGCTTATTTGCGGTATTTTTTATTACATTTTGTTATTCAAACGAATTTTTAGCTTGTATACTATATTTTATATATATATATATATATATATATATATATATATATATATATATATACATGTATATATTTATGTATGTTTGGGCGTCTACACCTTTAAAAAAATGAAATTTCATTTTTGATGCATTTGCGCGCGGAAAAGGACCCACCCTGCCATCCAAACTGGTTCGCAATACCTATGTTATCGATTTTAATATAGCGAACCAGTCTAGCCTGCGAGAACTTAATTAATGTCGAAATTCCTAATACAATTTAATTACATTGAAAATGTGTGCGATGGCCGTTTTGTGCGACTGTTGCGAATGTCGTTCTATTTGCTTTTTAATTCAAATACATTTTTTTGGTATATTTTGCAGCGACGATGATCCGACCGTCCCCAAGAGTAGACGCGGTTCCAGTCTGCACCCTCGGCCACCTGTGTCAGGTCAAAGGCAACTCCAACACTGATCAAGGTGGCAGCGATTGCGTCCGCTGGTGTTACTGCGATGACGCCTGCGGCTTCTTCGGCGACTGTTGTTACGACTACGAAGATGGTTCGTCACAGCTCCCGGGCCCGCGCAGGCGCAGTGCGTCCAAAATGGCGAAGTTAACGCCTGATCCTGGTGACTGCATGAGCAGTTCTGATGGTGGTAGTCTTGACGGTGGTGATGGCCAACTAAGGCGGGATTGTAATGTGAGTGATGATGGTTATGATGGTGAAAGTGGTGTTGATAGTGAGTTTGACGGCCTGGCCGAATACTTGACGACCACGGGCACTCCTAGAAGCCACTTTCCATGCACCTATGTGGGTCAGCCCGTCTCAGAACCACCATATCGGTACGGATTTTGGTTGAACAGTTTCTGTCCTGCAAATGCTTCTGTGAACAGCCGTCGACTCTGTGAGGATCCACCAGGTGATGACGTCATTCTGAAGACCCCCGTCAGCGGAGCTCGAGGAGTGGCTTACAAAAACGTGTATTGTGCTATTTGCAACGGTGAAGACCTTAGTAGGCTGGATGCATGGGCTGTGGATGTGTACTGCAACTCGCTAAACCAGTCAGCCGCCATTTTGGACGCACCGCGTCAGCGCGGAGCCAACTACACGTTTGACTTTCAGGACCTGGATGCGGCTTGCCGGTTAGTCTTTTCCTCTCGCAAGGGTGTCGGAGTGAGGTACTGCTTCCCGGATGTCGTGGCAGACTGCGGCTCACACGACGGGAGTACGGGTCTCTGCGAAGCGTGCGACTCGTACGCGGCCGTCGCAATCGAGCCGGAGAGGTTCCCACCCGGACCGCGTCGCGTGTTCAGGAATCCGCACTGCGCATTGAGCCACGGAGTCCGCATTACGTCAGGCGCGATTACCAACTCATGTGCATTAGTGTGCGGCTCTGGCTCATTCGTCACCCCAATGATTCCATCTTTATCGATTCTCATCAATTTCGGAACCGGTACGGCCCAAGTAGACGATCTGGTCCTTCCCTCTCGCTGTCCAGCCGATTTCGTCTTCGATCCGTTTACGGATCGCTGCCGAATTCTGTCATGTGCTGACGGGTACCGACTTGAGGGCGGACAGTGCATCGCACAGGAACCTCCCGACACCGAAGAGGAATCAAATGTTACTGCAACTGTGGAATTCCTGGTAGAAGTGAACATCGACGGCACAGTTAACTGCAGCAGTGCTGGCGAGGTTGGCTTATGTATGGCCAAGCCACTTCTTCAAATTCTCGATGGACTCTCGGTACAACGTTTCACTTTAGGAGGAATAGTGCCGAAATGCCGGCTTAGTGACTCCAACACCACCTCTTTCGAAATGACAATGACCAGAGAAAATGCTCAACTGGACATAAACATCCTCGAAAAGGAACTTGATATTGTTCTTCTGAACGGTTCCCGAGGTGGCTTTGGAGAGTGTCTTTCGTTCAACAACGACACCAATTTGAGATCGATCGTATTCGTCAGATGTCACTCGGCCACATGTGGTATCAGAGAAACTGCAAAATGTGGGAATGTCGTAGGAAATATTACTGAAATTTTTCCGCTACAGTCAAATGTTTCGGATGGGTTTGTACGGGTTGATAACACTTGGTACTCAGCGGAACAGACTGTGTATAGTGTGATCTACGGCTGGCAACCAGGCAATGAAAGCTTCGACAAACTGGGCATGCGCGTAAGAGTTTGCGACGGTGAGGAGCTCTCGTGTGCGCATGTCGCTTTGAACGCGTCGCTCTTTCGTCCAATCGGTGGACCGGAGGGCAGCTCATTGGAATATCTCCCGACAGGATACATTCTCGCACCAGGGAACTTTTCCATTCTCCGGAACGGCAGCGTTATGGTTTGTTCTTTCTTTGACAATGGTACTGTACAAGGAACCAGAGATGACCTTGCCAAATTGCTCATAAGTCTGATCGGTTTGACCTTGTCAATGATTGCGACCGCGGTCATCTTCGTGACGTACTTGGCTTTTCGAAGCCTCCGTAACCACATGCGCTGCCCAATGCTGAACCTCACCGCTTCGTTAATACTGGCGAATCTCATGTTTTTGCTGAGTAAAATATCAACAGCGAACGACGTAGCCTGCACCGCAGTCGCATTTCTGGGACACGTGTTTTGGCTCTCGGTATCCACTTGGTCCAATATCATCGCAGTTGGGATGTACGGAGCATTTTCAGTCTCTGCAATGTCACTTCGAGACCAACGCGTCACCCGAAGAAAACTTGTGTACTTTTACCTGTACGCCTACGGTGCGCCGTGCTGCATCAGCATTCCTTGCCTCGTTCTGGAGTTGACCTACAAATCACGTGACGTCCCGCTCTTCCGTTACCGGAGTGGGGACGTGTGCTTTATCAACAGCTCTGACCAAATGCTCTATGCCTTCGTAGTGCCGTTGTTGGCATGTGTTCTGGTCAATCTGGTTCTGTTTTCTCTCACCGTTCGTGGAATTAGAATCACCAAGATGAAAGCGCAGATGGTGAAGGGTAACACGCCAGTCATGCGACAAGCAATGGAGGAACTACCGATCTATCTCAAGGTGAGCCGCTTAAAGTAAGAGTTGTAGCCTAGTCCATTCTATCACAAGTTTGGGAGTCAGGTTGGCGTCGTGGTTATACTTTCCTCGCCTGCCACCGCTATGGCCCGGGTTCAATTCCTGCCCGGACCACATGTGGATTGGGTGTTCAGTACCTGCCTGATTCCGTGGGTTTTAACCAGAATATTCTTCTGCAGGTTTTCCTCCCACCTCTAAAACTGTCATTTCTTCTCATTGTCTCCTATCTACAGGTTTCTTCAGGCTTTCGAGCTACAGTGCAATTTTTGAATATCTTGTGACTTGACTCGCGATTGAAGATCTGGTGAAGACTTAAATACAACTTTGGTGAATTCACCAAAAAAGTTTATCTACGGAATCTGAATAGATTTGAGTCACCGAACAGTCGTTGATCTTCAATCTCAAATCCAAACACGTCTCGTTTATTTCACCCTAGATTTCCAGCCTGATGGGTTTCTGTTGGCTCGTCGGTTTCCTAGCAACCGTTACCAAGTCAACGGTTCTGGAGTACATCTACCTTGTCTCAAACTCCTGCCAGGGGCTCCTCATCTTTCTCTGCTTCGCCAATGGCCGCGTGAGGGCGCTGTGGAGGGCCAAGTTGAGGGCGCTGTTCCGTGCTTGCTGCTCTGGTGGTGTTGCAGAACCCAAGCGAGAAGCTCCAGTCGTGGCTACCGTGAGCGAGCGGTGTGGCACGGGGGCTAGCGGGGACAATCACGCTGGAGATGGGTCGGCTTCCGTACGAACCGAAGAAACGGCTCTGTGATCTTCAGGGGAAATAGAAAACTAACTCAAACAACACTTTTAAGATATAAATTTACGCATTCGCTAACGTAATGGTGTCTCGAAATGCCATGTACATTGACTGTACAGTGTGTAGTAATTTGATCAAAGTTAAACCAAAATTTTTTTTAAAAAAATTCAATATAATAAAGTTAGACTCTAGTAGTGAATTACCTATGCTAATTTAGTTTCTTGCTCCATCGAGAAAAAAATATATAACTTTAAGTGGTGGAGATAAACAAAAAATAACATAAACGTGCGTTTCAAGAAGAAGGCACTTTGTCACACGCGCATGCGTTCTGCATCGCCAGCTCTCTAGCTAGCAACTCGACGATTTTCCCCCCACCAGCTTTTCACTATTATTTTTCCAAGAAAAGTGACTGGTAATAAAACGGTGGAGCCATATTACCGATTCATCCAGCTTTAATTGGCAGCATCTAGTACGTGGATTGCGTTTGCCCGTATCACTTTTTTTCTATAACATTCTTGTAAATTTGACCAGAAAAGTAAGTTTGACAAGAAAACAGTCAAACATACCACCACCGACCTTATACCTGTAATCTGCTGGGTGTAAGTCTGACTGTTTTTCTCTTCAATCCAATTTTTAGAATGTACGGGTCACTTTATTTAACAATGCTCATAAACTAGTTACAATTTGTCGTGTAAATCCGGTTAACTGTATCCTAATTAGACTTTTTCATTAATTAATGTATTTCGATGATCACTGGCGCGGCGGATTGGGGAAAGGGGCACGGGGCCATTCCCCGTCTCGAAAAAATGTAATGTTTAATAACAAACCAAAAGAGGAGGGAAGACAACTGAATCGATTACTAGGACGGCCTCGATGCTTTTAGTCATTTAGAGTTTACGCACAAAACCCTGGGCTGCCAGGGTTTTCAGTGTAAAACCACAGTGCCCAATGAGAGACGAGAGGCAAGATCATTTGCATACATGGGTCAGTCCTACAGAACGGGGAGGTGAGAATAAGTGGATTCCTTGATGGTTCTTAGAAATCCTATGTTCACTGTTGTTGTATTCACCATATCAAGCTTTTAGACAAATCATCCTTTTCAAGACTTTCCCTATATTCCTTGTTTATTATTCTCCACTTTTGATTCATAGTGTATAAATTCATAGCTCCTTAATTTGTCTTGTACAGATATACATGCATCATGTCCAATATTTGTGCAGTGTAGTATTATCCTCAATGTATCGTTCAAGCAATGTGTTGGTTGTTTCTGCTTGTTCAATAGTCAGGAGTATTTTCTGTACACTGGGACGTCTTTATGCATGGCAGGTTTTCTCCGTGATGACAAGAAACGTTTTTGGGAGTGACTGCAACATTTGTTTGTCTTAATACTTTATAGGCTTTGTTAACCTGTACTCAACAATAATTGAGAAAACTTTCATACCATTACGACAAGTGTTTAATGAGTTATTGTTCAAGCAATGCGTGGGCTGTTTCAGCGCGTTCAATAGTCGGGAGTATTTTCTGTACACTGGGATGTCTTTATGGCAGGTTTTCTCCGTGATCACAAAACAAAACAAGATTTTTGGATGACTACATTATTGGTTTGTCATAATACTTTATAGACTTAATGTACCTGTGCTCAACAATAATTGTTGCAGATTTCAAATCTGTATGACGGGTATTTCATGAGTTATTGTTCAAGCAATGCGTGGGCTGTTTGTGCGTGTTCAATGGAAAGGAGTATTTTCTGTACACTGGGACGTCTTTATGGCAGGTTTTCTCCGTGATGACAAAATAAGTTTTTGGGGTGACTGCAGCATTGGTTTGTCTTAATACTTTATAGACTTAATGTACCTGTGCTCAACAATAATTGTTGCAAATTTCAAATCTGTTCGACAGGTGTTTAATGAGTTATTATTCAAGCAACTGTGCGTCGGCTGTTTGTGCGTGTTCAATAGTCAGGAGTATTTTCTGTACACTGGGACGTACGTCTTTATGGCATGTTTTCTCCGCAGTGATGACAAAACATGTTTTTTTCGGATGACTTCAACATTGGTTTGTCTTAATACTTTATAGGCTTTATTTACTTGTGCTCAACAATAATTAAGCACAATTTCAAACCATTACGACAGGTGTTTTATGAGTTATTGTTCAAGCAATGCGTGGGCTGTTTGTGCGTGTTCAATGGAAAGGAGCATTTTCTGTACACTGGGACGTCTTTATGGCAGGTTTTCTCCGTGATGACAAAAACAGTTTTTTGGGTGACTACAACATTGGTTCGTCTGAATGCTTTATATGTATGATGTACCCGTGTTTGACATTAATTAAGGGAAATTTCAAATCATTACAAAATTTATTTAATGAGTTATTGTTCAAGCAATTCGTGGGCTGTTTCTGCGTGTTCAACAGTCAGAAGTATTTTCTGTACACTGGGACGTCTTTAAGGAGGTTTTCTCCGTGATGACAAGAACAGTTTTTTTGGGTGATTGCAACTTTGGTTTATCGTAATACTTTATAGACTTAATGTACCTTTGCTCAATAATGATTGTTGAAAATTTCAAACCATTATGACAGGTATTGTGTGAGTTATTGTTCAAGCAATGCGTGGGCTGTTTGTGTGTGTTCAATAGAGAGGAGTATTTTCTGTACCCTGGGACGTCTTTATGGCAGGTTTTCTCCATGGTGACAAAACAAGTTTTGGGGTGACTACAATATTGGTTTGTCTTAACGCTTTATATGTGTTATGTTCTTACGCTTGATACTAAGTAAGAGAAATTTCAAACCAGTACAACAAGTATTTCATGAGTTATCGTTCAAGCAACGTGTTGGTTGTTTCCGCTTTTTCAATAGTCAGGAATATATTTTTTACATACACTGGGACGACTTTGTGGCAGGTTTTCTCCGTTATGACAAAACATGTTGTTTTTTTCGGATGACTACAACATTGGCTTTTCTTAATACTTTATAGGTGTTGTGTTCTTACGCTTGATACTAAGGAAGAAATATTTTAAACCAGTACAACAAGTATTTCATGAGTGATTGTTCAAGCAACGTGTTGGTTGTTTCTGCTTGTTCAATAGTCGGGAGTATTTTCTGTACACTGGGACGTCTTATGGCAGGTTTTCTCCATGATGACAAGAATATATTTTGGGTGACTACAACATTGGTTTTTCATAATACTTCAAAGGGTTCATGTACCTGTGTTCAACAATAATTAAGAAAAATGTCAAACCATTACGGCAGGTATTTAATGAGTTATTGTTGAGGAACGCGTGGGCTGTTTCTGCATGTTCAATAGTCAAAGAGTATTTTCCGTACACTGTGACGTCTTTTTGGCAGGTTTTCTCCGTGATGACAAGAACAATTTTTTGGGTGACTACAACATTGGTTTTTCTTAATACTTGATAGGCTTTATGTCCCTGTGCTAGACAATGATTAAAGGAAATGTCAAACCAGTACAACAAGTATTTCATGAGTTATTGTTCAAGCAACGCGTGGGATGTTTCCGCTTGTTCAATAGTCGGGAGTATTTTCTACACACTTGGACGTCTTTATGCCAGGTTTTCTCCGTGATGACAAAACAAGTTTTTTGGGTGGCTGCAACCAAACCACAGCAAGACGATTAAAAGAAACTGCAATTCTTTTTTTTGGGGGGGGGGGAGTAAAGGATTGTGTCAATTAGTAATCTGGCGAGAAAGTAAACGTACAATGTGTTAAGTTTTAAAAATGTCGATTATGTGCTTTCCGACTCGGTCTTAGTCTTTTGAAACAAAGAATCCCACTCAAGGCGCGGTCACTTCGACTCCGTCATGACCTTGCCAGTCATTATACTTGCTCGACTGCCACAAAACGCACACGTACGTACCGGTGTGACAGGTAATTCTGTCCCCCTGGAAAATGTGTCCCCCCGGACACATTTACCGGCTCGTGACCCGGTAAATGTGTCCGGGGGGACACTTTTAGCTAAGTAGATTTGTCGCCCTCCAGGTAAAATTGTCCCCCTGCCCAGCGGTGAAAGTGTCCCCCTGGTAAATGTGTCCCCATGCAGTATATACTGAGAGCAGCAGCGTGTCGCGCGCGCCAGTAAATGCTGCAAGATATGTGGCAGTGATTATCACATGTGTACATATGCCCCCCCCCCCCCCCCAATAAAAAATTCCTGGCTATGCCACTGAATACACGTTATATTAAAATGAATTTTCGTACACTCATTTGTCACGATGTTTGACATCAAAAGATTTCATTTCATAATAAAAACGTCAAATTATCAAGCTATTATGACCGTAACAATACAGGATTTTAATTGCAACAAATACAATCCTAATGTAAGTCAACATGGGTTTTTAACGTTTAAAACACTAGATTCTTACGATCATATTGTATTTATAGCTCCACGGTTTCTCACGCCATTCAAACTACTTATGCTACACATCGTGAAAACTAATTGCACGAAATTTCAATTTAATCCATTTTGTATTTCTTGAGTAGTTCATCGGAAACGAGGTTGTTCTTTTTCTTCAATTGTGCAGCATCCGTGTTGATGCGTTGCCGAGACCACTATTTATGTGACGCGCCCTCTATTAAAGTGGTCTCGATCTCCACCACCAAACCCGATTTCGGGCCAACAACTCAAGAAATACACGTTACATTAAAATGAATTTTCGTACACTCATTTGTCATGATGTTTGGCATCATAAGATTTCATTTCATAATAAAAACGTCAAATTATCAAGCTATTATGACCGTAACAATACAGGATTTTAATTGCAACAAATACAATCCTAATGTAAGTCAACATGGATTTTTAACGTTTAAAACACTAGATTGTTACGATCATATTGTATTTATAGCTCCACGGTTTCTCACGCCATTCAAACTACTTATGCTACACATCGTGAAAACTAATTGCACGAAATTTCAATTTAATCCATTTTGTATTTCTTGAGTAGTTCATCGGAAACGAGGATGTTCTTTTTCTTCACTTGTGCAGCATCCGTGTTGATGCGTTGTTGAGACCACTATTTATGTGGCGCGCCCTCTATTGAACAAAACTTAAAATATTCTACGGCGTGCGGATGTATGTCTTTGCGGTGTGGCAGGTAATTCTGTCCCCCCCCCCCCCCCCGGTAAATGTGGTCCCCCCCCCCCCCCCGGACAAATTACCGGTTTGTGACCCGGTAAATCTGTCCGGGGGACACATTTACCTAGGTAGATCTGTCCCCCTCCCTGGTAAATATGTCCCCCTGCCCAACGTTGAAAGTGTCCCCCTGTAAAATGTGTCCCCATGCAAGTATCACCCACGCGATGATACTAGTCGTGTTCGTGAGCGCGCATCGCCGCAAGTACATGCTGCAAGATGTGTGGCAGCGTTTATCGCGTATGTGTACATAATGTGTATCCCGCTACACAAAGGAAATTCATCCAATAGGAAATTTTGTTACGCGCTACGATGGGAACGCAGACTAATCCAAGTAGGCGTTATATCAATGAGGCGTCCACCGTACCCCGATTCGATCAAAACATTATGTTCACATTTCACATCTAAGAAAGAGACCAAAAAGTTAATTTTTTTCATCTTCATGAAGGGCAGACTAAAGAGTAAAAAATGTATACCTTGAAGAGTGAATTCATGAAAACAATATAGAGAACTGGCCTTCTGCGTTGCAAAACTAGGGGGACAAAAAAACCTGGAGGGGACAGAATTACCTGAAGGGGGACAGAATTAACGGGCCGGCGAGGACACTTTTACCTAGGTAATTCTGTCCCCCCGGACACTTTTAACGGGGGACAGAATTACCGTCCACACCGGCGAGGTGTGGCCATGGAAGGCCATCACGTAGCTGCATCACGTAGCTGGTCATGGTCAGTGGTCACAGCCGCTGTTTGTGCACAAACCAATGGCCTCATAGAAATGAATACAAACTTAAAATGACCGAAATTATCGAGGCCGCCCGTTATGTCAAGTCATCCCCAAAACGGGAGAAAGTGCCCCGCCCTTTTTCCAACCCCCCCCCCCCCCCCCCCCCCCCCCTCTCCGTCCCGTCCGCTCCGGGTACGGTGGCGATGATGATCGCATGGCGACCGGTTCTTTAAACCGATTCTTTCATTATAAGAAAATCCACTTCAAGAAAATAAAATTATGTTTGAAAGTGATTAATACATGTACGTATCAGGAGGAGATCATTTCATTAAAATTATTATCCAAGTTAATTGGCTGTTCAGTTGAACTGGCGAATTATTTTAATCACCCGACTATCACAACGTCAAGAGAGGGCGCTATAGCAATCTATTGGTCTCGTTTCTGAGAGCTGACAAGTACCCAGACTCAAGTAGGTACCTTCCACGCGCGCTTGGTCACCGGGAGCCCGACGCAATCCACTCAATTACGTCTTTGCGTTGCCAATGGTGCTTGGCCAAAACACACGTACGATATGCAATGCGTACAATGCAACGTTTATTTGCACAACGAGAAATGTATTGATTTGTTGTGTGGAAGCGGATCCTCTTTTCTTTTCAGGACTGAAAGTCATTGTGAAGCTATTAATACGCGGTCAGACGATTGGCATGTCTCTAGACTGAACAACTGTGCATTTCAGGATGTAGTGAAACAATCTTCAGTTGCCTTTTTCGGAATGATGTTCGTGGAGAAGTCTGACATGTCTGAACTTCTGAAGTGAAGTAGAATCGAAATTGGAATTTGGATTTGGAATTAAAACAATTAAAATCAGTTGTGAGTCACGCAAATCCTGAACTGTGAGGTATGTTTTTCTTGTTAAATCATTGAGTAAATTAACTCGCGGAAGTACAAAAGACCTATGTTCACAAATTGTTTCATTTTATGATATTTTTGCAGCCACATTTTTACATTGATCATGAACTAAACAAACATGACAAAACAAAAGTAAGTAGGCAACAAATTTCGCAGTGGCTATTGTTACGGCAGCCGTAACGCATTTCCCATTTTCTATCGTTACGCCCCCCCTCCCCCCCCCCCCCCCGGTAGTACTGCAACTTTTATAAAAACATGAGAAGAAAATATAAATTAGAAGGAAAAAAGTGAATTTGAACGTTATGAAATTCGGACTTTATTTCCCTTTAAAAAAAATCCTCCAAAGCCTCAGGTTAGAAAAGGAAAAAAATTCGAGTGCAAAACTGAGATGTGAACCCGCAACCTCGCGGTGCAAAATCCTACCCTGTATCGACCGAGCTGTCGCACTGCGTATCAAAAAAGTATCGTAGAGGGCGCTAAACAACGAATGCCGTAACGATAGCCACTTCGAACAAATTTTGGTGCTATGTACAACGCGATAACCCCTCAAAATTTAACTCAAATTAGTTTCCACTCTCTTTGTTAATCTCCCTGGCGGAGCATTCAGGAATTTCTACCAAGTAACAAGTACCACATAAATTAACTTCTTGGAAATTCCAAAACTTTAGTAGGCCTGCTAAGCTAGAGTGCTTGATTTGTATTACCATTTGAACTTGAAAAGCGTTTCAAATGTATGACTTCCATATAACAAGCTAATTTTTAAAATATTGAGAAAAAAATGGGGGGGGGGGATTAACACTAACATTACTAGTTTTCATTGTTTTAAATAATAAAAAAGTGTAAATCTAAAAATTAATGTGGCCTGATGTTGCGAACTTAGCAAGTTCTTCTTCAGACATGTCAGAGGCTAAAACAGAAATGACAAGGTACATACATAAACATAATAAAAAAAGTGGTCTGTTTCCTTAATTTGTGTCTCCATTTGAACTTGAAGAGCTATTGAGGCATATATCTTCCACACACTAATCGTTTAAAACTTTTTTTAAAAACTGGTATTAGTTTTTAAAAAAAAATGTTAAAATAGTCCTAGGCCTATAGTTCTTACTCCATGGTTTGTAAAAGGAACACAACATTTTTACAGAAAATAGATTCCAAACAAAGACGAAGACACCATCTCTTTAAAACTCCTTTTTTATTTCATGTTGTCATTTACAGATTTTGACGATTGATCAACAGTAACGACAGAAACCAATAGAAAGACGTTGGTTTTACCAGTGTACCGAGTACCGGCATGATGGAGGTTGAAAGACCAGGCGATCCCCACGCACCGGTGTACCGCAAGGACTCGGTCAGCTCTATCGACAGAGAGCTGGATTGGTTGATTGGATCAGAGAACGAAGAAAATAATGACGCAGTGCAGGTGAGGACGAGAAAATATCGCTTCATGACTTTTCATATCGTCACTGTTTCACGAAGGGACGGGCATGTGGATTTTGAAGAAAAACCGTTCGTGAGATAATCGCAAGAGAAGTTTCTCCATTTTTAAAACAGCGAAAACTACTACTTTGCCACAACTGAATGCAATAAGGAGACCTTGACGTAATTCTTTGATAAATAAACTTTAATTTGAACCTGGTAATTATAATTAATATAATGGTTGAAAAGCCCAAATTAATTAGTAAAGATGCCGGTCCCATCCCTGAAAACGAAAATCTCACATTTCCACAATTACGCCCTTCTTGTTTAACGTGTTTTTCCATAGGAAAGGGCGCGCTTGTTCGATTACGCGCGCGCAGCTGAAAATGTTACAAAGATACCCGTCCCTTTGTAAAATCGAAAATCTCTGTTGACCTACTTTTACCGCCTTTCTGTGCAATAGGTTTTGTACGTGTTCAAGGGGCAGGCATGTTTGCGTCTCTTCAAAAAATCGCAAAATGCAATTATCGAGATGCCTGCTCCTGGCGACATTAATGTTATTCAGGAATTAATGATGTTTTGCTTACGGAAACATTTCAGAATGCTTAAGTACCATGTTTTAAAAGGAAAATAGTGAAAAAACTCGAAATTGAAAAAAATTGTCAATTTGACATGCCCGTCCCTTCGTGAAACCGGTGACGATATGAGAGCTCGTTTTGTGGGAGATGTTATGCCCAACTATGGAAGTAGTCCCAACTATGGTTGGAGCAGTCCCAAGTATTGTTCGAACAGTCCCAACAAAAGTTGGAGAATTCCAAACTACAGCTCGGACAATCCTAACTGAAGTTAAATCGTCCATAGTTGGGGCATAACCGAGACACTTTATCGCACTCAGCTCATGCAAGTGTGGCGCGAAGTACGCTTGGGTAACAAGTCTGTTACAGGTTCGCATGAGCAAAAGACATGTGCCTGAAATGCTCTTGCTACACTCCAACTGTGACATTGCCCCAACTACAGACGATCCCAACTACAGTTAACATCATCTCAACTATAGTTCGGAACTATCCCAACAATGCTTGGGACTACATGTATTCAAAAGATGGAATTTGCGTCGGGGTGATGTGAATTCAATATTGGGTTTTGCCCTCCATCGACGTATTTTAGCCGACCCGCAAGTCAGCTGACCCCGGCAAGCTAGGTGGTCCAGTTGTAGGCAATCTGTACTAGTAAACAGGAGGTCGTGGGTTCGAGTCCCACCCGAGTGATTTTTTCCTCGCAATCACTCAGAACAACACTGAGTTTACAGTGTTTATAAAATATGTCAGTGTTAGGCAAAACCCATGTTGGAAATACTTAAGACTGTCCCAAATATAGTTGGGTCTATTGTCATAGTTGGAGTGTATTAAACACTCTTAAAGGGAATATACATCATTTGCTTTTGCTGTAATTTTCAGAAATGGGTGGAATTGGGGGGTTGGAAATATATAGCAAATCTCGTTACACTGACTTTTTTGAGGTTTTGGGTTCGAAAATGCTATAAAAACCAAGAAAAACAATCATTTTCCTGTAGTCTGGTTCCCTGACTCCATATAAGAAGAAACAGAGCAGTTTACATACATTGGGGAATTGTAAGGTCAGAGAACCAGTCTAGCTGTCTTGTACCCGTTCATAGGTGTGTAATCGCTTGCAAACAAGTGCGATGGTCAATTAACACTTTTCTTGAAAATGACAGTATACCAGGTGCCATGATTTTACAGGATGCTTTACACTGTCATTCACTAACAGTCCAACAAGGTATTTCAAAATGATTTGGTAGTTTTATTTTTTGATGTTTGCAAATGTTGTATTTTCCCTTTAAGGCTAGCATTAAGGTCAGGCCTGGTCAGAAACAAAATACCATTAAGAGTCTCTTTTTCTTTTCCATTGCAGCTTATTCATACCACCAGATTATGAAATTGTTGCCATTTTCAAGGGAAAAGAGGTGTATGTTTCCTCCTTCATTGTTAACTAATTTTTTAATTTCCAGATTGACACTCAAGAACACGAGATGGATTTGTACGAGCGATCTGGATCACGACGTGAAGAGCCAACATCTTTATATCCCCTGAATGAAGACCCGGCAGAAGAACATGAAACAGCAGTTGATAGTGACCATGAGGAACATGAAACAGCGGTAGATGATCATCCTACAGATGATGATGATCATCTAACTGCTGAGCAAAAACTTCTTGAAATTGAACTCCAAAAACTCAAGGAGGAAGGCTTTCTGCCGATGGATGACCCACCAGAGTATGACATTGCTGATCGGGTCCGAGAACTCAACGCGCAGCTGAAGGCGGAAGGCGAAACTCCGGAGAAAACGGACCGGAAAGTCAAGTTCAGCGAAAAGGTCATCGCCGTTGAATTTCCAGAGGAGTTATACGAAGATGACGAGAACGACACAGCAGCTAACGAGAACGAAATGGAACAACTTAGTGGCCGTAACACGGAAGGTGATAGCAGAGACGCTGATGAGAGGACACAAGAGTCAGAGGTCACAGACCCGAATGACCTCGAGGTCGCAAAATTGACCCTAGAGGGGGACAAAGACCGTACTGAAATCGAACCCACGGAAAGCCAGGATTACAATCAAAATGAGCCAAATGGTAGCACTCAGAGCCCTCGCGGACAAGACGACAAAATTCTGATCGAGAGAGACGGTAAGTTTGAATTCATCAGCGTTAAGGACCTCTCGCCTGTTGAAAGACGCAACATGGGCTTGGAACTGTCACTCGTTCAGGATGAAACCGACGAATCCCAGAGCGCCCCCATCACCCCTAATGGGCAGGGTGACGCCCCTGATCACGACCCCCAACCCCAGGAGGTTGAGCATCCGATCCAACCCCACCCGCCCCCCAAACCCCGGCCGTCAACAGCGAATGACAGCACAGGCCTGCATCGCTCCCAGCTGCCGCCTCGTCGGATCCAGTCGGCGCGTACTCAGAGGGAATCCTCAGGGTCCCCAAGAGGGGCCTGGACCAGCTCCTACACGGGCTACAGCAAGTACGGCCTTACCCCGGAGCAGAAGGAGCACAAGCGAGAACAGGCGAGACTCCACATGCAACAGCGGCAGGAACAACGACGGGCCGAGGAGGAGGGACAACGCAAGAAACAGGAGGAAGCGGACAGCGCATTCCAGGCGTGGTTGGATCACAAAAAGGAATCGGAGAGGGAACGGAAACGACAGGAAAAAGAGCAAAAGAAAAACAACGATGATAAAAAGGTAAGAGTAATACTTCAGGACCATTGACCAACTGGCAATTGTGCGGTTACAGGCCCCGTTTCTATAAGAGAAAGGCATTCCCCTTTTTTTTTGTCTTTGGACTCGCCCAACAATGACCATGGAATGTCTCTCCCACAGTTTGTTTGAAGTACTTGTAAATGTGATGTGAGACTGGATGACTTGGGATTGACATGTGATTGACATGTGATTAACATGTGATAACGTGTTGCTTACTTGTGACTGACTTGTGACTGACTTGTGATTGACTTTTGGTTGACTTGTGGTTGACTTGAGGTTGGCTTGTGATTGACTTGTGATTGACTTGTGATTGACTTGAGGTTGGCTTGTGACTGACTTGTGATTGACTTGTGGTTGACTTGAGGTTGGCTTGTGATTGACTTGTGGTTGACTTGAGGTTGGCTTGTGACTGACTTGTGATTGACTTGAGGTTGGCTTGTGATTGACTTGTGATTGACTTGTGATTGACTTGTAGTTGACTCGAGGTTGGCTTGTGATCAGTGGCGTCACCAGACTTTTCAGTCTGGGGGGCACAGGGGGGGCACCAGCATTTGATGGGGGGCACTTAGGTGGATACGGATCGCCGTCCTGGGGGAGGGGTCTAAGGGGAGGGGGTGCCCCCCTCCCCTTTGGAAAATTTTCGCATACGGAAGATGGGCTAGATGCAAAATGGTGCCACATTTGATGCTAAATTCGATCTGAAGATATCTCCAGAAATTGCTATTTTCGAGGTAATGATTTTAACAACGCGCAGAATTTTTTTTTACCAACCCAAATCTCAGATGGGGGGGCACTCGGGGGGGCACTAGGTTTTCCAGGGGGGGCACGTGCCCCCCCTGGCCCCCCCTTGGCGACGCCTGACTTGTGGTTGACTTGAGGTTGGCTTGTGATTGACTTGTGATTGACTTGAGGTTGGCTTGTGACTGACTTGTGATTGACTTGAGGTTGGCTTGTGATTGACTTGTGATTGACTTACATGTATTGACTTGTGTGGACTAGGTAGTGTGGACATGGGTCTTGAATAAAACTTGTATAAATGATCATTGTGTCACCTCTAGGATCAAGCGAGCAATGACGACAACTTTCAAACTTGGCTTCAGACGAAGCAGGGCCAGGCCAAGCGAGAACGAAAGCTGAAGAAACAAGAAGAAGAAGAGAAGATTAATGGCTACTTTTTGCGAGATCGCAAGGACTGTGATCAAGCATTCAAACAGTAAGCGTTTACTTCAGTTATTGGTTTTTGTCAATTTTAACCAATCTTGGTTGATACATAATTTTTTTTTCGTGTTTCTGGCCAGTATGCGGGTTCAAAACAAAATGGGATCATGTTACTTGTGTTCATGGGCAAGACACTTTACTACAATTGCCTCTCTCATAAGTATCTGTTAAGGTAGAGAACAGATTGTAATTTGTACAGTACCTCGGTCTAGTAGTTACAAAGTCTGACTGACGTACATCAATATACAACTGGGCTTGAACTATTAATGGGATCACATTGCTGGTGTTCTTGGGCAAGACACTTTACTACAATTGCCTCTTTCATGGGTACCTGTGAGGGAAGAGAACAGATTGAGTCTGTCTCAAAGTGCTGCTTAATTGTGAAGCGCTTTCTTACATTTGCAAAGAGTGCTATGTCCGTATATGAGCAATACATTATGAGGCCAATAAAAAAAAATACCTGTGTTTCTGGTTACCCCACCCAGCCTAGAAAATCAGACAAAATCAGAAGAAGGGAAAAAAGTAACTGTTATGAATCCTTGCCAAAAAAGATTTTTTTTTTCTGGCTTTAAAAATTTACAGAATATTTTCTTTTTATCCACCCACTTAACCCTATTTATTTATTTTGTCTGTGAAATAGGAAACACGTCATTTCTTTCTTGGCTTTATTATTAAACTCAAGAAACTTTATTGTAATCAATTTGATTTGATTTATGTATTTTCTTCAGATGGGTTAAATCAAAGAACGAAAAGCTCAAGAAGGAGCGTCAGCTGAAGAGATCCAACGCCACCATCAGTCGACAGCTTGCGCGACAATCCCGCAAGTCTAAAAACCTGGCCAAGGCGTTAGAGACCGCACAGATCTACAGATACACAGACTGGTACGGCTACAGATTCTAGAAACTGGCTTTTAACGTCCTACAGACTCGATTTAGGAATGCTTGAGGGCGCTATAATGTTACTCAAGAGAGCCAGTGTAAGACCCATGGTACAGGTTATCCTTTATAACTGAGGACCTGGTTACCTGATGTGATGATAGCTCTGAGGACCTCAGCCCAAGTCCTCGATAGTTTTCATGTACCAACCTTGTGAGTTATCCTGTAGGACTGAGGACCTAACTGAGCTCAGGTCTTTGGAACAAAAGTTTGTGTACAAACCTTGGGTTTTCCTATACAACTGAGGACTTGGAACAAAAGGTTATCTGAAATAACAATAACCCTGAGGATCTGAGCTTAAGTCCTCAGTAGGTTTCATGTACTAACAAGGTGGGTTATCTTGGAAGACTGAGGACCTAGCGGAGCTCAAGTCCTCAGAACTTTTTGTGTACAAACCTTGGGTTTTCCTATACAACTGAGGACTTAGAACAAAATGTTACCTGAAATAACAATAACGCTGAGGACCTGAGCCCAAGACCTCAGTAGATTTAATGTACCAACCTTGTGTGTTATCCTGTAAGACTGAGGACCTAGCTGAGCTCAAGTCCTCAGAAGGCTTTTGTGAACGAACCTTATGGTTAGTCCTTTACAACAAGTAATTTAAAATCTTGGACGAGGATATATCAGCGTTTTCAACAGCTGTTTGTGTATGATTTCATTCAGGCACGAGACGGTCGTTGAATCACCTCTGCCCGCCATTTTGGAAATAGTTTTGTCCGACTTTCTTCGGACTCGTGTGAGAACTCTAAAAGTTCTGTCACAAGTAAAATAGCAATTCCTGTACCTCAAACACAAAGCTGTGAGTGTCTTGTATCAACTTGGATAAGTTGTGCAATTACAGGCTCGATTTAATACATATGCTCGTGCCATATTTTAAATTGGGAGTGCTGATAAAATCCTACGATCAGGCACACTATATATTAACTAAAAGTGTACAAATGCATCCTTCTCACGACTATTTATTAAGGGGGCGGCCATTCGCATGGACGCCACATTCTTAATTTGGCTAGTGCTATTTTTTTATTTTTTTTTTGAATTTTTTTTTTTTTTGGAGGGGGGAGCTAGACACATCCCCCCATCCCCTCCCCCCCCCCCCCTCCGTAGAACTGCCACTGCGATCACGATTTGCTAGTAAAATATAGTTTGTTTTTAGTCGCTACGCCACTGACTTGCGTTGCCTAAAACGATTGTGCAAGTTACGCCATAATTTGTTGCGCAAGTCGCTGACCTACCCACTATTGCGCAAGTCGCTGACTTACGCACTATGAAAACTTCGTGAAATGTGTCGTGAGTGAAATGTTGCACTGCATGAAATTTTGCGCAACTTATGCAATAAATTGTGGCGCAAGTAGAGTTCAGCCATTGCACAAAGCTTTCGTGAAATCGGCTACTGGCGTACTGTGTCAATGCATATTTTGAAACCACAATTTACTCTATATGTATCTGTGGTATTTTGTTATGCCAGACAGTCTATTACTGAGGGAGAGTTTGTGAGATCAAATTAATTTCCAAAACTGCAAGAACCACCCAAAGATAGAAAATCCCACCTTAGAATTAAAGGTGCTTTTTGTTTCTTAGACTAACTTTCTTTTCATAGACATGTATTCAGAAGCTGCTGATATATTTGTACTTACAACATGAATATATTTATCGTAGATGTGTTGCTTTACGGCACATGTGTTTCTGAAAGTGTGCTACATTGAGATCAGTATGTTATGTTTTCTAATAGTTTAACTGACAAACATTGAAGTGTTACGTTGCAGTGGTAAAAACAGTGCCCGTGTTACTTTTCTTTTTGTTTTAAAGGGAATGTACATCATTGGCTTTTACTGTAATTTTCAGAGATGAACTATTTGAGGGGTTAGTATAATTGATCAAATATTGTTACACTGATATGTTTGAAGTTTTGTGCTGGAAAAACCAAGAAAAACAAAAATGTTAAAGTAGTCTGGTTCTCTGACTCCGCTAAAGATGAAATGGATCAATTTATAGATGCCGGAAATTTGTAAGGTAAGGGAACCAGTCAAGCTGGCCTGCACCCGTTCATGAATATGTAACCAATAACAAAAAAATTTGGACTGAAAAAAGAGGTAAATTTAGAGCAGTAGTTGAAAAATAGTTAGGTTTTTGCAAAGGTGGTCGGCCGACCATCGTTGGAAATGTATACCGTTTTCTTGAAAATGACTTCACACCTGGTGCCATAATTTTACAGGATGCTTTAGACTGTCATTTACCAACATCCTAGTAAGGTATTTTGTAAAAACTTGGTAGTTTTATTTTTCAATGTTTGCAAATGTTGTATATTCCCTTTAATTAGATTTGAGGCTCAAAACCAGCTCCACTCAGTTGATTTAAAGTGAATTAGCTTCCTGTTACAGATTATTGGAAGTTTGTTTCTTTTGTTTTATACTAAAATATTGGAATTTGTTTTTAATATGGTGATACATGTACCTAATTGTGAAGATCAACAAGTGTACCTCGGTAATGATCAAAATGAGTTCTTATGTTATTATGCTACAATTTTTTGTGGTAAATTAATTTAATTTAGGTTTATAACATTAATTTGCTTCTTCGGCGTACATTTAGGTGCAAACAAAATTTGAGAGGCAAGTTTCTAGGTTTTTTCTTTAATTTTTATTGAATTATTGGTGGTTTTTTTAAGTACACTGTATTGCTTTTTTATAGTGTATGCGACATTGAAGATGCAATAGTCACTCCCTAAAAGTGCATGTTAGCGTCATGTGCTTAGATCATTGTGTACTATGATAACAGTTAAGTAAACTAGTAAGGTTCTTCATATTTTTTTTCTGTGAATCACAATTAAGCATTTTCAGTTTGCATTTGTGTATCACCCATTTAACCATTTGTGCCAAACTTTCTACTCATTGTGCTTTAATTACTGCAGTGCAAGTCTGTGTATTCTGTTGTACATGCATGACATGTAACGAGTTAGCAGCTTGATGTCCATTGTAATTAACTCTTACATTTTGTTTTCCATTTGTTTTCATTTCATAGAGAAATGTGCATTTCAGATAACATGTAGTAAAGTAATAGATGAATAAATTCAACTTTAAACTAATGTTTGTTTTTGGAACCTTTTTTTTTTAGTGCCCATCCGTTGAAACTTTGTACCCAAATCACACCTCGCCACTTTCAGAATAAAATAAAACAGGGGTGTGAAATCTCAGCTTTAAATTTTTGTTTTGTTTTGGATGTCAGCTTTTTTCCCACACTTGCTGTGTACAAAAGTGTAGGAGATTTCAAAAGTTTAGCTTTTTTACACCTTTTTCAGCTATTTTTATCATAATTGGTCAGGTCACTCACACCCCTGATAAAATATTTTTAGGGGGGGAAAAATCATCAAAACTTGCCATAACTTTCAAATTTACAAGGTTGTGAATTTTTTTTGATTACCAAATAAGTATTTCTTTTCAAAATTATTGTGATATTTCTTCTTGCTCCCCCCCCCCCCCTTCCCGCAGCTGAAATCCACGCCCTCAGGGTACACACCGGTAAATCGATCCGCCAAGCTCATGAATAAAAGTTATACCCTCAAAATATTCTATATTAGAGAGTTCTGAGCGCCGTAAAATTGGGGAATTGAAGAGATATGGTAGTGAACCTCTGGCCCGGACTTGGGGCTTCCAATTCTGAGCATTTTGGATGCTATTGGGCTCGAAAGTGGCGCTATTTTGCCATGTTGTGGAGGGATCGTTTTTCAAGATGGCTACTTTTCCGCTTTTGGGAAAATAGGGGTCGTCTTCTTTGCGTGAAAATATCTCGAAAAGTCAATGGTCAACCCACCATAAATTGAAAAGAAATCGAAAGATGACACATTGATCATCATTTTTCTGTGCAGCTTGAATACCTGTGAGAGTTTTGAGTATTTTTAAAAGAATTTTGAAGTACGGGCATTTAGCACTAGTGTCTATGGGAGTTTATTTGCAGGTATGCACCCTATAAAGAATCACAAAGATGGCCGTTTCGCGCATGCGCTGTGCCGCGGCAGTGGTCTTTTCAGTGGGCGGAACCTACGGGGAGGGGGAAAAAGTGTTTTAAAGGTATCAACAAGGGTTTTTTCCCGTAACGGATGCTTCCAAATCATAAGGGAGCAGTAGGCTATCATCTGATTACAACAATTGATAGTTGAAAAGGGGGGGGGGGGGGGCATTTTGAGCTTTAAAGTAGCTGGAACTCAATTTATTGTCGCTGGGGGCGCTCTACAGCTTAGCAGGGGCAAAACAATCACTATTTTCGGGCTTAATATCGACCTCGGATAATATTTTTCTTTCATTTTTTTTTTCAAAATATTGACTTTGGAGATATTCTGCTTGTCCTGAATGTGATTTTGTGTTAAAATTTAAAAGTTGCCTGCTATTATAGGGTACACACCGGTAAATCGATCCGCCAAGCTCATGAATAAAAGTTATACCCTCAAAATATTCTATATTAGAGAGTTCTGAGCGCCGTAAAATTGGGGAATTGAAGAGATATGGTAGTGAACCTCTGGCCCGGACTTGGGGCTTCCAATTCTGAGCATTTTGGATGCTATTGGGCTCGAAAGTGGCGCTATTTTGCCATGTTGTGGAGGGATCGTTTTTCAAGATGGCTACTTTTCCGCTTTTGGGAAAATAGGGGTCGTCTTCTTTGCGTGAAAATATCTCGAAAAGTCAATGGTCAACCCACCATAAATTGAAAAGAAATCGAAAGATGACACATTGATCATCATTTTTCTGTGCAGCTTGAATACCTGTGAGAGTTTTGAGTATTTTAAAAGAATTTTGAAGTACGGGCATTTAGCACTAGTGTCTATGGGAGTTTATTTGCAGGTATGCACCCCTCAGTATCCAAACCATTAAATGTAAACAGCGCCCTCACTGACAAAGAGCAGTCCTCGTTCCCAGAGATTTTGTGACAATGCGAAAATATTGTGCATGTTCCTAACCTAACGCGTTCGTGCCAAACGTACGAGGAAAACACGCCATGTTTGCAGATTTTACTACGAAGAGAAAGAAAAATTCACGGACATTTCCACTTCGCTTTTAGCCTGGATTTGCTCCATACTTCCGCCAACAATGTCAATTTTACGGTGAATCCCAATTTAAAGAACAACGTTGATTCATTTGAGAGCTTTTTTTACTGGATTTTGAGTGAGTAAATTGGGCGAAAATGACGCAGTATTTGCCGCCGAACTTGCTGGCGTTGTTTGCGCCGCGTGACCCGCTTCGGTACATGCCGCCCACGGACAAGCTGCGACACGAAAAGCGAGATGAAGGATACTCCGGAATGGCCGAGTTTGTTCGCATTTTTGAGGTAGGTACAGCGTGCAGAATTGTGCAATTGTTACTTTAGAAGAATATCATGAATATGGAACTCAACAAACCTCACATTAAACAGTCACAAATTTTCCCCTCATTTTTTAGAATTTGGATTCGCAATTCAATTAAAATACTTTCAAAAAAGGTGTGAAGAAGGGAAAGATGATTGATGGCTACGGGCCCCTCTTTAGTTTTTGTTAAGTGATGCACCTATCAAATTAATTTTTTTGAGTTGAAGTGAATTTAATTTTTGTGCAGCTAGCATTTAAAGGAATTTAAAGTGTTAACGTACATGACGTAACGTAGGGCATGCAGGGTCGTGTTGTTTGGAAAACTATAGAAAATGTTGCAACTTGACGCCACTTTTTTCTTCACATAGACCTATATCAATGAAGGTCATTCATTGCAAAAAATGATGATAAGACGTGAATCAGGGACTGAGATTGAGAAACATTTCCAATTTTGTTGGGAAATACTTTTATTTTTTTTTAAAAATTCTTGACTCTCCATAGACTTTGTACACAACCGCTGAAGTGGCGTCAGGTTGCAAACAAATTTCCTAAAACTAAGAAAAAACCTCTTTTGCCTGAAAAGTGCATTGCTGGAAGCAATTTTTTTTTTCCATTTTAAAACACAACTGATCACTTTGAGTTTGTGTGTTTTCTTACCAGGATCCTAAAGACACTCCTCCTCCAACAAGAGTGGAAACGAAAGAAGAAAAGAAGGAAAGGAAGAGAAAAGAGAAAAATGAAAGTCACCGAGCGAAACTGGAAGATGAAATCACTACCTGTAAGTAGAAGCAGAAATGCCTATCAGTACTGTCATGATTGTCGTGGTTGAACGACACTTATGCGCCTATCAAATGTCCCCCCTCCCCCCCCAGGTCCGATGTCGGGATTTGGTCACGTTTTTCATGCCCCGGGGTAGGGATTTTGGTAACTCAAATGACATTGTTAACATTGGCGTACTACATGGAAAGGCAATCACTAGTGCGCCCCACGTATGTAAGTCGGGGCATGGTCGGGGATTGTCACTTAAGTTTTGCCCGAGGGGTGGGGATTTTGTCACTTCAAAAGTGACAATCCCCATGTCTTGGGTGGGGCAGCCCAGGGAGGGGGGGAGGGGTGGGGGAAACATTTGATTGGCGCATTTACTAAATTTTAATGATTTTACCGAGACGAAGGTCAAAACTGAAGTTGTCAAATCTTGCCTCTGTATGCCCTTGGGCTTTTGACTTGGGAATATTTTAATGAGACTATGGCTAAAGGAACCTAGTTGGGCGTAAACACGAGTCTGTGCGATCGGCCATTTCGTATCCTCAATCGTTCCCTGGAATTATTCACTAATATCAGTGAATAATGCCTTGTTACAGAGTGTATTGAAACATCTAATGGTGTCCATATTATCTATAACGACTTTCATTAAAAAAATAACACAAAATCGAGTGCAGCGTGTGAAGAAATGATTGAAATGCTAGCCTACGAAATCACAACAGCGTGTTCCTGTGTAGTGTGACCTTTGGGCAATGCCCATATGTACAACTTTCTCTTACTGTTTAAAGATATAGTCCATCATTTGTAATATGTGCATTTTGTTCGTTTGAAGCCACAAAAGTGTTCCAAATCTAATGAAGGATACTGAACAACTAACCTGATGAAGTTTCAGCTCAGCTTCAGCTGTATATTCCGAGAGAAACAGCATTCTAAGATCTCAATTTCAAATCAAAAGTTGCTGAATCATGTTTTGAATTGTTTTGCATTGCAGCTATACGCGATGTCGCGCACTGATCCGACGAATTATAGCAACCGCGCGCCTGTGCGTCGTGCCAATGCTTGCGCGCGCTGCGCCGAATAACAAAACGAACTACTAATTTAAATTGTCCTACGGTGCGTCTTAAAGACGTACCGTTGGAAAGGCCTTCTTTCCTTGATTACTTCAAAATGACAGTTTGCCAGAAAGATTAATTTCACAGGGAGTTTAGTCCACTTACTATCTTTCAACCAAGTATGTTTTTCAACAATTATATGCCAGGTCACTTTTCCTGGGCAAAAAGTGGTCGGTATTGAAAAGAAAACCACTACACTCAGTGAAAAGTAACCGAAACATAACATTTCTGAGCTAAAAATGGCAAAAATACCCATCGTTTCAGTAAGCTTTACCAAAAAAGGTCCAATTCAGACACTGCTTAAATGCCTTCGATGCTGTGTGCCGTAGCCATATAAAGGGGCCCAGCTGCTAGACTGTAAACTGGGCATAGTTGTCCCCGGTGTGAAAACGTAATGCACCTATCAAATGTTTCCAATCCCCACGTCTTGGGTGGGGCAGCCCAGGACGGGAGGGGTGGGGGAAACAATTGATAGGCGCATAAGGAGATACAAGTGTTTCTCTCAATGTTATATGTGATGGTTGTTCTTGGTGCTTTACAGGGGAGCCAAGTGCTGGAGGCATCGGAGATCCTTTCAAGACGTTATTTGTCGCCAGAATTGTAAGTTGATGAAAAAACTGACTACGCAAATTATCCTCAGTGTTCAGTGAGTGGACATTTTTTTACAGAGTGGTTAAAGTTTTAATGCGACACGAGTTGTTAGTTATACCACCACTCCAAAACTTAAAAACTTTCAGAGAGATCTGATTAAATCAACCATAAATATAAAATTTCACTTCTGGAAAAATTCATTTTGTGGAAATGCTTTCACCCAACTCTGAAGTCTGAAGAATGTTGGAAAATTAGCTGCAAAACCGTATACTTTTACTTTGTGTCAAACTTAAACTTCCAAATATCTTTGCCATCACCCAGTGCCAGGTTTTAAACGTTAGCCACATTAAGTTTTTCTCTTTGACAATATGTTTTCTCTTTCTATTAAAGTCAGATGAAATAATTTCACGGCGTGTTTAGTAGCAGAACGATCTTTAATCCAAATAAGTTTTTTGGATGATAATTTGCTAGGCTGCTTTTGGGATAAATGCAATTAATGATCCTATGTATGTATTATTTATTTGTTCTTTCAGAATTACGACTCCTCAGAATCGAAGCTTCGACGTGAGTTTGAGTCCTACGGTTCCATCAAAATGGTATGTGCATGTTCTTTTTTCATTTATGACTAAAGATATTGGAATATCAGACACTAATCACTGCTAAAAACAATTTAAATGAAGGGCGAACTCCAGATAATTAACATAAAATCTAGAACTGGGGCCACTTATTAAAATGTCACATTGATATTGTTTTTTCTGGCTATAAAGTTAGTTTAGTTTTGCAAAGCTTCTTTTGCCCATAGAGTTAGCACCCACACTTCAAATTCCTTGGAGGTGATCTTCTGTGGAGTATGGATAACACTTCAAATCCCTGCTCAGTTCTTTCGTGTGGTTAAGCTCAGGGCAAGCAGGCAGATTCAGTCACGCTTCACTGCTCTCCACAGTGCTGTTTTGTGTGCAGTGACTCTCTGTGTGACACGGTTACTTAACACTTCATATCCCTTCACCTAAAACTGACCTGCAGGGTTTTAAAGGGTTTTACATATTGTCCTGAATGTTGACTTCTCACTAGGAGAGTTAAACCCTAACTCCCTAGGCCTTTTTGCTAGGATGTAGCCTCAATCCTGCAAAATCCTCCAATTGGCCTCATGGAAGAATAGCATATAGCCTCAATCCTGCAAATTCCTCCATTATTTTTTTGAATATGGTCCGTGGAGAGGTGACCACTGCCTGAATCCTGTAAAATCCTCCGGCTATGACTGTCAATAGGCTGAGGCAGAGGCAGTGACATCCTGGAGCAGTGAGGATGATTTCAAGCATACTCAAGGACTAAATTTATGCTAGGCTGAGCATAAACAACCAAAGGTCCGGCCCAAGACCTTGACACAGTGCGTCCTCCGCAATCAGCAATGCACTTGTGCCATGTAACCTCAATCCTGCAAATTCCTCCAATTTGCAAAAAGGATTTTGGAGGATTCAGGGCGGTTAGGGTTAAATGAAGACAGCTCCCGCAGCGGGTGTTGAACAAAGTAGATAAGTTTAATACAACAACCTGGCTTTTTCACAGGGTTTCGGTAGTCCATGCCACTCCCTGCAGTAAACGCCAGGAACAGTAAAATTTGCCCCCTCGTATTGTCAATCGCATCTGGTGCGGTCGACGGTACGACTTGGTCAAGACATTCGTTCCAATATGGGCCAAGTTCGGGCAAGGACCATAAGTTGACTAGTGGTTGATTTGTGAAGTACCTTACGCCTGCGCACTGATAGCAACATGCGAACGTCTCTAGTCAAACGCTGGTCAAAATGTCATAGCAAAACTTCTGGATCCTGGCTCTCTGCTAGCGTTATGAATGCGCGCGGCTATTGGTTACCAGCGATGCAACCAGCCCCAGTAGGCTGGTTCCAAATAGTCGACTAGCGTAGTCAACCACCGTCGACTAGACAGTTCGGGCAAGCGTTAGTCGAACTCTGGTTAACCATTGGTCAACTATAAGTCATTGCGCGAACTTGGCCTCGGGCGATTCACAATGCAGTGCGCCACCAAGAGTTGGCCACAGAGAGTTCATTTTCCCCAGTGTCGGTAATTTTGTTTGATCATACCATCATTTTCATCAGAAGGTGGTTAATCAAAAATAGCTGGTTTTTTTACCAGAGGTGATGACATTGAAGATGACATCTTGACTTGTTTCTTCCCAGATTCACTTGGTTCACGACAAGAAGTCCGGTAAGCCTCGCGGTTATGCCTTCATCGAGTACGAGCACGAGAGAGACATGCACAGTAAGTACAAACAAATCACCGAAGTTTTCTCCGACATCTCAACTTGATATCATATTTGTACCAGATGTGAATGATGTAACACAAACCATCCCTGATCCAACAGGAGTTTTTGTAGGATTTGGTAGGATTTTGTAGGACTGAGGAAGGAAGAACCAACCATTCTATATTTCCATGGGACTTGATGTCCCTCTTGGACATGTTGAAAGTTAAAAAGTACACAAATTATATTATCTGTCTGTTCCATGAGATGGCCCCTTACTAAAAAGCTCCAAAAAATGTGAGGCGTTCTAGCAAAAAGACACAGAACTAGGCAGAGGTCGAAATGGGATTGTGGTTATTAGGAAAAAGAATGAAATTCTCCTCACAATACTGTTTGTTGCACTTCAATTGGACATTCCGTTGTCAAGTTAACGCTGTTTAAAGTTTGCATTTGTCGACATGTCAAACAGTAAAATACTGCGAAAAAGACCTTAAGAGTTTTTGAGTTTTGTAGTCGAGAAAATGAAAGATGCCAATTGTTTTTCCGTAGAAAAAAATTTCATTCTGCGATTTTTATATTGTTTCGTTAGAAAATATGTGCAGTAGACATGAAAGATTAACAATTTATCGAGAAATCTGACAATTGAAAAATTCACCCCATTTAAGCATTTTTTCCATTACGGCCTGTGCCCAGTTCCGTCATATTTTACTGGAACGCCTCACAAATATAGGAAAAGTTCACCATATAAGAATATGGTGGATTTCGGTGGATTGGGGAAGATTCTAGGTGAAAATGCTATCGGAATTGGGGTTATGGCATCTCGTTAACAATTGTGGTGTAACATTATCTCGTCCATGTGACATTCAATAAAAAAATTTAAAGTTTACGCAATGATGTGATAAAATTGAATTAAGCTACCCACTATTTCCTGATAGAGGATTTAAGGTTGTGTTATCAGCGTGAACTACGTGATGAAGTTATTTACCAACGCAGCAACTGCATGTTGCAAAGAAGAAATAATAACATGGGCGTGCAATGTAGAAAACACAACTGTCTTCAAATGAGTACTTATATGTTATACGGTCAAAAGGATTTTACTAAGACTTCAGTGTCCCTAATTGTATGTCTAGTATATCTACGGTAGTTATGGTCACGTCACGTGTGGTATGACAGGCACCATCAATTCGAACGATTTACAATTCAGTGCGCCACCAAGAGTTTGCCACGGAGAGTTCATTTTTCCCAGTGCATTGTGGGAGATGGTCTACAAATTCGCAGCGCGGGACATTTAAAATTGTTTGTTTTTTCCGGTCAGTAGTTTCGTAAGCGTATGATTCGAATATATGTTCGCCCTTTTTTCCCTTTTATCAATATGGTGTTTTTTATGAGCCGGCAGAACACTATGCCCCAATCTATAACAAAATTAGCTCAAGTTGTCTACTGACACTCATTCAAATGCACCGCGTTTTGTCGACCGTAAACTTGAAAAGTTGACTCTCCATGGCAAACTCTTGGTGGCGCACTGCATTGTGAATCGCCCGAATTGAACTAAGTTTAGTGTGGGGGGGGGGGGTTAGATAGTGGATGGCATTTGAATAGCTTCTAAAAAGAAAAAAAGAAAACTAACAATGCCCTCATTATTTATCCTAACTTTGGCTTACTGCACTTAAAATTGTCTTGTGTTCCACCTTTCAAAAATGTTGTGCTGCCATCTAAAGTCAATCCTTTTACTATAGGCCCTACTTTTTTGCTCTGTTTTTTTTTCCCAAGTACATTGTGGTATATTTAAAAGCAAAGCAATTGTACTCATAATGGGGGAAAAAAATACCGTACATAGTTAAGTAACATGAAAGAAAGTTTCCAGTGAGCTACATGTACGTCTACACGTACATGTAGTACTGCAATATTACACAGTTGTTACTGTGTAAAATGTTAAGCCTACCAATAAGAGGAGTTTACAAATTATTACAGTTTAGTAGGCTTGGGCGAATCTGCACCAGAATCGATTCCCAACTCCGAATCGGAATCATGACTCCCCTTTTTTTGAGGAATTGATTATCTGTATTAGCCTAATTTTAGTTCCTTGAGAGTCGATACCAGGTAGCGCCCAACAAATGTGAAGATGGGCTGACTCCAAAATGAGTTCAATGAAAGGACAATTTTGGGAAGAAACGGATTCTATAAAGCTTTAAAATGCATTTGACGGGTAACAGATCAGGCTGATCTGTTTCTTCTGTAAAAACTGTGAATAGAGCAAATTTTAGGTGGTGTGTGAGATTATACCTCTTAATTACCTCGTGTTAGTGATTCACGAATAAATCATTAGTGGATTTTATCAAGGTTTTTTCTCCTTTTGTCGGGGAAATTTGGAGTTGATTTCAAACAGAATCGTGACTCCCGGATGGAATCGGAATCGATTCCAAATTAGAGTCTCCCAAGCCTACAGTTTAGTACAGTACATGTCTGTAACATTTGCCTTTGATGTTGTTGTACATGGGGTATTGTGTTGCTGTGGTAAGTAGGACCAGGTTTGTATCTTTGTGTTTAAGTTCCTTTCATAAGAAACAGTTGATTTTGTAAAGTTGTAATTCCACATGCCTTTTGTATAAATAGGTTGGGGGGGGGGGGTTCTGTGAAATTATACTATTGCCTTGTTCTTCCAACAGAAGTGAAGTTCTCACTGGCAAATTTAGGGGTACAGAATCGTAGACTATGTATGAATATATGTTTTTTGCTTAAAACCCAACCCGATCTGTTTAGGAACATATATCCCTTTTGACCTGGGTGGGATTCGAACGCAGGACACAAGAACAGATGATATAGTATGGACTCCGTCATGTAAAAGCCAGTGAAACGACACATTGCATGCGCGCCCAACTTACGGAGTGATTATATTTCAACCCTATAGTATCTCTGCGCAAGAGGTGGGAAAAACGCGTCGGAGCATGGTGCTCAAGTGCCCTTCATCAATAGTTACGTTTTTCATTTTTATCGTTGAGGGCGCACTTCATATGCGCTAAGTCTATAACATGCTAACTCATAATGTAACCACTGCCAGTATCAGTAAGTGTTAATGCAGTTGCGCTCAGTTGAACCGAGCGCATTTGTAGGTTGCTAGTCTTGTCTGTACTAGTCTCGACCTATAGAACACCTATTGACCAGTTTATATTTCTTTTATCACCTTTCAATACAGCCACGCATAGTGCGCTGACACTCTTCCCCTGATAGTGGGCCTGGCATGACCAATAAGCCTCAGCCTAGCTGCCTGGCTATTCATTACTCTGTAATTCACGGAATTGGTTTGTATCACATGGTAAGCGGTACACACACACACCAAACGCTCCGCAAACACAGAAAGATGGCCCTTCAAATCTTTGGCAGTAATGTGGGGTCCCTCAAAAAGTCTTTCGCCCAAATGATTCTCATTCAATTGCAAAAGCCTGTAATAAAAAAAAAGAATAGTTCATACGATGGAATTTGCGTCGGGTGATGTAAATTCAATATTGATTTTTGCCCTTCGGCATGTTGTGAAAAAAAATGGAAGTATTTTTTTAAAGGGGTCACAAATTAAATCTAGATGACATGAAAACTCAACCTTTTTTTGTCCCTCCAAATTCATCAGCATGTGGGATGTTATTAAAATAGATTCCTCAATATTGTCCCGAGTTTGACATAAGATTTACAATTTTGCACCAAGTTATATATACCAGTCCATCCCGTTTTAAATTAACACATATATGAACAATTTGAAAATCATACCTGCACAAAAGTTCATAGCAAACTCAGATAATTTTCAGATAATTTTATTACGGAAAGAATTCCTTTGTCTATAATGTAACTGGAACATGTTATCATGGAATACAGAAGTTTCAAGTTTTTGTGGCTTCAATACCACAAGCAAGCATGAAAATAAAAAAAAAAACAGACCCAATTTAGATGAAAAATAATAAATTTTACCTAAACGAGAAATAGTGCAGGCCATACCAGGTGTCCAATTCATGATTTTTTCTTAACCGAACAGTTTGTTCTCCTTCTTAACAAAAATGAAATTGATCCTTTTGTTTTTGTCTGGAGTTAAAAGTAACCTACCTACATTAAAACACAATCGTCCAAGCTCAAATAATTTATATAGATCCCCTTTTGTAGTGATTTAAAAAAAATGAATACAATGAAATTAAAATTTCCAAAAAGTCAAAAGCCAAACAACATTCTTGATTTACTCCTTCCTTTAAGAGAAAAAAATGTTGAAAAAGAAAAATGTTAGAGAATTTATTTTCATAAAAACGATCTAAAAATGAAAAGTTTCTCAAAACTTGATTGGACCCTGGTATGTGTCATGTTCCGGGTAAGTTGACCTGGGTCACAACCTCATACCCTGGAGTGGGGCTCCAACCTTGTTCCCAACGCGAAGGCTTGGCAGTGTGCGCTGTGTTTTGGCAAGGCTGGGTAAGGTCACAGGTAACATTATTGGTCAAGTTGTGTAGAATTTTGTCCCTTTTTTTAGGTCTTTTATGATAAAGAAAAAAAAGGGGGGATTTTGTTGGGTGGAAATTTTTTGAAACTAACAATTACTTACGATTGAGCTTCAGTCCCAATTTGTTAGTTTTTATGAATAATTCGAAATATGTTATTAGTCAAGATTTTTGATATTCAAAATAACTTTCGAACTTTTCGAACCATTAAATTACTGTTCATCACTGCAGTAACCTTTTTTTTTTAAACTTGCATGCCAAATTCAAATCGGTATTTCAAAAATAGGGATTTCATAGATTGACAACGAATTGTAGGAAAAAGCTTATCTTAGTATAGTTAACTTTTGGGGGGGGGGGGATTTTTTTTATCTATGGGTCGGTAAGCCCATATAGTGTTAGGGAAAGATTTGTTTGTTCAAGTTGTTGAATTCATGGGTTGGTAAGCCCACGCTGGTTTGAAGGAAGATGTGGTAGATTTTTGTGAGTGACGACATTTCCCGGTAATCTCAACTTCTCTGCTTTTCTGTGACGTCTTCACTGTAAGTGACATGCGTACAACAATGCATGCTGTCTGAAATTAGTCTGGTGCTCATGTATACTACATGAAATTAGAATTTGAGTTCAATGTTGTCTAGTTGAAGTGACGAGTGTCGTATGGGTTAGGTAAGCCCATTGTTACAAGATGGAATGTGGGAAGTTGCAGAGCGATGTCTGTTCTTCGTAAGTGTGGTTGTCTGGTCGATTTTACTGAAATTTGTTTTGTCGTCAAATTTTTTATTAAAACTCGACAATGGGTTGGTAAGCCCATTTTGGTCCAATATCAACTGTGATCACTGTAGTTTGTCAAATATTTCTGGGTGTTTCTGGGTTGGTAAGCCCTTATTTTTTTGGTTCTGCATCGGGGAGACTGTGACCGTGCTGCTGTCGATAAAAAAGTTGTCTGTGGTTGAGTAATGTAAGTTTCAAAGGATCGTCGCAGGTACTTTCGTGTATCTATTTGAGTTGACAAGATTATCTGAAGGTTTAACATGTTTAATGTAATTTCTGTATTCCGTAGTGGGTCGGTAAGCCCAGTATAACTCAGTGGATCAGACCCTCTGTCTGTTAGCAAAGTGAAGTTAATTTGATCAAAAGCAATCCCCATATTAAAAGTGCCTCCAATATTAGAGCAAGTTTGGGCACGCACTATAGTTAACTCTTTCAGTGCCCGCGAAATTTGAAAAGTTTAACCCTCAAGTGCCCAACTTCGAGCGTTTTTGTTAATTGTTCAAAATTCTCTAAAAAAAAAAGTAAATAAGTTTTACTCACTAAATTTGTTGTTGTTGCTCTCTGGTATATCCTTGGTATATTTGAAAGTCAATAGTAGTCACGTACATAGTGACACACCCTGAAACACTGTCCTGCACACAGGGGAATTCCGCACTTTTTGCAGAAAATCCGAGTGTCAGTGCTGCGCCCTGTCGCAAGAACTTGAATGAAACAAATAAATACAGGTCGTACCTGACTGAAAATGATATTATTAGAAAGAGCGAGAGCGCCCCCTTGTGATAACATGCTTACTCTACCTCGTACATGTACGAGGCTTGGCGATTTTAAGTACAAACATTACCTCGTACATGTATGAGGTTGGCACTTCGAACTAACAAATATACCTCGTACATGTACGACTTTGGCACTGAAAGAGTAACTTAAAACCGGACCACAGGGCACAGTTGCATCACTGGTTACCAATAGCTGCGCGCATTATAAAGCACTACGGGGAGCCAGGACTTTTGACTATTGTTTGACAAGAGGTGTTCGCACGTTGCAACCAGTGCGCAGGCATAAGTTACGTCACAAATCAGCCACTACTCGACTAATGGTCCTCGCCCAAACTTGCTCTTTGACAAGAAACAGATCACTCAATACACACCACATGTGCACATTTTTTGTTGTAAAAAAAGAGGTCCGCTCATAAGTCGGACGCCTCATAGGTCCGACGCTTCATAAGTCCGACAAAATCGCATCCCCTAACCAAATAAAGGCCCATAAGTCCGACGCCTCATAGGTCCGACGTCTCAAAAGTCCGACGCCTTATAAGTCCGACGCCTCATAGCTCCGATGCCTCGTGGGTCCGACAAATTAAACGCCTCGTTTTTTTCCGACGTCGGACTTATGAGGTGTTGGACTTATGAGGCGTTGGACTTACGAGGCGTCGGACCTATGAGGCGGAATAAATAAATTTTATGCCTCATAAGTCCAACGCCTCATAAATCCGAAATTTCGAACTTATAAGGCGTCGGACCTATGAGGTGTCGGACTTATGATTCGGCCCCCCCCAAAAAAACCTAATTCCTGTTACCTGTGTGTACTCCTACAATGTGTCAAAATATCTCCATATCAAAACAAAAAAAATACTTTATTTTATATTGACCAGGGGTATGAAATCTCAGCTTTAAAGCTGATTTCATCTTTTTTTCTTTCACTTGCTGTGTACAAAAGTATAGGAGATTTCCAAAGTTCAGCTTTTTTACACCTTTTTCAGGTGTTTTCAGCTCTTTTTATCAGTGGTCACTCACACCCCTGATTGACCCAAAATATCTAGAAGTGTCCCTGGCTGTTATGTAATATGCACAATAAGTTTATCAAGACATATCTTGAACCAATCCGGTATTTATAAAGGATATTTCATAATGGGTGTCGTGATTGCTGCTCCGTACTTCAGAAGCTGTAACTACATGCACAAAGACTCGTGCAGCAAGTAAAACAGAAAAGTGGCCCATTGAAACTTGTAGACTTATCAAACATTTTGCATCTAGATAAAGAACGCTTATGCATGAAGGTTCAACAGCTTAAAAATGGAGAATAATACCTGGTTCATACTTCATGTGAAAGTGAATGCAAACACCGCAGGTACAAGTATTTGTTCCGGGAGAATACGAAGTTTTTGGTTCCGGCAGATTTCACCTTCAAACGTCAAATTTACTCTCGCATTCCTGTGCAGTATGAGCCAGCCTTAAAGGCATATAGGATCATTTGCAAATACTCAAAAACAAAACTGCAAACAAAATTATTTTAAAAAAATAGCATGAAACATCCTGGGAGCCTGGTATGGTGTCCTTCTCAAGAATAGAAGGATTGTATGTCAGTTTTAATGATGGTTAGGACCTAACCATCGCTGAGAACTCCCTGTGACCTATGAGTTCTATGCACGACATATTCCACAAATTGCACCTTGACGGTTGAAAAAGGAATGCTTTTTTCCCGTGTTTTTCCAGCATCAATTTTGTCTTTTTCCAGCTCAAAATATTGAACAGCTCAGTGGAACGATGCCTGCTACAAATTAATAGCCCTTAAATGGGTTCATATCATGAAATTACGACAAATGCAAATGATCCTATATGTCTTTAAGATGGATTTATTAACCAAACCATTCCTCCCGACTAACGTAAGTATAATAGCTCGTATGCACAACCAGGAAACTTCCAGAGCATCTTCTTAACCCTTTCTTTGTACAAGGGCAACACCGTATCTGCAGGTTGTCGACCTTTGACATCAGATTGACCTCTCATGACCTCTGACCTTCCAGGTGATGTTGTGTACATGTGGCTGTATTTTGCATGCATCCTGCACTTGTTCACGACGGTGTGTCGAATGCATTCCCCGTGCTGTCACGTCTTTCGTTTCGTTTTTTCCCCGTAGGTGCTTACAAGTATGCCGACGGGAAGAAGATCGATGGGCGGAGAGTGTTGGTGGACGTTATGAGGGAGGGAACCGTCAAAGGATGGCTGTCACGCAGACTGGGTCAGTAACGTTTGATTTCTCACTATTGATCCAAATACCGCAGTTGACTCTTCCTGCCATTCCATCAATCGGCGATTGTGTAGTTACAGTTCCTGTTCCTATAAGGGAACAAAAAAATATGGTTCCAAGTTCCAACTACCCATAAGAACATACAGTAAACTCCGGCCAAACCGGCACTCTAGGGACCCAAGAATTTGTGACGACGTATATCAAATGTGACGACGTATATCTTTTGTGACGACGTATATCTGCTGTTTTTGCCGACTTACATGAATGGTCTTTTGCACACATAATTCATTGCACTTATTGGCTTGGATTTACCCTGGATTATCTCCTGAATGCTTGAGTTGAATCCAGCACACTAATCCTCGAATTGTATCATCACGTTTGGGGTATTGATAGTGGAGACCACGATACATTTGTACGTGCACAGTAACAAATTAAATGCATGCGTGGTCCGGTATATACCACGCACGCATTGACTGCAGCACTAGTCATTCAATAAGACAACCCCCAAAATGGACAGAGCGCATGCGTACAGCCTAGAGGGGGTACTGGTATTGATATGCTCATGATGCATATGCGATGTATGCAGTAGGACACCCTTTTTCGACACCGATGCATGCAGTGATCACAGGTCGTGCGAAACCACTTTTCACTTGACACTTTGCCAACCCCAGTACAGGAAGTCGATGCCAATGCGTGATTTGTTGAATGCCGACTTACACAAAGGATTTTGTAATGCTTTTTATGGAAAGGGGACCGAGAGTAACACGACGACTTGAGCGAAATGGCGACTTATAAAAGCCGACTTAAAAATTCAATGGAAATGCATTACAGACAATTGGGACTTAAGTCAGACGGCCGACTTGAGCGATTTGACGAGTTGTACGATGTCGGTTTAGCCGGAGTTTACTGTATATACATGTGGTTTTTGTTTTAAGTGAACAACAATGTCACAATGTGTTTCAGTTGTCGTTTAGTTTGGTTGTTTTATTTTGGCATTCCAGGTGGTGGTTTGGGTGGTACTAGACGTGGAGGTCCAGAGCAGAATGTCCGTCATTCTGGACGTGAGGAACCATCCCAGGCAGCCGCAGCGAGGTAAGATCCAAAGACTAAGTTTTAAGCCTGGGAATTTTTCTTGCACTGGTTATTCTTAATGAAGTTTTAAACAACGATAAGTACAATTCGAAAGAAATGTGACCAGGTATGTTCTGTCACTGTGACTTCTCATGTCTTTCTGTTCTGTCTAGTTTAAAGCCCTTGCCATGAGTGGCTCTTGGCCTCGTGTTTGGGCATCGTTGTCAAAAAATTGGTGTCAATCCTTTGTATTTGGCTTTTTATTACAGAGATGAGGAAGATCGTGACATGGACCGACGTGAGCGACCCCGCAGCAGGAGTCGCGACAGAGATAGAGATCGCCGTCGCGATCGAGACCGAGATAGAGAAAGGGAGCGTAGAGATCGCGACCGAGGCGATCGGGGTGACCGAGGCGATCGGGGTGACAGGGACCGAGACCGTGACAGAGATCGCGATCGGGATCGCGACCGCGATCGCGACCGCGACCGCGACCGCGACCGTGAGAGACGCCGCAGGGAGCGAGAGCGGGAGCGTGAAGGTGAACGTGACGTGGAGAAGGTGGACGGGGAAAGCGCGGAAGTCATCGACGACAAGGATACGGATCCGAATCTCCAGGAAGTGCTAGAGAAAGATCGTGATCGAGACCGTGACCGTGGACGCGATCGAGACCGCGATCGCGATCGAGACCGCGACCGACGGAGACGAGACCGTGACCGTGACAGAGACCGAGACAGGCGTGACCGCGACAGGGACCGTGACCGCGATAGGGACCGTGATCGTGACAGGGATCGTGGGCGTGACCGTAAGCGCGAGCGCGATCGCGGTGATTACGGAGACGGGGAGGAGCCAGAGGTTAAAGTCAAGATTGAAGAGGTGGCGGAGGGCCAAGGCGACATGGGCCTAGTGTCTTACCCAGCCGACGAAGACGAAGACTCATCGGCAGCAACAGATGCGTACGGTGTCAAAATCAAGAAAGAGAAACTCGATGTGGGTTACGGAGACGTAGAACCTCAGAACGGAATGGAACAAGAAGAAGAACAATCTTAAACCCCTCCAATCTCTCTCTCCGATATCAACTTTGAATTGTACACTCCGCTGTTTTAAAGGTTCCGCCGTAAGTTCTGCCGTAGTTTTTAACAAACTGAATTTTTTGTCTCCCCTTTCTCTATTTTTATTTACATTTGGTCTTGATCCAGTTTGTTTTATCCTCGATGGTCATCGGATTGATAGTTTTTACTTGAAGCTAATGTTCAACAGATGTGAGAAGTGTTCAGAGCTGGTTATTTGACATTTGATTCGCTCTGAGTAGGTAACTTAAAAAAAAAACCTGATAAAATGTCTTCACAGTGTACTGTTAGTGGTACCTGAACTCGAGCAGTTTTCAAAATTGAAGATGTAGATGCGACTAGAACTTAGTGAGTAAAATAAGCAACTGCCAATTGTACTCGTGTTGGTATACAAAAGTATACTACAGTTTTCAGGTAAACCTTTGTGCTATTGTAGCCATGCGTGAACTGTTGAGGGCGGTATTGCCTACTCGCAGGAATAAATTGAGGGCATATGGTGAGACGATGTGGAGTGCCCTAACCTTCAAGTAGTTTTCCCTTTTGTGCCAGTAGAGGGCATCGTTCCTGACATAGCTGGATACTCTAATAGAAACTTGCAGTGACGTCCCTTGAACTATGTGTTGAATGGTACGCATGAATGTTTTCAAAACCCGGCTTTATCTCCGACTTCAGGCTCCATCATTTATGAAAAGATGGAGCCTAAACTGCTGACAAAGCCCAAATTTGGAAAAATGGTTGAATATGAAAGGTACATTGGATGTGGAATGGCGAGATGTTTAAACAATTTTTTTTTAATTGGCTGTTCCTTGCTTGTATTTGTAGATTTTTAAAATTAATTTTTGGCAGGGTGGAAATTTGAAAAGCTTGAGATGCAAAATAAATGTATGCAAATTGTTGATAAAGAAATCCTTGAAATTACAGAATACAGGTCATGGTTATCTGGGTTGGAATGAAGAAAACTTTCCAAAATAACTATTTTTGGGAATTCAAATAAATGAAATACAATTTGTTGACCTTTTTTAGAAAAACTCAAATTGTAAGAAATCCGCAAGAAAAATGGCGCATGAATAAAACCTGTTGCGCTTTGTATACAATAAATTATTTTCCCTCTGAAAAGAACTTCTTGTCAGAAATCAAATCGGTCAAGTTGTCTGCATCATGGTAAGCATTTTATTTCTAAGGTTTAATTTGTTTGTATCATTTTGATCACAGAAATTTCGTAGTTCAATTGTCACATTTCATGTAAACAATGTAAAATACTGTGTTTGGAAAACTCCATGAATATGTTTCTAATAATGGCAAGGTATGTACTGTGATATCTCGTCAAATTCTGGACTAAAACTCCAATAAACCATGCTCGATTCCTTCTTTACTGTCACATAAATCCTGTTGTTTTGCTTGTTTTTGTTTCTGTGGAGAATTGTGTTCAATACTAGGTTTTGCCCTTCACCGACGTATTACCCCCCCCCCCCCCCCACCCCCCAAATGCATGGCTAGGCACCAGTATAGACCATTATCATGTTGCGGCCATCACATTTGTTCCATTCAAATCAACGTAACCAAAGCGAGGCTGGATGAAAAAATAGTCTGGTTCCTTTTTGCACAAAAACGTTATCATTGGGTACTGTTATAGGATACAGGGAAAATGGCTAAAATGGTGGCAGCATGATAAAGATCTTTTGTTTTGAAACAATGGGTGCTAGTTTGTGAACATCTTATGGAGAAAATGATTAACATTTTGCAGTGTATTAATTGTGCTCACATTAAATTCTCCTAAATGCGCACTGTACATCAAATGGGACAAATTCAATGCAGCGGTTGACAGTTAACCAAAAGTAGTAAAATACGATTAGGTAATTTGAATTAGCCCTTTGCACTTTCACAGGATAGAAAATCTAGCTAATCTCATTAGTATACGGACGAATTTTGAAATAGCTGAAGATAAATCATGCCTTAATTGTCCTTTTCTCCCTTTTGTAGAAATAAGAGTGTACAGTCTCGAAAGTTGCACATATTTTTGAGTTTCAGAAATAGACCAATGAGCGACGAGAAATAGCCAAAATATTTGCATAAAAAATAGCCCTAGAAAACTCAAATTCCAGTAACCACACCCTATACTTATGCAGAGCACTTAAACAATTCGATTGTGTTGGCGAATTTGTGTCAAGCGACCAGCCTGGATAATAGGTAGAGCGCCCCCACGGAATTTCGGCCAGCCTACAGGCCTCACACGTGGTGTGTTTCGCATTCGTTTTATGGCGGGCATTTCATGGAGGAAGTTATTGTTGTCGAAGTCGAAGACTCGCATTTGTCCAAGTAAGTGCCTCTTTTTTTCAGCCTGAAACCTAACAGTTTAGCGGACAAACATTAATACAAAAGTCCAGTGAATGCACTGTTGGTGCTTTTTAATTTTTGGAGACGAACTGTGGCCGAATGTATGAGAAAAATCTAAGAACATTATTTTTCACTGACTCTCTGAATAAAGGGGGGGGGGGGGGGGTGGGTGTGGCCTTGGTATTTTTTCCCTCTTCAAACCACGTTGAACTTTTTTTGATGGGTCTTTCTATAGATAGTTATAATGGTAATGTTGGGTTATACTTATAGGGGAAAGGGAAAGAATGTTGCAACCTGATGCCACTTCAGCAGTTGTGTACAAATTCAGTGGCAAGAGTCAAGAAATTTGTTAGTATTTGTTAGTATTTCCTAACAAAATTGGAAATGTTTCTCAGTCCCAGATTCATGTCTTCATCATTTGTGCAATGACTGACCTTCATTGAGTCGAGATGATATATGAAGAAAAAATTAACAGCGTCGACCAGTTGCAACATTCTTTCTGATGTGGAAAGAATTCCATACATTGCCATCACTAATTTTTCGCTGCAATTACCTATCAATCATCAGAATGCGATAAAAATTAAAATGTCCAAAAAAAGTCAAAATTAGCAGGGAAATTATTGAAGCATTTTACTCGGAAAACGCTTACCCATTTTTTAGACCTGTCTCATACGGTTTGTGCACAGGGTGTCAAGTGATGTCCAGGTATGGATTTATTCCCTAATAATAGGAGTTGGACCCATAAATGTGGCCAATTTACTGTTGGCCACATGGGGCTATTATTTTTCTCAAAATTTAAATTGATTGGAAAAAATTAAAAGACTTATTAAATCTAGGGTAGACTCACCTATTCATAAAAAGTAGCAAAAAGATAACTTTCTCTAGTCTTGTCCAATCAAAGCAAATAAAGGGTTTTTCTACTGCCTTTATTACCTACGGGGACGGACACCTTAGTAACCCCAGCATTCAAGCAAGGTCAAGGGCATGGGCGTCGCCAGGATTTTTTCTAGAGGGGGGCCAAAAACTTTTTTGCCAAAAAATGCTTGTATTTCTCAACACATTCTCGATTTATCAGTTTTAGAGGGGGCAGGGACATTCCTCCCCCCCCCCCCCCCAACTCATTAAATTTACACCACTTTGTCTTCGCGCCTCTTTGTTGTTTTTTTTCTTTCTTTTTTTCTTCCTTTTTTTGTTTTGTTTTTTTGTTTTGCTTTTCCGGGGGGGGGGGGGCAAGTGCCCCCCTTGCCCCCCCCCCCCTCGCGACGCCCATGGTCACGGGCGTCGCTAGAGGGAGGGGGGGGCGGATGTCACACCTCCCCCGGCCATTAGTCAGTTTTGTTGGCAAAATCATGGTGTCGGCAAAATAGAAAATCAAGAATGGAGAAGGAAGGGGAAAGGAAGAGGGAAGAAGAAAAAATGGAGAATGTAAATAATAAACATGGCTGTTCAAAACCCCCCGAAACTTAAATACGGTTCAGTATTCCACATGGCAAAATATTGTACATTTTGTCATATCGCACTCAGTGCTCTCATATAAAAAGTTCAATTTTAGGATTTAAAGACCCCCCCCCCCCCCCCCAGTCTGGGATCAGGGGATGGGACAGACCTATACAAGGTATGCTCACACGTACAAAGCATGTACATGTACACGCAGTTTTACGACGAGCAAATGCCCAAAACCTTTCAAAATGATAGGGCAAAATTTTGACGATTTACTTTTGCAGTTGAACTTATCCCACTGAAAAATTAAATCTATTCAAAGTAATCAACTTAATTAACCATTCAAACATTTGAGGAGGAAATTAGAAATGGAGTTAAAGGGATCATTTTGGACGCAAATTATCAGTTTCACTCATATTGCGTGACGGTCCGTCGGCAAATTCATAATGGCACCCTCGCCCCATTCAAAATGGTCTAGCAACGCCCATGAGCAAGGTATTTGAGAATTTATGGTAGGGCCTATGTGTGTTTGTAAAGTGCAAGTGCATTGTAGATATCACACTGAGTTTGAGACGGGGCCGGGCCACTCAAGTATTAAAAAAATATTGTCATACTCGCAAAAAATGCAAAAGTAAGAGTTTTCTGCCTTTATTACTTTAATCGAATCCTACATTTCATTGCAGAATATTTCAAATTGTTTTTTAGATTCGTGGCTCTGGAGGATTTTATTTGCAAGAGGTCTGATTCCCGTCTCCTGAACGAAGTCACAACCACAATGTAAGCCTGGAACCAGACAAAGATTTGTCGTGACAGCAAATATTTCTAAGTCCCCAAAAAACACTCACTGTTTCAATAATTAACACATTTTCAAACTTTTCAAAGAAAGGAGTTTTGGATTTGCCAATATCGAGGGCCTTTTGAAAAATATGGTCTGGACACGTGGAAATCTGCAAGAGGTTTGTTTTTAGAAGTCTAGGGCCTTCTTTTAAAAAGTAGATTTGATTCACCTTTAAAGAGCTGGGATTCACTATAAACAAGCATTTATTCTAGTATTCTCATAACCCTCCAGGTGCAATTGATGGTTTGTTGTGAAAATAAATTACCTTTTCTCAATCAAAATAGTGCTATATTCCCTTTTACTGAACTAACATGGCAAGATGATAAGACTTAAAGGTGTAAAAAGAAATATGCGCTGAGAGATGCACAACATTTAAAAAGCAAATAAGAAATGCCAAAAAACGAAAGATTATCCTGAAAGCTAGCGACCTTATTCTGCCCAATATGGATTGTTTTGAAACTGTATAGTCTATTTGTTTTATTTTGCTTCAGGAGTGTAGCTTGACAGAGGGCGCCAGACAGCTCAAGTAGAGGCCGGGGACGCAAGATTTGCATGTTCGCTAAGGTGAGGTAACCATTTTATTACAGCTGTGGACATACACAAGACCCCCGGTTGCAAGAAATGACAGCTGACTGGATGAAGGACTATGAAAGGACTGTTGTCCAAAAATGTAAGTAAATTTACTCTGACAGCGCATGCCAAATCTTATTTCACTTTTCTAATGTCTGAAAAAGCACAGCAAGATTCATAGGAATTATTTTTTCATACCCAAGCGGCCAGGGTTCGACCTTAACTTTTTTTCCACTGGCCAGCCGGGCTACTGAAACAGACTCTTAAGTAGCCTGCATAGTTTTCTTTTATTGAGTGTCTCATAAACAACAATGTTGCACATGTAAAACGTGTATCCTGAGGCAATCTTGTCAGTGTTTTTAATAAACAGATGTAATAATTTAACCCTAAACAATTAATAAAATTAGACACAAATTGATACAGGTTTGCTTTCTGAATTTAATGATTTATTTCTTCCTGTCCTTTCATCTTTGCCGTAGCCCAATAATGTTTGACTCGCCAGCCGGGCTACTTAAGGAATACTTTGACTAGCCCGCCGCTATTTTGACTATCATTAGCTAGCGGGCTACCGCTGAAGTCAAACCCTGCATATTTGAAAGAAAGGGTTCATTTCATTACATTTATGGTTGAAGACCAATTGGGCTTAAACAACTTTTTGATTGTTTTCTTTGTGGAGAACCTACGCTTTTGTTGATTTTGTTTTATAATTTGGTGCTAAATGAGCTTCTGGTGTATAAACAAACATATCCTACAAGTAGGACACATATAGAGTCACTTTTTTTCATTCAGTTCTTAGATTGAACAAGCCAAAATTGCCCAACCCATCATTCTAGGTCCTACCTCAACACAAACTCCACTGGTTTCATTGGCCTCAGCCTCAACTTTTTGTTTCCTTTTCTGTTTTATTTCAACAGATGAAACAAGACAGAATCAACCAAGAGAAGCAAGCAAGTAGCCAGCGAGATATGTTCACGAAGGTAGGACTGACCCTTTGTTTCAGCCGTTAGCGCTCAAATTGAGCCAGTGAACACCCAAGACCCAGGATCTCAAGACCCATGCACAGTTTGCAAGTGGAGTTTGCAAGTGGATTTCTCAGAGTGAGTCGGACTTGATGTTTTTCCTTGATCCTGTTCTATCCCATTATTGTGTGTACAACTGAAACCACCCTGTAAAAATGGAAGTGGGCAATTCCACGGTTACTC